AAAAGTTTCATGTTGCACAACAGCATCGCACTAACTGTAATTGAAGTAGGCAAAAGTACGCGAATAAAGCATTGAATTCAGTATACCGTTTGAGAAAAAAGTTTAATGAAAAAAGTAATAATAATGGGGATAATTAAAAAATAGGAGAAATTTTAATGCGTGGAAAATAATTATTATTGCGTATAATCTGACTTGACATTTGTGTAAACAAATCTGAGATAATTTAAGTTAATTTAAGACCTATATTGGTTTCGAGTAACCTAAAGCATCGCCTAGTCTAAAGAATTAAACTATTCGAATCTAAACTAACCTGAACTATTCTAATCTAAACTAATCCAAAGCATCGTAATCTAACTTAGCCTGAATTATCCCTTTTTAAAGAAACCCAACTATTCTAAGCTTAACCAACTCGAACTATCAAACTAATTAAACCCAAACTATTATCTAACTCTTTATAAACTATATCCTAATCTATACCAAACCAAACCCATCTAAAATTCTGAGCTACAAAAATTTAAACTATGATAAACTTAATCAACCGAACTATACTCTAAGCAAGAACAATCTAAATTATTCTGTAGGGGAGAGTGGGGCAAAGGCGCTAGGTTTACATTTCGTCGGGTTAGCGCAATATCAGACTTATTCGACAAACAAAGCAAGAACATACTTATTCAGAAAAAAGGCAAGAACATGCTTATTCAAAATATAAAGTAAAAACAAACGAATTCGCAAATTAACCTTTTTAGTCAGATTTTAAATTTTACTTTTGTACAATTGTTTTACGAATAATAACTTTTATTTAGTTCCATTGAGAATAATTTTTTTAATATTTTGTTTTTCTAATATGAAAAGTATTATTGAAATAAAATTATAATATTCTTGATAATTTAAAGTCTGACTAAAAAGGTTAATTTGCGAATTCGTTTGTTTTTACTTTATATTTTGAATAAGCATGTTCTTGCCTCTTTTCTGAATAAGTATGTTCTTGCCTTGTTTATCGAATAAGTATGATATTGCGCTAACCCGACGATTTATCGATGTATATTTTTCAAATTAAGCAATTAATTTATGTGGTCTTTGTTTTTCATTATTCTAAAACTAATCAACAAGAAATTTTAATAGTTGTTATTTAGTATATATTATAATTATAAATACATTATTTAATGAAATTTAAAAACAATCCAAAATAATGCCTTTGCCCCACACGCTGGGGCAGCGACGTTTTCGCTTATATTTCTAAAAGAAAGCATTTATAAGCCTTAAAAATATTAACAAGTGATATTTATTAGTATAATATTTATGAAACATAAGGTTAACAACATATTATTAAAAGAATTAAACTATTTAAATAAAAAATAAAAACGATTAGTGATTTTAACCTTATATTGTGAATTAATAAGGAGAAAATGGGAATATTCAATTGTTTTTAACCAAATTATGTTCAATATTGCCTTTGCCCTACATAACAAACTTTTTTTTACTTTAAATTTAAAATATTTAGATACAAAATTAAACTAAAACACCACGCCAGTTGTGTAGAGAAATATTCAATTTATTTACATGTTACGTTTTTAAAAATCAAATACTTAAACTTGTGTTTTAAAAAATAAAAGTTTGTTCAGTAAAATTATCATTTTATTTTTGCAAAACAATTTTTTTGTTATATTTCTTAAAATATTTGATATTTTTAGATTTTTCTTTTTTTAATCAATTGGTCTGATTGCATTGCAACTTAATTTTTACTACCAATTGGAATAGACAGAAAATAAAGGAGATATTTTAAGAAACGTCTTTGCCCCACTCTCCCCTACTAAAGCCAACCTAAAACATCAAAATCAAAACCAACCAATCACAAAAAGTCCAAATGTCTATAATCATCCAAAACGTCTTCAATTTTTTGTCCTAGCTCATATACGCAATGAGATAAAAGTTAGGGAATGAGTCAAGCTTCGATTTGGTAACAAAAAAACAAAAAAGAACATACAAAAGGTCATTTGAATTAAGCACGAGTTTACGTCACCAAAAGTCTAAATCTATTGTCCAATCAACAAGGAAGCATCCTCAACTATTCATACCTAAACAAATCCTGTAACCTAATCTTGAAATTTAAAATTTGTTTCAAAAACTATTCAAAAAAAATGAAAATTGAACTTTATAACAAAGAGGAGATATGTTTAAAGGGGAAATTAAAGCAGAGAGAATGAAATAAGAGGAGAATAGTCATTGGTACTGGTTTAAGAAGAGGATTATCCACCCTGGGATATTTATAAACTGCACCTCGGACATTGTAGAGAGATAGAGTCTAAAGCTAACTGTAACTAAAGCATCTCCTTTCCTCTCTATTCACAGCATCACGTTGCTTCTCTCTTTCTTTTTCTTCAAGTTACACTCTCTTCGCTCACATCTCTTCAAATCAGTACAGGGACATTTGCGAATAAAAATATTAACCACAAGAAAAAAATATTACTATACTTAATCCCATCACTTTACACTTTTGCAATAACCTCGAAAACAATCCAAAAATTTCAAATAAAAAATATTCTAACTCATGGCTATATATTTTGACCGTTGGGGACAAAAAGGCCAATAACGAAAAATATTCTGATCTATAAGACTCACCATGACTGCGATTTATGTTTTTTGAGTTTATGACAAAAGCCTGACGTTATAGGGATAAATTGACTTCAGATTCGGCATCAGTGATCTCAAAAAAACAAAACTGTCATAACTTAAGGATCAGAACTTGTCTTGATTTCAAAATTTTTGGGTCAAATTTGGGGGGTTTTTTTTTTTGAAGTTATGTTAAAACCCCGACGTGATGGGATTAAATGGACAGATTCGGTTTCAGCTCAAAACATCAATTTTTTGTGTCTAATTAGTCAAATTTTACTAATTCTTTAGACAGTGTAATATGGCAATGTCTTTGTTTCTCAACGATCAGCTTTACTAAAAACTATTTAAAAATTCTAATTTTCTCGCCTTTGTGTGTCGAAATCCTTCTGATAAAACCTAATTATTCACTGCAAAAAGAAGTTTCTTATAAGATAGAAGATACTAAAGTTATAACTTTAAATGTTTTGTTAGTAAATTCTAAGATGTTTTGGTAGGGACTTTTTAGTCTTTTGAAGTATCTTAACAATAATGATGTTAAAAGTTAAAAAATTATAAATGTTTTTAAAAAGAAGAATAAGAATGATTTTATAAAAAAAAATTTTGAGTAGAAAGTACGAAAGATGGAAAGTATGAAAGATAGAAAGTATGAAAGCTAGAAAGAAGGAGAGAGAAAAGAAATAAGGAAAGAGAAAGAGAAAGAGAAAGAATTTTGGAATGCACTTAGTCTAATGGTTGAGGTGCACGTTTGTAACATGAACTTCCTCACAGTGCTACATATATCTCAAAAGAGTAATGACCTATTTCTCCAGGATGGTTAAGGACAGTGCCACCGTTAAATGATGCTTAATGTCGCAATCAACTACTTAGGAAGCTGCTTAAGGCGTTTACATTCCACTTAAGCAATAAGCATAAGCGGTGCAATTCGCCCTTTATATTTTTTCAACCTAAACATTTAGAGAATGCTAAAATTTTACTGTAAGTAAGGGAAAATTTCATTGCATTACACTTTATTCCTCTAACTCCGCATATGCATATTCCGATTCTTATGAATTGTTTTACTGAAATGCTAATAATTTCCCGCTAGGAAAAATTTTTCTTCTTTCTATCTCTGATCAACTTTGTGAATTTCATTTACTAGAATCAACTTTATAAGGACGAAAGCAGGCTACTCAACACTTTCTCTGCAGGACTTTATAGAAAAATTATTTTATCATAAAGTTGACCAACTCCTGAATCAAATCAGATTTCTCCCTTTGGAATTTGAATATTTAAATCATAACCCCTTCAGATCGATTCAAAATTCAGAACATACAATTTCCGAAATACGAAGGATATTAGTCGGCAAAAATATATTTTTATCCCAAATAAGCCGAGAGAATAACAGAACTCTTCTGTTTAGAAAGAGAAAAAGAATTTTGACAGTAAATTAACGTACTTCTTTACAGAAGCTCATTAAACATCAATTTATTGTGATAGATGTTCATTAAATGTCAATAAATATTCATCTAAAAGTATTCTCATCTACCGTTAATTACACATTAAATGTTTCATTATGACAGCCTCTCTTAATGATAAAATTATTGCATCATCAGTACATTCAATATGTAATTACATCATTAATAATAGAATTAATCAAAATAATAAATCAATAATGGGATAAAATTATAGTTCCCTATACCTTAGATTTCTGATTTGAAAAACATTTACATGGTCCTCTAATCTGATTGAACTAGTTTTGTTACAAAATAATGGGTAATATTATATCCCTTCGAGAGAGAGAGAGAGATTAGAGATAAAAATTAATTTTTCTTAATTGATTTCGTTACGGTGTTATCTCTCTCGATTTTCTTATAATTATAGAGAAGTCAACTCATCATAAATTCTGCGAAGCTTTCCTTCTGCATAATGAAATAAAAGAGCATATGTTATCTTGTAATGAGCATTTTCTTTTTCTTTTCGTTGTCTTTCTTTCTTTTATATATGCATCAAGTGGCAAATTCGAAATCTTAATCGCAGCGGAAAATAACATGTTCACTAAAAAGTCTTGACTTATATCCATTATTACTTTCTTTGAAACTTGACCTCAATTATTGGAATTGTGTCTTCTATCGATGGTATTATGATTAATGGTATTAAATTATTAATGTATTACATACTGCTTTTATTAAATTGCATTTATTTTCTCAATCAATCAAAAACTTAGCTCTAAGCTACTCTGATCTGCACTATATTCCTATAAGTAAACTACTGCTAGTAGTACTACTCAGGCCTCGGATAGTCGAAAAAATCAATTTCTCGATAGCAAAGATAAATAATAAATAAATTTGAAAATAAAATTAAGAGATAAAAAGAAGAAGGAAAAAACTGACAATTTAATTGGTTTTCAGGCGTTGACTTTGGTGAAGACGTGCGAGCCCGTTGCTGAAATGCGAGAATGCAGAGCCCCAAGGGACTGGTCGTTACTTGCATTACAAAATGTCAGGACCGGAAAGTCGCATTATCTTGTGATATGTCGATGTCCCGACACGAACATACTCGGTAAGTCTACATTTCTGTGTATGTGTATATAAAAACAACTTGCAAAACATCACAAACAATTCTGTGCCGATATATATAAATACACCCGGTGTGTATGTTTCATAAAAAAAATTAAAAAAAAAACATTTATCGAGATTGATAGAATCGCAAGTAAATGGCATACAACGTCATACAGAAAAATAATTGACCCGGAGAAAATGGTGATTGAAAACGTAAAAAAGAAGAAATGTAAATAATAACTTTCGATAATTTTTTTTTTCCTTTTTGCATGAAAACGCTAACTCTGTTCATGCAAATTGAAGGGAATAAACATTACGCATAGATACATCATACATAAAGATACCTCTCATATTCCAAATAAATTGAAAGTAGTTGATGCAAAGTGTTTAAGATCAGAATATTATTTTCTTTTTTCTATGCAGTTAAAAAAAATTTATTTCATAAGCCCTCGATTTGATTTGACCAGTGAAAGTATTTAAAAATACGGACTTTACGGACCAAAAATAAAAAATTACGGACCAATTACTAACAAAAATGTAAGTAGTTCGAGTCAAATAAGAGAACATTTTACTTAAAACTATAGAAATTCAATTTTTCATAACTATAAAACATGAAGATATCGATAACTTCGGGTCGAAGATTCGACGTGATCGATTTCTTCATGTTTTATAATAATGACCGAGAAATAAAATTATTATCAATTCAATTATTATTTACAAGAATTTTTAACTAAAATTCTTCTTTAAATCGATTATCCCTATTAATTTTTAATAATTTTCGAAAAAGTTCTTTGACAATTTTCAAATCCATTTCTTTACAATATTCAATTTTACGAAAATTCAATTATTCGTAAATTCTTCAATTAAGTAAATATTAGAAAATAAAAACTTTAAATAATATTAAAAAAATTCAATTAAACTTTTTCAAAAAAATTAATTTCAAAATTCCATTATATGTATTTTTAAAAATTCACGCTATATTGCTTAGCTTTCAATATTCAATTATTATCTAAAATATAAACTGAAATTCATTTTTATGAAATGAAAATCAATTTCTATTAGAAAATTCTACTAGAATTCAATTATTTAAATACAAATAAAATGCAAATAAATAATTTATTGAATAATTGAATGTTTGTTAAAATTCAATTCCTATAAAGAATCGTTAACAACAAATTTTCAAATAATTGAATTCTATCAACGAATTTTAATAAAAATTTTAAGAATAATTACATTTTTCTAGAAATTTGATAAAAATTGTAATAAAAATAATTGAAATTCTGCAAAGAGTTTCATTATTTACGAAAATAATTGAATCTCTGTAAAAAATTTTATTATTTATGAAAATGTTGTTGAATTATTGCGAAGAAATGTATAAAACATTTCTAAATAATTATTGAATTCATGCCCCGAAATTTTTTATTATTTTATGACAATAATTAAAAGTTTGCGTAGAAATTTATCAAATTTTTTTTAAATAATTGAATTCTTTTGGGAAATTTTATAAAAATAATAAATATTAAAAATCATTTAGTTGAGAAAATTTTTTAAAATAATCGAAAATTTACCAAGAAATGTATTAAAATTTTTGAAAATAATTGAATTTTGGAGCAAAGAATTGTTAGTTAAAAATATGAGAAATTTAAATTTTCAAAGATTTTAATCTGAACCCTTTTCAAAATTCAATTATTTCTAAAAATTTACTCTCTAATGATTTTAAAATTTAATTATAATCTAAAATTTTAACTGAAATCCATTTTTGAATCAATGCTTATGAGAAAATTTTACTAAAATTCATTTATTTAAATAAAAAATAACAATTTATTGAATAATTGCAAGTTTTTTTGGAATTGAATTCTTATGAAGAATTTTATCTATATAAATTTTTAAATAACTGAATTCTTTTGGCGAATTTTCATAAAATTTTTAAGAAATTTTTCGAGGAATTCAATTAAAATTTGTATTAAAATAATATAATATATATAATATATATATAATAATATTAAAAATAATTGAAATTCTGCAATGAGGTTTATTATTTATGAAAATAATTGAATGATTGCGAAGAAATTTATAAAAAAAAATTTGTAAATAATGAATAAAAGTTTGTGTAGAATTTTATTAAATTTTTTTTTTAAATATAATTGAATTCTTTTGGACAATTTTTTTATGAAAATAGATATTGAAAATCATTGAATTGAGGACAATTTTTGGAAAATAATTGAATTTCGGAGAAGAATTTAATTATTTCTAAAAGATAATTGAAATTTTGATGAGAATTTAAAAAAAATTTTGAACATATAATTGAATTTCTGCGAGAAATTTTATTGCTTTTGAAAATAATTGAATTTCTGCAATTATTTGTAACTTCTTTACGGACCTTTTTTGAAAAAAACGGACTTTAAACTTTTACGGGATTTACAGACATAGTTCGATAATCTTTAAAAACGCAAATTTCACGACATCCAATAAATTCTTTCATGAAACTAAAAATCCTTTTTATTATAATATATAATTATACTTTCTCCAAATATCACTGAACCAAATGAGTAACAAACTCGAACAGTAAATTTCAATTTAATTTTCTTTTTTTTTCAACACCTCATAATATCAGAAAATTTATCTTGATGTATGAATAATTGAATAGTAATAATAATATATTATAAACATATGTGAGTGTTAAACTGAGCAGAATGATTGCAAATGCACAAAGTACATAAATATATATAACGCTTTGATTTGGTGTAATTTATTAAAAAAATATATATAATTTAACAGCTGTTTTATTTTTCCGCTTTTTTCTCAAGGAAAAGATATATAATTAAATTTCACTTCTTAAATCACCTCATTTACGGTCTTTATCATGTTTAACCCAATTAGATTGTACGCATAATTTTTTTTTTTCTATTTTTTATTAAAAAATTGTTTTCTTTAATTTTTTTAGAGGGACCAATGAGCCACGATCAACCAACTTATGCAAGTGTACCGGGAATTCGAGTCTATGGAATGATGTGCGTTCAAGGGATCAGAAGAGGACGTCCATTGCGACACATACGCAGTCTTTTAGGTAAAAAAAAAAGATTCAAAAGAAAGGGTAAAATTAATTAATTAATTAATTATATCTGCTCAATTTTTTAACCCTCTGTTGATGCTATAACAAAACAAAATCAAATTGATGCCAAAAATGTGGAATAATTTTTTATTTGATCCGAATTTTTGATATCAATTCGTTGCAGTTTGCTACTTTTAGGTAAACACTGCTTTTAAATTATTTCAATTATTTTAATTTAATTTCAAAGGGTAAAAATGTAGTTTCTTTTACAAATTTAGTTATTTTCCATCAGAAGTGAAAATAATGTTTCTAAAAACTTTCTTGATATTCTTGTTTAAAAAAAAGTTACAACATTCAAAGGATTACAGCTAAGAAGCTTATAAAGTTGTAAAATATAATATAATTAACGTAAAGTTTAATTTGAAACTTGTATTTTGAAACAAAGACTTTTGAAATTAATGTAAAGCAGTAGCTTTATTAAAACTTGTTAAACAAAATTTCTATAAATATATATAAATCAAATGTTTGTTCATTATTGTGGCTTGCCGCAAGAGTTCCCACGACAAAACTTTATAACACGAGATATTAAACATTTAAATTTTTTAATGCCGTTTAATTACACTTCCTGCTTTATACTTGACAACATAAATGAAAATTGCATATTTTTTTATGCCTTTTATCTTTCATATCGTAAATTATAATAAAACCATAAAAGATTAAAAAAAAAACTATTTCCATAAGTCGAGAAAGATGTGGAAAATTCACAACTCAACTCGATCGTTAGCTATTAAAAATTAATTAATATAGACCACTGCGCAAACCCTTTTGCTTTAAAAGAAATTAAACGCAAAATCTAATTTTTTATAATATTTCTTTATAAATTCCTATAAAATTTCTATAAAAAATTTAATTTTTTCAAAAAAATATTTTAAAGTTTTAAATTGTTTTTTTCAGAATAAAAATCAATATCGAATCATAATGGTTAAGAATACTGATGGCCCAGATCAAAGAATCATAATTTCTTAACACTTAAACATCTCCCCTTCTATAAACTAAAAATGAATTTAAAATTTCAATTTCTTGTAAGCATTTCTAATATAATTGATAATTAAAATATAAATTTTCAGGTTTATTAGATAAACATGAATTAGTCGAAGAGAGGGAAGCGAGAGCAACATTCCCTTGGCATATGGTTCCAGAACTAATGGAAACAGCAAATTGGGACTAATTTTCGCTAAAGTATAACTAATTGCCGCCGATAAAATGGCGCTAAAACTATTTATTTAAAGAAGAGGAGGAAAAAAAAAGAAGAAGGAAAATCCTAGCTCGTCATTTTTTATTCATCTGGAACAATTTTTGTTTTATTTATATTTATTTTAAGCCCAGAGGACACGGCAATCAATTATGCGTCAATATTTTAGACCGAAATGCGTAACTTTCTCCCCTAGTTTATTAATAATTAATAATGAAATTTGCTTTACGAATTAGAATTTCGCAAAGGCTTTAGTTTATTTTTGAGAAAAATGACAAAACGACGCTTAATAATGAATTAGCTTTAATTTTATACAATAAAGACTGCAATGCAATAAATTTTCTTTTATGGGAAATAAATAATAATAAAATTATAGATTCGATATTCGTTTTCTTGTTTTTCCGTCTTTTGTGTTTGTTGGACTGCAGTCTCTCTCTCTCTATCTCTCTATCTTTCTCTGCTCTCATTTTTTCTCTAAGAAACATTTCATGCGATCATTTATTCAACATAAATTCATATTCTGCATTTATCAAATTTTATGTTTCTCGTGAATTATATTCTCTACGTCTCGATTTTCTTTGCATTAAATATTAATCCATCGCTATTCGAAATATATGTAATTTATTATTGCTTCCACCTCTCGAATGAGGTAAATTTCTCCATTAATATATCTCGTGAGTTTATTGTAATGACACGACAACTCACGTTCCATAATGATAATAGTGATAGAAAAATTTCAAATGCAATTATTCATTAATTATTATACTACTACTATTATAACTATTATAACTATTATTATTATTATTATTATTATTATTATTATTATTATTATTATTATTATTATTATTATTAATATAATAATATTATATTACGCATTCCGAGGATCCTAAAAAACTATTTTAATTTTCTTTACCTAAAAAAATCGTCGAAAGGAAGTTAAAAAAAAACTTGAAAAGTTTAAAAAAGTGAAAAAAGTTGAAAATATGTACCTAAATTTTAATTATCAAATAAAAATTAGAATTCGAAATATTTTGCCAAAAACCAATTTTTGCTTTTGTGAAATTGAAATCAAATATTTTTTGTATAAAATTCTAATTATAGACACTTTCACTATGTGATAAAATTAAAAATAATTTTTTACGGTCCTATTAACTATATTTGTACATCCGATGAACTGAAGAAAAATATTTTTCTTTGCAAAAAAAAAAACGATAACTTTAATTTAATTTTCATTTATAGGCTTTTAAGTGTGTATTTTAATGCATTATGGAAACTTAAAAATGTTCAATCGTCGTTAATAAAACGGAAAACATAATGTATACGATAACAAAACGAAGCAAATAATTTTTATCAATAATTAGAAAAATTGTCTAAATTTAATTTCAAAATTTTTAACAAAAAGGTAATGAAAAGTTGGAATTAAATTTTCGCTTCTTCTCTATTATAACAAAAAAACAACCGATTAAACATTTTTGAGTAAAAATGTGTTAACGATGAGAATTCAATTTTAACGAAAAATTAAATCTCGTACGTTGACGAAAAATATTTAAAAAAAAGGGAGTCGGTGCAATTTCGATATTATAATTTCTATATAATGAGAAAGAAATTCATATATAAAAATATACATTGTCATAAAATATTTTTAAAAATCACCAATCATTTTCTTTGAAGAAATGAAAAAAAAATTGTGTGATACGTTTGAAACAGAATGAAAGTGTTTCCATGCAAAGCCATTAAAAATAAAAATTTTTCACTTTATTATATACTATATTATATACAATATATATATATATATATATATATATATATATATATATTGAAAAAGACTCTTAAAAAAGTATCCAAATAAAGAAAAATGTAATTTAAAAATAATTTTTTTAAAACCGCAAATTTATTCGGCTTGAAAATTTGTACTTTTAAATAAACAAGCGTGATTATTTTTTAGTGGTATGACCAGTAATTCTATTTTGTAAATAATAATTGTGGCGTAAGATTGACAATAAAGGACTTGTATGAAAGAATTTCTAATAATCAAATTATTATTTTGTTCCTATTCTAATTCTTTTTTTAATTCTAATTATTTCTTTAATGAAGAAAAATATTTTTTAAATATTTGCATTAAAAAAATAATTTCAAAAAATGTCTCCTTGAAATTATTTTTTTTAATATTAGCATTTATTTCAACTATGACTATACGTGCATTCTGTTTGTGCATTTAAAAAACAATTACAAAATACATTTTACTTTTCAACAAACACCTTAAATGTGTGTTATTTCTTTTTTTATCTTGTCTTTAATTGCTATCGATTCAAACCTACAGCAAAAACCGAACATTTTTTTTTCGATTTCTTGAAACAATAGGCAAGAATTGTTTAATAATAATCAAAAAATTTATTAGTTTTAACTAATTTTTCTGATTAACATTTAATACAATTTATAAATTGTATAGGAAATAAAAATATAAATTGTAAAGTAGGAAATTTTCAATTTTTCATTTTGATAGGCAAATTTAAAACATAATAGTAATTGAGTAGAGTTAAATCCTTCCATAATTTAATTGATATAGTTGTTGAATAAAAAATGAAGCTTTGAAATTTACAAATATTATGTACAATTTCAAAATGTTCTATTGATTTTGTAGTCACTATGGAAACAAAAATTGTCAGCATAATGTTATCTTAAATGTAATAAAAAACAATATAGTCGATTGTTATATTGTTTCATGTAAAACTCCCAAAACTTTGGATTTTCTTAAATTAAGAAATTAACAAATGACTTACCTAATACGTCGGAAGTAACGAGTACACTGCAGAAGTACATCGGGGTCACTAAACGAGGTCTCCTCAGGCTGAATGCTTTTCTGCAAGCTTCCTTACAAGCTGACATTAAATGTCCACCTAGATGTCCTTGACTTTGACTTCCACTTTCACTGCAATCATTCAAATAATTTAAATTCACTTTTAATTCAATTATTAAACATAATTCTTCATTTTTAATTTAATTATTAAACACAATTCCTAGCTCTTAATTCAATTATTATTCAACATAATTTTCAACTTTTAACTAATTATCATAGCTTTCTAACTAAATTTAAAAAAATTTTAATTTTTAATATTGAAAAATTACTTAACATTATATTATCTAATAATATTTTCTTAAAATTATGTCCCTTAAGTTTGCGTTGATACTCTGTGTCGAAAACTACTATTTAAGGTTTTTAGAAATCAAAAAATTACTAATTTCACTTTTTTCATTCACTTTGAGAATTGAAAAACGCTAAAAAAAACTTTTTTAATCTAAAAATTTCATTTTTTCGATTTTGAGGGGAAAAAAATTGTTTTCGACGCTCAGCGTTAACTTGTAAAATAAAATTTCAGAAATTTTAAATAATTTTGATGTAAAAAGCTTTTAAAATTTAAATATTTCTAAAATTATCACTGTAATTCTTTTAAAATTAAATTTTTTTAAAAATTTTCAAGTAAAATTATTTAAAACTTTGATAATTTTTTAGGAAAATAATAAATTAATAAATGTTAAAAATGAATATTTATATTTAAATATTATTACAGTTCTACAGAAATTCAAATTTACAAAGATTTCAATTTAAAAATCTTTTGAAATTTAATTATTTCTAAAAATTTTAACTGCAATTCTTCCAAAATTCAATTATTTAAATACAAAAGTAAATAATTGATTATTCACTAATATTGAATGATTATAAAGAAATTTTTCAAAATTTTGGAAAGTAATTGATTTCTTTTGAAGAATTTTAATAAAAATGACATTTTTCATGGAATTCATTTAAAATTGTATATTAAGAAGAATTGAAATCCTGCGAAGAATTTCATTATTTATGAAAATTATTGAATTCTTGCAACTAGTTTTATAAAAAATTTTTTAAATAATTGAATACCAGTGAAGAATTTTGTTATTTGTGAAAATAATTGAATTACTACGAAAAATTCTATTATTTGTGAAAACAAATGAATTTTTGCAATTTTTTATTATTATTAAATTATTAATTTCTCTTTTACGAGAAAAAAAAATTAATTTACAAATAAAGTTAACTAATTGAAATAAATTAATATTTTTAATTGAAAAAGAAACAAACCTTTGAGAATCTTCATAAATCTCCCATTTTTTGACGACAAAACAAACACCCATCATTGGCTCTTCACAAAGTGGTCCAGCAAACGTTGCCAATTGAAAACCATTGATCATACTGTTCTCGTATCTGTTAAGAAGAAAAAAATATTACTTTCAACCTCTAAACTACTTTACAAAAGTTATTTTTCATTTTCAGCATTATATTTCATGGAAAAACTTTTCTTATCTTATGCAATAATATTTTATTCACTTGGGCATTATTCTGGTTTTGCCAATGTAATCAAAACAAAAAGAGTGTAATAAATAAGAGATTAATAAATAATAGGAATGTGGGACTTGAATTAGTTCTTATAATTAAAACTCAAAATTATTTTTAAGCTGAAAAATTGAAGCAATTTTTGAAAATAGAGTCAACTTACACAGCTCTATTATCAGACGATTTACTTTCCGAATCAGTGAAAACACTACTCTTAAAATCCGTCTCATTGAGTAAAATATTCGGTCCACATTTTCTTGGACCAAATGACCAAATTTTCTCCAAAGTCTCATTCCATCCAGCTTCCTTAAATGCATCATTCAATTCTGTTTTAAATACTTCCAAAGAATGATTTTTCTTACTCAACAAATTTTTCGAATCTAGCGTTAAATTCTGAATTTCAAGTTGTTCCTCAACAGTATCAACAGTTTCATGACAATTTTGATCTAACAATTTAATAAGATCGGCATTTTTTTCCAATAATTTCGTCACATTATCAGGCAATGGTTTCGCGTCAATTTCAAAATAACACTGACGATTCGGAGTCCAAGTTTCAAGACTAGCTTCCTCTGTTTTTTGACTTATTAGCTCCTTCATCAAATCGTGCTTTGGCGGTGGAACGCAAGTCTCACGGAACGAGACAATTGGCTCCGAAACATTGACCTCGACGTTTGCGTATCGAAGCTTCAGGTCTTCCAAGCATCTCTCGAGATGCACTTCCCCGGCGGTGTTGAGAACAATTTCACCAGTTTCCTGTATGTGGACCAAGGCGCAGGCGTCGGCTTGATTCAGGAGTTTCAGGCCGTTGATTAATTTTTGAAGATCGTTGGGATGTTTTGGCTCGAGGGCGACCCGGAGAATTGGCACCGTGAGTGACGTGAGTTCGGAGAAGGAGGGACAAGCCAGGGATGTGGAGAGGGTCGCGGTCTTCAGAACATGGTCCTTGAGACCTCCGATTCCGATCAAATTCCCCGCTGGTGCCTCGTTCAGCGTTTCCAATTCGCGACCCATCAGGAGGTAGAGTTTCTTGACGGTGAATTTCGTCACGTGTCGTCCGGGTTTCAAATCCTTGAGGGAGGTGGGAATTTCCGTTTCTGTTTTGTTCAACCTTGGGTCGTGTTTGGGTCCCAGGACATAGACTTCACTGTCGGGTTTCAATTTTCCAGAGTAGACACGAGCGAAAGCTATCAGATTATTCTCGGACTCTTCGGGTATTTCCGATTCGCTGGACGGAAGTTGTTGGTGGAGGGTTTCTTGCTCGGTACGTTCGGCGAGTCGTTGCTTCGCGATTTCGCGTCTCAGGGCCATTTCCTCGGGTGTCAATGGTTTGGGCTTATTTTCCGGCAGGGATTTCCCATCGACTGTGAACATTTTCGAAATGAAGACTATAATCGGCGTCTGGGGTGAGGAATCACAGGCCAGGAAGTGTTTCTTCAGCTGCTGAGTTTCGGGTGGCAAGGTCGCGAAATCCGTCGTGCCGCTCATGAGACGTTCGATCTTCTCCTCGGTGAGTTTGTCGGGTGATGGTATCTTCTCACAAATTCCGTTCAAACAGGCCCGGGCCAAAGGCAGCCACTGATTGCAAATAGCCTGCAACTGCGATTTCGCATCCGTGTGTCTCAAGTCTCGGGTTGTTAACTTAATCCCAAGTTTCTCGACCATCGAGCTAATTTTATCCTTGTCCTTTCTTATCACAACCGTGTCGTACATTATCCAAATATTCTCCAGAATCAACTGAACGAACAGCGGCTTCTTCGCCTTCTCCTGCGCGCCTTTAAAAATCCTCTTCAACTTTCCATTCAGATAGTAATCACCCCAGAGCGTTTTCATCAAAACTCCCTCACTAAATCCCAATTTCTCAGCGTAGATTTTCGCGAATTCGCGAATACCAAACCCCCAACCGTCCACGGCGCTGGTGAAAAGAACATTACCCTGCTCCGGCGAGAAATACAGCTGCGAATCGTCAGCCTCCTCAAGCGCCGACTGCCAATCGGATAAATCGCAATTCGTCGCACTCTCGATAATCGTGTTAATTTCCTTCTCCTCACGCTCCAAAATATCGCTCGTAAACAATTCCGCCGTGACCGCGTTAACCTGCTCTAAAACCTGAGTCATATGAACATACGCATCGAGAGGAGTTAATTTCATTTCCATAATCAGCCGATCAATTTTATTCAACACCAAAATTGGTTTCAAACCCTCGACATACGCGATCGCGAGAGCGCTACGCGTCTGCGGGCAAACACCCTCGACAACATCAACAACAACAATTGCCCCATCGCACAAACGAACGGCCGTCGATACTTCCGAGGCGAAATCCACATGTCCCGGCGAATCGATCAAATTTACCAAAAATTCCTCACTATCAAACAAATGATACAAACTTATCAAACTCGATTTCATCGTAATGCCCCGAAGCTGCTCATCAGGACGACTGTCCAAATAACGTAATTTCCCCGCTAATTTATTCGATATTATCCCATTGCTCGCGACCAACGAATCCGATAATGTCGTCTTCCCATGATCCACATGAGCCAAAATGCAAATATTACGAATTCTCCTCGGATCCCTTTGCAATTCTTGCAATTTCTCCGAACCGATTAGTCTCATATTTAATAATATTCAAACTATCAAACCGAAAAAATAAACTTTCTTTTACAAAAAAGATCAAATTTCCCTTTTCTCAAACGTCGTATCCCTGTCAAATAAAAAAACGAGACTAATAAATTATTGCGTAACTTGATGAAACTTGACAAACAAAATTAATAGTTCGAAAAAAAGTCCCAAATTTAGAAACAAAAAAATACTGTCCTCAAAAATTAAACACTATTTCACTTTATTTTGTTTCCAAAGTGCAAAACGTTCACTAAACACAAAAACAACTTGTTGATTGGGAAACATTGATTTCGAATTGCACAACATGCCCGTGACTTTCGTCGAATTGTTTCGAAAAATTGATAGCAACTCTCGACGAATTTGTTGGGATTTAAAATTTTTCAATTTCAAGGAAATATTATTTGTCAATGCCAACAAAAAACGTGTTTGTCAGCTGATTTAGATTTTCCTTTCGTTTTTGAGGTTATGTTGACACACAGAGACAAACAAATTTTTGTTTTAAATAATACTTATCAATTGTGCCTCGTTCAAATATTTGGATAATATAATATTTCGATAATAACACACACTTTTATTATTAATATTTCATTGATTATTAATGCATTTCATTGATATTTTTGTACGAGAAAAACAATGAGACTTGAAAGCAGACTGATTTTATCAATATATACAAACTAGAGTGAAGTTGGCTGCGTATTGTATATCGAACTATCGTGGTCGATTCAAGTCGAGAGAATCTAATCGATATTCGTTCAAAAAAAAAATGTTTTTTAAAAGCAAATTTTTTTCTCTTTTTTTAGAAAGAGAATATTAAAACGATGATAAATTTAAGAGGAAATGGGAAATTTTCATGAAAATTAAAAGTAAAAGTCGAATTCTTACTGTAATTGTAGTTGATAAATAGATTTTTGTAACTTAACCTCAAATAGTTGCGCTCGTGCAAAAATAAACTTTTAACAATACAAACCTTTTTTACTTTCGAATATTCAACAATGTTGTATATTTGACTACAATTCCCAACTTCATTTTTAAATATATAAATGACAATTTCTATTAAAGTAATATTAAAAACAGAAGGTGAATGTACTATTTTACCGCAACTTGCAACTAACGCAATCTCTACACTTACGTACAGAATTTGTCATCATGCAGGGGCACGTGTAAAGTTTTGGCAGCAACTTTTGATTTTTTAAAATCTTGTTAAATATTAATTAACAATACAATAACAACACAATAAATAATAATAATAATAATAATAATAAATGCTAATTACAAAATATTAATTTGTATATATTATAATAAAATTAATATTAGTAATTAAAAAATTAGAATAATAAAATCATAAAATAACTAAATAATAGGTAAAAATAAAAGAAATAATAAAAAATTAAAAAAAAATAGAAGTTAAAAAAATAATAAGATTAAAATTAATTTTTATGTAAATAAAATATCAATTGATGAAAAAAACGGAAACTGTGAGGGAAGTTGGTAATTAAAATCAAAGTTATTAAGTGTACAAATATCATTTTGGTAGTTTAAAAAATTATTTTATAATTGATGCAGGATGTTATTTTTTTGCTTATGTAAAAAGTTAAATTCGAGGTGAATTAAATTTTGTTTTTCTTTTGATAATCAACATAATTATTATTACTGACACTCGAAAAATAAAGAACATTTAATTACGATTCAATTGAAAATGTATAAAAGTTAAATCGCAACACAATTTTTAAAGAGAAAAAAAAATTCATTAAAAATGTTCAAAGCAGTTCTTTTTATTTGTCTCTGTGTTGCAGTGGTAATAATTAATATATTATATTAATTATATATTTCTTTTTTTGTAAATTTATTATATTTTATTGTTTTATACGTTCCTATGTATATATAAATTATAAATATTTTTATTATTATATTTGTTATTGCTGTTATTATATTTTTAATAAAAAATCTATATTATAATTATTCTAAATAATTTCATTAAAATTAACTTTTCTGATTATAGTATAATTAACATTTAAAAAATGATTTTGCATTTAAAATATTCTTTCTTATTATAAAACAGAACTATTTAAATAAATTGTAATTAATTAATAACCAATTTTTTATAATTAAACCAAATTTTTTAGCTATCTGTAAGTGGACAGAGAAACCAAAAAATGTCGAAACAAGCTCAAGGCAATCAGAGACGAGGAAACAGTTTAAGTAGAACTCAAATGGGTCAAAATCGACCTCAAACTAGTCAAAATCGAGCTCAATTTGGTTCAAAACATTCTCAAACTAGAGTATTGTCAATTATTCTTAATTATTATTATTAATTATAATATTAACTTATATAGATGTGTAAATTAATTCCCACTTATTGATATAATGGTATAAATATTTTTCTGAATTTTCCATGATTTATTATAAAATAAAAAAAATTTATAGATGGTTCGACAATTACCACAAATGCCTGGAATGAACCCAGCTGAGATACCGAAATTAATGACTGATGGAATTCAAAAGGGAGTAGGTGTCATGACTAATATGATGGACCCTGGCAAATGGATGCAAGCAGCTTCCCAAATGATACCGAAATCAAACGATTCATAAATTAATTAAAATCAAATAGGTATTTTTTGAAAAGAAGAAAATTTCATAGTTTATATTTTTTAGTTATATATCCTAAGTAGAAATATTTAAAATATTTTAATTACTATATTCTTAAATAAATAAATTTTTATTTTCTTTTTTATAGATTTCATTAGTTTTGAACGAGTAGATAACTTAGACAATAAAAAGTAAAATTATGTAGAAAAATGTACTGTCGTCATAAAGACAAATGGGTAATTTCATCAATTCCACATAATAATGTGTAGAAATAGAAAAAAAAATGTATTTCTGTATTGTTGAAAATTTTTCTGATAATCTGCACTAAAATAAACGAAATATGAATAAAGACTGCGTTTTATTTCTTTCCCCTTATTTCTTTTGACAAAGTAAATAATAAAAAAAATTTCCAACGAGATATCTAAACTTAACAATGAAAATGAATTGAATAAAAAGGACAAAAATACCAAAAGGAATGTTAAAAAATTATTAACGAAGTAGATTCATTTCAATGAATGGTAAAATAAAATCAAATGGAATTTAAAAGTTAATTCTGGAGGTATTCTTATTTTGTAACCAACACTTTTGTACGAGTGCGCCATCTACAGTGAATAACTCACTGTTCGTGACATTTTTAATACTGAGTTTTACACTCTACTCTACTCTTATTTTTGGTTATTAGTTTTACGAAATAAATAAAAGTTTCTAAATAAAAATAAATCGGGAGAATGATTAAAAATTATTACCCTGCATCTTCTTTCTTGAATAATATTCAATATTCGATTGTCTAAATTACAAATATTTTTTAAATTATAAAATAAACTTACCGAGTATTAGATGACCTTCCCATCTTGAACGTTCCATTTCGAACAATATTTGATTGTGTTTGTCACTAATAAATTTTGAGTCCAACTTGAGTATTCGATCTTACATCCTGCGTCTTCTTTCTGGAATAAAATTAAATTGTGTAAATAACTGATAATATATTCTAAAACTAATTAAAGTGCGACGTTCTCGTCAAGCAGTACTTTGTGCTCAAGACCCTTGAACATATTATATTTAGAGTGGAAAACTGCGCATAAAAAAATTAACTCTCCCTGTATGCCCTGTATTACGATCTCACAAAGATCGACATTATTTATAAAAAATTTATAATTTCTGAGCTATTAGGAGAAATTTTGTCAAAAAAACAGTTTTGTGACTTATTATTACGTAATTTTTTCATGCATAGTAAAGAATATCATGACGTATATATGTACTTATATAAGAATAGCAAAAGATTATAAAAGACCTCAAAATTGCATAATATGCCCATTACTTATTTAATATTATTATCAAAACGAAAAATACTTTTTATTATGTCAGCGTGAAGTCAATTCATGTATAAACTTTCAACCAGATGAGAATTTTGTTAAAAGGAAAAAAAATATATATGTATCATACAAATTAAATTGTTATATGATTTATAATATATAACAGCCATATGAGTATTTATAATAAGTTAGCAATATACAAAAAATTCAAAGGTTAAATTTTCTAAACAATTCTGAAAAAAATAGTTTTCGATATAAAGAAATATTACATAATAAGGTGGAAACTTTATCTCGACTACTACAAAATTTAATTATATATATGGCACGAATTGAATGCTACACTTTTTTTTTTAATTATTCATCGCTGAATAAAAGGACTATTTTTAGTATAATCACACTTAAATTACGAATGTATATCTTCATAATAATTTTGTTACGCAAAAAACGATAATAATCTTAGATCCTGCTAATTTTCTGAAAATCATATATCTGCTCTTTATTCTAAATGAATTTTTTTCGCATACTTTTCGAAAAACAAGGAAAACAGATTTATATATAAATCTGAAACTTTTATATGCTTCAATCAGAGTTGAATTGTAACGACACCAAGATGCAAAAAGCAATTTGTTTTTTTATCGTTCTCTTTGCTATTGTTGCAATGTCTGTAAGTTTCAAATTCCTTTTTTTTAAATTTAGTTAGAAATTATAATTTTAATATATTTTTAATATATGATATATTATTTAAATTATATTTAAATTTATGTTAATATAATTAATTTTTTTCTAAATTATAAACTATAATAAATTAGATTTTTGAAATTTTAAATCTCTCTGTACTTTTGTTTTTAATTGATTTATATTTTTCATTTTAATTCAATAAAAATTTGCCTTTTTGTTATGTTTAAATGAATATTTACTTGATTTTGAATAATCAATACTAATTCTCTTCTGTTTAAATACAATTTTCCTAAAGTTTGCTCACCATGGACATAGACACGATGGTCCAATGCCAAATCCTCCCCCAACACCACCAACGCAAGAAGTGAGTAACTATTTCCTTTTAATTTAATAGAATTATTTTTCGAAAATGAATAATAAAAAATTTACTTATTTTTAATTATATTCAAATGTTCTTCAGTTTTTTTAAATCGCAATTTATGGGAAAATTTACAATAAATATTTATTAACATTTCAGATAGAAAATGAATCATCAAATCACAGAGTAAGCAAAGTTTGATTTCTTTTATAGTTTTACTTTAATTTTTTTCTTTTTTTATATCTCCAAAACCATTAGAAGCCAGAATAATAATTTAGTATACAATAGGTATGAAATAATTATAAAAAATAACATATTTCAACAAATTTTAGGTCCACTTGAGAAATTCAAAGTCTTATTTTAATTAAAATTAAATTCTTCACGTCTTTTTTATGAAACGAGAAAATTTTTCAATTTGTCTATTAATTTTTGTTTTTCATTCGATAAAAAGGTTGTTCGTGAAATGCCGAATAAAATGCCAAGCATGGAAGAAATCAAGCAATTCGCTGAAGAGCAAATAAGCAAATTACCTCAACCAATGCAGGATACAATTTACCAAGCTCAGGAAATGATAGCTAAAAATATGAATAAAGAATAACAGACGTAAAATTCCAGAAGGTAAAAATAAAAAAAAAATTCTAAAAACAATAATACTTGACTTGAAAATATAAAATTTTCTTTTACAGGTAATAGTCAAATATTAGTCTATCGCACATTCACCGGTCTTATTTGAATATACAGTACCAATTCCAAATATTGAAAAGAATACCTCTTCGACGTATGATTTTCGATATATATTTGTAAATTTTAATATTTGTCTAATATGTAACTTTTTAAAAATCTGAATAAAGTAGATTTTTGCACTTTATCCTTATTCAATTTTATCCTCCCTTTTTTTATAAAAAGAAACTGTCATAATTCTTATATATATAAATTGTCATAATTTAAATCTTTGTCTACATATTGAACAAAAGTGATGACTTTATAATTATAGAACAAGTAATACTGTAGAATACCGAGATCAATATTATCCCCGTTCTCTCTATAAATATTTAACCCGAATTAATAATTTGCATAGATATATATTTCCGATATCGTTCACCGTACAACACGAACCGAGAAATCTAAGTTGAGAGACAAATTTAATGAGGTTCAGTGACCGTAAAATTAAATTCAACCCTGCGCAGAGATTTACTATTTATTTCTATATATGTATATTGTATTTCGCAATTTAATTCAAATAAAACAAATACTAATTTATGTTTTAATTATCTTTGATATTAAGGAGAATATGTGATCGTTATAGTTCATAGGGTATTTTTAACATATTGCAAAATGCTTTACTAATATAGAACAATATACTTAAAAGGAATAGAAAAAAATTATTAAATTTATTTCGATTAATAATGAAATAAAATATATTTAAAAATGAACTCTGTACTTATTCTGTAACCAACACTTTTGTACGAGTACGCCATCTACGATGAATAACTCATTGTTCGTGACATTTTTAATACTGAGTTTTACGCTCTAATCTACTCTTATTTTTGGTTATTAATTTTACGAAATAAATAAAAGTTTCTAAATAAAAATAAATCGGGAGAATGATTAAAACTTACCATTCTGCATCTTTTCTCTTGAATAATATTCGATTTTGTAAATTACAAATACTTTTTAAATTAAAATAAACTTGCGAGTATTAAATCCCTTCCTTACTTTCACGTTTCATTCCAAAATAATATTTAATTGTGTTTCTTACTAATGAATTTTAAGTTCATATTTATAGAAACTTGAGTTCTCGATCTTACCATGCAGCGTGTCTTTTTTAATAAAATTTGATTGTGTCAATTACAAATATATTCTGCGATTTAACAAAACTAATTAAAGTGCGACGTGCTCGTCATACGACGTGCTCAAGACCCTTGAACATACAAAATATGTAGAGTGGAAACTGCGCATAAAATAAATTCACACGATTTTATAAAGACAAATCGACACAATAATCCAATTATCCATACCTCCATACGGTAAAAATATTCATTATATATTTATCATTTTTCTAAGTTTTTAATTTCTGATTAGCTATAGAGTTGCTTAAAACTTGTTAGTCGAGGTTGTTTACAGTTGCTAATTTAAAAAAAATGTTATATCCCAGTAAAAAATAAAAGATACAAGACCCGTGCGGTGTCTCGTATCTTTTATTTTTTACTGGGATTCCATCCGCCTTTTTGAATTTTTGAAATCTGACATTGAATTCGGATTTAGACTTAAAAAATCTTGAATTAAAACAATTTTTAAAAAAAAACTTTTTTCTACCGTTTTTGGATAATTAAACTCAATTTTTCACTATAGACTGCGATGGGGTCAAGGCAATTTCCTGTCAATTTTTTCATTTAGTCATTATACATCATCATTATCCGTTATTACTACTCTCTCATATTAGATCAGAAGTGCATTTATCAACAAAAAGAGGGATGAAAATCTGATATGGAGCTTGCGTACACCCTCGAAAAGTATTTGAGCTACAAGTCGCGTTTGAAGCATTCAACTTTTAGTCACGCGCACAAAATCAGACAGGATCTGCTCTCGAAGGAGCAAGGACCACAATTTAACGCGTCTATTTTTGTATAATTATAATTTTCACAATGATTTTAAAAAACCCAAGAGAATTTAAAATTACCTACATTATGGAAAAATGAAACAATTATTTTTTCAATTATTTAACAATTTTATTGGCAATTTTTTTTAAATCCGTTTCCAATTTATACTCAAACGTACTTTCTTCATTTTTATTCTGTTTAATCTTCTTTAAAAACATTTTTCCCTTGTGTAGAAGGATTATTTTCTGGAAGTATAAAAAATATCTTCCTCTTTTTTGTGATATTAGTTAAAAATATTTGGTGTTTTTAGTGAATAAGTGTATGAAATTGTATTTGAAATTGTCTCCTATTCAAGTGCCTTGATTATTTTGTATAGGTTTTAAATTTTAATTTATGATACCTACTATTTAAAATTATCGATGACAATTATTGCAAATACTAAATTGCGTATAAAAATTGTTAACTGCAACAAATGTTAATGTTAATTAATTTTAAAATTTGCAAATAGTGCAACGAACCCAAATTATATCATTAAATATTTTCTTCAATGTGGAAACAAAGTGTAATTCACCAACAACGGGCTTTTCGGATTTGAATATTGCAGCTGAAAAAATTATTCTCGACTTACTTTAAATGGAATTTTTAAAATTACGTTAAATGGAAAAATTCGTAATTATGGAAGCCAATAGGTATGTTATGTTACACCTGTAAAAGAATCTTACTTTCAGCCCGCACTTAAAACGCGTTTACAAGTATAGAACATTTAGAACCACGTTTGACTTAATTTTAGCTTCGAAATTATGATTTTAAGTCCTAAAGTTATGACTTATAAGTTTAAATTTAAAAACAAGACATTTTTTTTTGAAACAGAATTTTAGAATTTAACAATATTTATGTCAACTTTATACCGCGATGACGAAATTTCTACACTATCATCATTATTAAACATTAAAAATAACGACATTATTATGTGCTATAATTTTTTTTCGATTCTGACGGAAGAAACATCTATTAAAGTGAAATATTTTCCTTTTTATTGGGATTACAAGGGGAATTCTATTGAGAAAGTTACTAAAAGTATATTTCACCTTCTTGAATTTTTTATAATAAATGAATAATGTATTGATATTGGGGGAAGGATATATTAAAAATGAAGATAATGTCAAAGTTCGACAACTCAAAATATCAATAAGAGAGGCAATAATGATGATGGTAGAAGAAATTATTTCTTCTCAACTATATTAGAAAAAAATAATTATTATTTATTTAACCCTCTGCCTATACGTCAAAAATCGTATATATCAATATTTGAAATGAGGCTGCCGCAACATTCTTATAAAAAAATCAAAACAGAGTTAAAATCATCCCTAATTTTCAATATGAGTGAATTTAAACAAAACTCAGTATTCAAAGTCATTATATTAAATTATAGAATAATATTTGGAATTTAATATTTAGAAAAATAGAAAGAATTTATTACCTTTTCTTTTTCAGTGTAAATAATTCAACCCTACCACCGAATATGACATTTACAAATCGTTCAATGACCGTCATAATAGTGTACTGTATATTTTTTATAATCGCCGCAATTGGAAATCTCACTGTATTTATTACACTGTCAAGAGGTCGTTACAAAAAATCAAGAATTGCATTGATGATCTGTCATTTATCAGCCGCGGATCTCTTTGTCACTTTCTTCATGATTCCACTCGAGGTACAAAATTGTATACTTTTCGATTTTTTTTAAAAAAAAGTTTGTTAATTTCTATCAACGGATACACTATATAGAACTATTTTAAATGAGAACTATAAAGCAAATTAATATTTGTTTTATCTTTTCTTATTTGCAATTAATTTCTAGGTTGGTTGGAGGGTTACAGTGAAATGGCTGGCTGGAAATTTCGCTTGCAAAATCTGCTTATTTTTGAGAGCATTCGGCCTATATTTATCTAGTAATATACTCATTTGCGTTTCATTAGATAGGTGCGTAAGAAAAAGAATACAAGCCCCACTTCAACTACTTCCTGATAAGTGTTTGATAAATCCGTTATTTTTAAAATATGTATAGTACTATTTTAAAACAAGAGGGTTGGTGCTAGCTTAAAGACAGGATTCTCTATCTTAAAGTGTTTTACATTTACCTTAGAGTCAATTTATCGCAATTATTTTGCCATAATTTATATAAGTTACGATGACTTGATCGACACTAAAATAAAAATTTACAGGTATTTTGCAGTTCTACATCCTCTAAAATTAAACGATGCTAAGAGACGAGGAAAACTGATGTTAACAGTCGCTTGGATTGCAAGTGTCATTTACGCAATTCCACAAGTATGTATAAATATATAAAAGAAATTCTAAATAAACTACTATAGAAATAAAAAAATTGAAAAATAGAAATTTCAAAAATAATTCATACAAAAGTATACTGTATCACACTTTCTTTTAGAGTTTCATATTTCACGTGGCAACGCATCCAGAATATCCGAATTTCACCCAATGTGTCACATTTGGCTTTTTCAAATCGGAATCACAGGAAAATATTTACAACATTTTTTGCCTTTTAGCCATGTACTTTGTGCCATTAATAGTTATTTGTTGGGTGTACATGAAAATTTTTTGTGAAATCAACAGCAAATCTCGCGAAAATAGACAAGGTATGGGGGACAATTATAGTGGGCAAAAAACTATATATGTTCGATCCAAAAAAAAATGTTTTTAAGACACATATAGTTTCATGTCAGCCAGAAAATGTTCTAAAATATTTAACTTATGCTGATGCTATCGACGTCCTGTTATCGTCAAAAATCATCGTTTTGAACGCTTGGTGTGGACTATGGGAGTTCCATGTTCTTAAAATGTTTTGGAACATTGTTTGGTAGACATGAAACGTTCTAAACAGATTATTATCATAGAAAATTAAAAATGTAACTAAAATGTTGAATTTTACCTTTTAGTTTTAACGAGGACACGAAGTGACGGCAGTTCAGGGAGTTTAAACAGTGGAAGTGATAGTCGCATGAGATTGAGATGTTCGGACATGAGTCGTATCAAGAGAGCTCGGACCAGAGCTTTACGGATGACCATAACCATTGTCGCTGTGTTCATCTTATGTTGGACTCCGTACGTGACAATGGTGCTCTGGTTTGTAGATTTATATTTTTAACATATGAGAAAATTGAATATAATTGAGCGGATGGGAAGAAGAACTCGACGAGCGCGAGACCGTAAAGGATAGTTCCAGTCAGGTAGCAGTGTGTGGCCCAGAGGCGCTCACTGCTACCTGACTGATATTATCCCTTACGGTCTCGCGCTCGTCGAGTTCTTCTTCCCATCCGCTCAATTTAATTTAGAAAATAAAAATCTTCCCTCCATCCTAAGGTCCGTCCTTTACGTATAAGTAAAGATTTTTATTCTTCCGATTGCGATCCGTTCAAGATTGGGCTCTGACCTCATAATCCTTCTTCTGCATCTTGGTTCTTGTGTGGGATGATGAAGAAAACGTAGAAAATAAAAAGTGAAGATTACAAATCAATAACTCATTTTTCAGGTACATTATCGATCGTCAAAGTGCACTGAATGTCAAGCAGGAAATACAAGAGGCACTTTTTATAATGGCTGTTGGCAATTCCTGCGCAAATCCACTTGTCTACGGAAGTTATGCCGTTGACCTGAAGAAAGAATGTTGCAGGTGCTTTCTTCCGTTTCCGAAAGAAGATAACATCCAAACGTATTACGTACAACGCGATACAAGTAAAATTAACATTTCCTATATTGACACAGTCTTTAAAGAGATTAAAGTTTAAATATATATACAAAAATTAAAGTTTACAATGCAAATAAGAAATTATGTTTATGCTGCAGGGCCAAAATCATTGATTGTAGAAAAACAGTCTCCAGGTGAAAGTGTCATTTTCATAAAATCAGTTCGAAGAATTTTGCACGATTACTTTAAAGGTGAAATAAAAAATTTTTGTTTCTATTTTTCAATAGAAAAATCTAGTAATCCGAATTTTGGAATACTATAGCTAAATTATTTTCTTCCAGTTGGAAGGGGACAAACGGAGACAACATGCAATACAACCCTAAACGCTGAGTGCGTTATGATAAAAAATGTTGTTTAAAAACCATCCCTCCAGAATGTGGTTAGTATTCGACTATTTCTGTATCTAAATGAAGAAAAGCCTAAACTTACGATGCTAAATGAAGAAATAAATATTTTGTCTTCTTACAGTGAAAGAAGTTGTATACTTCAAAAAATCTTCAGAGGTATATATGCGGAAATAAATAAAATACGTAAATTCAGAAAATTTTTCTACTTTTCGCTTTTATTTTCATAGACGAAAAATTATCACAATCATCTAATTGTGTGAACTCATCAATAAATTAAACATGTCAAAGTAAAAAAAAAGTGAATAAATGCATATTCATAAAGGTTCAGGTCAACTATATGCGTGCGTAATCTTTTTCAAATGCTATCTTTTTTTTTATAAATATATAACAATGTACACACACTTTTAAAGAAACGAAAATCATCATAATGTAAATTTAAACAAAGTTCCACAATTTTTCAAATGTTCCGACAATTTTCAATTTACATACATATATTTATGTATTAATTTTTAACTTCTTGTAACAATTTTAAAACTTCATTTTTTTAAATACTTTTTAAAATTCATTCTTTAAATATAATTTTTTAAATATTTTTAAAAAATTTTTTTAAATTCATTAATTTTGTTTTACAAAATTCGAAAATTTCTTCTATACAGTAAGGCACAATTACATAAAATTTCGTCCAGCTTATATTTTAATATATTAGAAGAAATCTTCCGAATCGCACTTAGATTTATGTAAAATTAATTTGCTTATAAATTAAAACACGCCTTCCGCCTTTTTTTTATACCTAACAGTACATTTTTTATAATTTCACATATAATACATGTGTGTGTATAAATTTAATCCTATTTGAAGACATTTTGTACATAATAGAAAACTTCATAGTAAGCTTTTAAAAATATGAATTATGTAAATAGAAAAAAGAAAATTTATTCAGAATACATATATCGCAAACTATCTTATTTTGAATATTTAAAATTTCTATATTTCATTTGTTGTGTGAATTAGTTTTAGAGTTAGAAAAAAAAATTTATTCCAAATATTAGAAAAGTATTCAGTGTAATTGAAATATTTGAACCGACGTCACGGTTTTAAAACTGTGACATCATAATATGATTCAAATACCTGTAAGAAATGAGTAACAAAGAGAATTTAATTTTTAATTTTTAAAGATTTTTCGAGTGATGCAAATTATTTATTCTTAATTAGTTTCTTTTTGAATCTATAGGCCAAAATTTCATGATCCTCTATTTTTTTTTTATAAATATTTTGTGTTAAATTTTGATGAAAAATACACATGTAGATTGCAGTCTTTCTAGGAAAATAATATATTATTATTTTATAAACTAAAAAATATGGCAATTTTGAATATATAGATTTTTTTTTCACTAAGGATATTATAATTATGATGCACTAGCTCGTTCGGGTACGTCACTCACTTCCTCTTGATCCTTGGTCTTCTTTCTGAGTGCCCTACCGCGAATATTGAGCATTGTTCTCACAACCAACCACACAGCACCCTTTTCGCAAATACATTGCAATGCCCTGATGAATCCCACAATTAAACAATGTGGAGGATAGCCCGTTGTTCTCGATTCAATTCCAATTGTTTTTAATTGTGATTCGACAAATTTCTCCGGTGTTGGTGCCATCCACGTTGCTCTCCTTTGAAAATAAAGAAATAATAGTCATTAAACTTTAAAATAAAATTTAATTTTTTTTCAAATTTTTAATATCATTTCATATTTTAAAAGTCTATTTTTAAGACTATATTCCCCCTCTGAAATCTTTCGTTTTGTAAAGAAAAGAATTAACTCTCTTGGTCTTTAACAGTTTTTTAAAAAAAAAATATCAATTCTGATTTTTGAAAAAATGGATTCAGAAAAAAATTTAATTTATTTAGATGAACCAGAACATTATAAGAACGATGATAATAAATATAGAATAAAAACGTAGATACATTAAACCGGTATTATTTGAATATCAAAAGAGCAGTCGAGAAAAAAAAAACGGAAAGTGTTACCTAGAAATATAGAAAATGGAATTTTTTATTTTTAACTACGTAGAAGCTTTTTTCTTCATTTTATATTTCTCTAAAAATATAATCAGGTTTAAAAATAATATTTTTCCTCAAAATTAGATATTTATTTTCCTCTAATTTAGATTAAATATTTTATGTATAGCTTATTGTAGCCTTGCTATCTTATCTCAATTTTGAAGAATCATATACTTTATCTTACGCTACTAATGTATTTTTAAAATGTATAAAATATCATTAAATTTTATTAAGTACCTTAGAAATTCGACTGTAGAAAAAAATACCGTTTTACTATTTTCTTTAAATACTTCTTTCTCTCTCTAGAGACGCATGCGCATGAACTATCGAAACTTATGCGCGCGGATGCGGATTGGTAGTTCGTGCGCATGCGTCTATAGAGAGAGAAAGAAGAGGGGACGTTAAGTACACTCTGACTCTTTCTACCTACCTACTAAATTAGATATTATTTAGTACGAAAAAGAAGAATAAAAAGAGAAAAAAAGGAGACTAAAAATGAAGGAGAAAGAAAAATGTGGAAGATAAAAACATAAATTTAAAATTCTCACTTGATTTTTGACATTTTGGTGGCCACTGGTCCGGGCAAGACGCACTGCACTGTCACCCCTCTGGGAGCAGCTTCCGCAGCAAGATCTGCACTCAATTTATCAACATAAGCCTTGCTGGCCGCATAGACCGCTAAATATGGACTGGGAATTGCAGCCGCCGTTGAACTAATATTGATGACAACACCACTTCTCCTCTCCATCATTCCAGGAAGAACTGCCCTTGCAACCCCCGTGACACCGGCCACATTCAATTGCAATATTTTCGCCAAAGTCTCCTCACTAACATGAGTAAACAACTCTGGATGCTCGTAACTCCTACCGGCATTGTTCACCAGTACTCCCACCTGTAATAATAATGATTTCTTAAAAAATAATATACCTTCTCCCGTGATTAAAATGTAAAAGTACCCTAAAGACCCCTATAGGAGGTATTAAAGTGAGCTCAGGCACAGAATTAATATTTAAATAAAACAAAAAGAACAACAATATTATTTTATATAGAAAAATAATAATTGCAGAAGAAAGTCAGCAACCGAAAAAGTTGTATATGGCACATGAAAAAAAAGTCGGTGGTCAGTTATATCCTACTGATGGGATGAAGTCAATTAGAGAAACTTGCTATAAACCAAAGTCTCTCGATTATCCCCTCTGTGAATTGCTGCCTTTCCAGAAGTGATATAACACTTTCTACTCGTTCAAGATGCGAAATTTTATTTTGTATACCAATACATAATCGTCTCTCTAATTTCCAAGACTGATATATACAAAAGTGAAAATATATACATATACCTATAAGGATATCGAGACTAAAATTGGCAAATTTTTCAACAGGGTGTTATTAAAAAGGTTCAATGACCTTTTAGGTAATACTCTACATAGACAAAAATCTTAGCATAATTCTTTTTTTTCCGTTTGCCCTTTTATATAATATTCACGATTTCGTGTATTTTAAAAATCGTTACGTTTTGAAATTATTTTTTCCCCCTTTATATAATATACAGAGTATTCTAGATTATGTAAAGAATTTTTAATTATTGAAAGTGGTAGAATAATAATTAATATGCGGAATGTTTTAATGAATTTTAATCACGAAACGCATTCATATTTGTAAATATTAATAGAATAATAAATTAATAATAATAAATTTACGCCTTTAATATTATAATAAATTAATATTTATCTGATAATGAGAAATTCGGCAAAAATAGAACACTTGCATTGCTTTCACACTCGAGTGGCGCTAGCAGTTCAATTGGCGGACCAAACAAAAGTTGTCGCCAAACGGTGACAACTTTTTTCCGACAAATGGAGTGACAGTCTGACAGTAGTATAGAATAGTAGTGTATAAACGGTTTTCAGGTGAATTTCTGAGCTATTGCATAAATTTCATCGAAATATTTTGTATCCTTTTAAAAATACACATATCTTGTGTGTAGAAACGAAGCGTATTTACGTCATCGCCCTTCGGAATACATAGAATTTCAAATTCAAATTTCCAATTCAATTCTTTTGTCAATTTTTGGTAAGTGGACGTTCTTAACCTTGAAATTGATTTTCCGGTTCGTTTCCCAGACTAACTATAGATCGATATCGTGACTCGTATAATTCACTTATTTTCAATAATCGTGAAATAAGTAGAATAAAAATAAAATAAATAATAAGTAAATTATTTCAACCTAATTGTTCAGAATCAGTTTATATCATCAGTTAATTGCTGTAATATAAATAAATAAACGTCAAAAATAGTAAATAAAATTAAAAAATAAATAAAATGTCAAAAATAATAAATAAAATTTTGAAAAATAAAGATAAAAGTAAAAGAATGATAAAATTAGTATAAATAAAAATGTACCTCTAGATCCTCAATGGCTTTGCCAATTTTATTGTAGACAGCCTGACCCTCGGTTAAATCGGCCTCAATGACCCGCGTTTCGACCCCGTAGGCCTGTTTAATTTCCGATGCAGCTTCCTTCAATCGGTCAATGGACCTCGACACGAGAATAATGTCGAGTCCCTTGTTGGCCAGAGCTTTTGCGTAAGCTTTCCCAAGGCCGTCAGTCGCCCCAGTGACTAATGCCCATTTGCCCTGTGTTGCCACATCAATACCCAATCCAAGACCCGGGGCAATTAATTTCTTCCATGCCAATACACTTGCCCTTATTAATATTCGTAGACCCACTGCGGCCACCACAACAATTGTAATTTTCTCCCAACAAGACAGAGCCATTCTGTGATCACTGAAAAACATTTTTTCTTCCTTCACTCTTTTGCAATAAAAAATATAACAATTAAAAAAAAAAAAGACTTTTAGAAAAATTTTACTTTAATTTCTATCTATTTCTATCTTTATTTAGCTTCAGAATAAATTGAATATAGAGATAAAAATTTTATTTTCGAAAAAAAGGAATAATTTTAATTTCTTTTGACAAAATTGTTTCTATTTCACGGATTTCTTTCGAAAGCGAAAATATTTTTTTTATGTTTCACCTCTTGAGGTGTATAAATGAAGACTGATATTCTTATCAGTAGGCAATTATTCTTGACCTGTATGAGTTTATTCAAAAGCTTGTCAGCATTTTTTTTTTTTTCTGTTCATATACTAACGCGCAGTCTATTCTGCTCAAGTGAGGTTTTTTTTTCACATATTCACATTACGCGTTAAATGCTTATACAAATATTAATCAATAACAGGAAATGAACAATTTTCCTTATTTAAAACATTTAAGAATTATAGCCTAGAGCGAATTTTTTTTATAATAGAAAAATAATGTTGTTACAATTCATTAATAATTATAAATAGAATTTCTTTTTATAACATATATCAATAAATAATTTTAAAAATGGAAAATAATTTTTTAAGCTTCTTCTAAAAAAGATAATAAATAATGAATTATAAATTATAAATAAAACATTGAAAATAAATTATAAATTAAATATTTCAAATAAATTTTAAGTTATTCAAATGTGAACGCTCAGAACTTTATTTATTATTATTAATTACTTACTTTTCTATTAATGAACGAAATATTTTCATAAATTTTCGATTATTTTTAATTATAATATCAATGAAATAAAATAATAATTTTACAATAAAATAATTGTAATTTAAGTTTTTGATAATGAAAATCTTCTCTGATTAAATTTACCAATAATATAATTTTAATTGGAAATAAAATAATGAGGGAATTAGTGGCAATTCTATTTTTCGAAAATTCGATTCGTCTTGTTATGTGTAATGTGTATTATAATTTCTAAGAGTTCAAAGACCCGTGTAGCGTAATGCTAATTTACATTATTGAATTAGAAGCGGAAAAATATCTTAATGACACTTTTAAAATGAAGAAAACAAAAAAAAACGTTGAATTATTAAATTCAAAATAAATACTCGGAATTTTTTTTTCTATTTCAAACACGTGTAGGAATTGAAAAATTTATAACTCATAAAAAAAGTGTCTTTAAATAATTAGTTTTCATTTTTAACAATTCAGCAATTTTACTGCGTAGAAATACAGGTGTTGTAAGTAATTATAAGTAAAAATTTTATTAGGTAAATAATTATAATTTATAAATATTTATTTAATGTTAATTTTATAATAACAATTATTAATTATAAATTATTATTTATTAATAATGATCATTAAGTACACGTACATTTAATTAATTAGTTTATCTTTTAATTTATTATATAACATTAATTAGTTGTTTTATTATTAACATAATAATTACACGGAAAAAGTATAATAACCGTAACTTTTACTATACTTTGAAACTAAATTCTAAACTTTCTGAAAATTCTGCGCATTTCTGCGGCAAATTTTACTATTTCCGTATAGTAGTAAATTTTATTATTATTTTTACAGAAATGTACTTTCCGGAAATGATGAAGTTAATTAATATTATTATTTTTATTATTATTATTATATAACATATATAAAAATATAATGAGATATTATTAAAAGAAATAAATATAATAAAGAAGAAAAAATCCAAAATTGCACAGAAATTGCAAAAATTGTATCTTTTGCTAAAAAAGTATAGTAAAAATTACATTATTCTTTTTTTTCGTGTATTATGTAACAATTATATAAAATAAAAATCCAAAAAGGGAAAACTAGGACAGAATCGAAAAATACATTAAATACTTATTATATAATTAATTAATTTTAAATTTAATAAAGCGAATAAAATTAAATTGCAAAAAGATTCGAAACCTTATATATATATTTACAAAAAAGGGGAAAGTGAAGAAAGCAAAAAAAAAACTATTTTTTTTTAAAGTTAGCAAAATAATTATTTTTTAATGCCAAAAAAATTGATTTGCAAACAATTTTTTCGAAAGTAGCAAAAATAATCTTTTTGAAATAGCAAAATAATCCTTTTTCACCCCCTATCGATTAGCAATAAAAAAAAAAGAATACAATACCAATTGTTTCGTCGTTACAGATAAACAAAAAAATCCATACATTATAGAAAAACTTTCACACTTTCTCACCTGTCACTGACATTCGTTGTAAACGAAAATTCAAAAATTGTTCAATGTAATCATTTGTTTATTTGCAAAACAAGTAAAATAAATCATTTCGTTTCTTTTTTTTTTAATGTTTCTAAACACATGAAAAAAGAACTGATTTGAAGGAGTAATGATAATAATATGAAAAAAAAATAAATATGAGATATTTTGTGAACACACGAGGGGCCGTCGGGAGGTCGTGATATCACGAGACGGTCAAAAGCCCGCGGTCGATGCTTGGGAATCTCGTCTTGCACTGCGCGCGCGCAATGTCAGGGCTGGAAATCCCCTTCTTCCTTGATCTCGACACGCTCTTTCTTTGGCACACTTAATTCAATCGTTCGAGAGTCTGGATATAAAACTGAGAACTAGGCTATTATATACTCATTTTTTTCTCTTCTCTTTTTTTTTCTTAATTCCTTCGAATGATTTTATATTCTTTTTTTCTTCTAGCAAACTGGCAACTCATCATTTAATTGCCCCATTTTTTTTTAAATATGAATTCGTATTTTCGGTATATGCAAAATTATGGTGACAAGAAAAGAACATTTTTACGCTTATTTATTGATGAAAATAGTTTTTTCTTGTAAATTTATTTATTAACACCTATTATTTGTTTATCAAATATCTTTACCCACTATACTATGATTTATACGTTATTTATTTGTAAGGTACCATAAATTCCATAAATACCATAAATTACCATAAACACTATTAATTATAATAATAATAATAATAATAATAATAATAATAATAATAGTAATAATAATAATAATAAATTATTGTTTTCAGTAGTGGCAGTAGAAGTAGTAGTAGTGGTACTAGTAGTGGTAATATAGTATCAGTACCAGTAGTAATACTAGTACTAATAGTTACGATTTATTATTTGAATTATTGATTCAAATAAATTTTATTTGATTCAAGTAAATGTTTAATTGATAATAGACATGTTATCGATTTATTAGAATCAAATATAAATTTTAGTAGTAATATTTACTAATAGTAATAATTAGTAGTAGTATTAATTGGTAATATCTTACTTAATTCTAATTATTATTTACTACAATATAATAATAAGAGAATATAAAAAAAATACCCTATTCATTCCAATTTATTGTCAATTATTATTCTTATTTATTATAAGTATTGAAAAATATTTTTTGGGTAAATATTATAAATATTGTATCTGTACACTGTCGTCATAATGAGAAAAGAAATGAAACGTTGAGTATGATATTACATTTTATTATAAAGAAGGTAAAACAAGGATATTAACACTTTTAAATGTATATATATAAATGTGTGTGTGTGTATGCTTTGCGAAACGGCACTTGTCAAAAAGTGAGAGGATTCTGAAGATCAAACAAGATGTTCCTTGAGATATTGACCTACTGATGATGATACTGCCTCTAAGTCGGTTAACTTATGCAGGAATCCCTTCCATTCAGTGCAACGGTACCTGAACAATAATCACTTCACAATTATATATCATCAAAAAGAAATTTATACATTATACCTCCGGTAATCGTTTATAGGACAAAATCGACCTCAAATGATGCATTTTTCATAATAATATACATAATAGGTTACATAATAGGATGTAGATCAAATTTTTCATTTTTTTGGAAACTTATTATATATTTTGATATACTTTTTTATTTGTTTATTATTATTACTACCACTACTACTATTATTATTATTATTTTATTTATTTTCATTTTATTGTTTTGTCTTTTCATTTTTTAATTTGTTAATGTCGCTGAAGAAAGATACCTAAAAGCAAGGAATTTTAACGTTTACATTATATAACAAATATATTGGAAACCATATATGTTAAATACGAAAAATAAATTTTCGCATTATCATTTTATTTGAAAAATGAATTATTTATATCCGTTGTTTTTTTCTTTTCTGCTTTACATATTGATGATATTTTTTGTCTTGCGGTGCAAAAAAAGAGTGTTCCGATTTCTTTGCACTTGAGTTGTCATTTGTATTCGTATTTAACACTAGCGAAGGCATATATATTGTATTATTGAATTCTTGATAAATGCGTTCAAACTGAATTTTAAATGCACGGCCTGCATTAGACGCATTATGAATTTTAAATACTATTACTTATGTATAGATATAGTATGGAAAAGTTTACTATACTTATATAGTATACTTAAATAAATTTCTCACAATATTATGTTTTCTTTTTAAAAAATTTTAATTTACATCAAATGGCAAAGTTATTAAGTTTATAACGCGACAACTTTAAACTAAAAGTCTTAATTCGTAAACTCAATGACATCTAAAAGAGTCTATTAAATTCAAAGAAATTAATAAATAAAATAACAAATAAATTTTGAAAAAGGTATAATCCTTAGAGTATTCAATTAGAAACTTTAAAATGTATGTATACATTCTAATAAGAACCACAAAGAAAGTTGTTTTGTTGACTTAACAATTCGCTTGATTACTTATCCGAAATGATCACTCTATTCTCACAAGCACTTAAGAGAATTCTAAAATCAAAAATTTTAATAGTTTCCTTGACATTTAACCGCATCTGATTCAAATTCATCATAAACTATATATATTTATACCGCATTTTTTAATTAATTAATTTCAATATTGAATTATTCTTTAAAAAAAAATTTAGAATACCAGTTTCTTTTTGCCCTTTTAATATAAATTCGAAAATTTGCATTCGTTTCAAATTTTTCTTTTATTAATAAATTCTTTTAATTGAAAGTTATTCTAAAATTCAATGATAACTTTTCTATCATTTTATTATTCTAAATTACATTTAAAAATTCAAATTAAAGGAAGTAGCATTATTTTATAATTATTTTCCTATTATTATTATTATACCATAATTTGACAAATTGATTGTAATTATAAAAATTTGGAACAGTTTGGTAAAAGTGTGCTCTCATCAGGTTTTCTAGTTAAATAAATTTTTTTTCTCCAAGATGATGATGATAATAATAATAATTGTATAGGTGCAACTCATAAATATGAAACAATAAAAATATTTTTCTTTCTAGATCCCTGACCACTTTCTCTTAATTCCGTTACACGATACTTTAAACGGGCTTATACCCAGCATCTTGGAAAAGTACCGGACTTGATATAGAAAGTAGTTCCATCAGACTCTCACGTTTGCTTTTACCATATTTATTCACATATCCACAAATTAATAACTGCATTTCTTCAATTTATAAAAAACATTTTTTCAATCACTATTTTCATGAAACTTATTTTTCTTTTAATTTAAAAAAAAATGATTAAAACATTTTAATTATTATAAATTAATTTCACTATAGTGTGAAGGGCATTTGAACCATATTATGAACTGAAAAGTTTTTTTTTTCTACTAATAAATAAAGCAAAAAGATAATTTCAAGTCAAAAGAATTTATTAAATCTTTTTAATTTCCAAAAAAACATGTCCCTTTGAAATGAAAACTGATATATATGGAAGACAATGGAAATGAATTCACAAATGGAAGATATCACAAATCAAATGCTCTTATTTCCTTTTCTATGTGGGGAAACTTTTTCTCGCCCGTCTTTAAAATTTCCCGATCCTTCATCATCATGATATTATGATGCGCGTGATGTAATGCATCAAGATAAAATCGTCGCCAAAGTATTGCATTTGTATCGACTTGTTTTGTCCATTCCGACCACTGGCCACGACTCACTTGACCGTCCTGCATTTTTTTTATTTCCTTAATAAGCGATTGTAGCCATACACTCCAATTTTTCGCCGTGTTTGTCGTATTATTCAACCATTTTGTCCAATCGCGAACTTCAAACGATTCAACTTGCGGTGGATATTCATTGAGTAGAGCAACTTGTGATTCGGTTAGAATTTTACTTAACCAAATGGCAATTTTTCCCGATAGTACGTCGATTAGGTCTTTTGCATTATTTGTGAGGAGATTTGGATCTTCGAGTGTTACTGCTTGGGAACATTTTTCATAAATTGCACGGTGTAGGCGGTTTATTATTGGATCGTGGCCGGTATTTTCGTCATTGGTTTCCATTGTTTTGTAGATGGTTTGGAATATTTGCATGAAATTGATGAAGGGAAGATCGGTTTGGAAGAGTTTTAGGGTCTCGGTTTTGTTGTCGATTTCTTTTTTGTCTGCTGATACTTCTGCATCTTTATCTGTTTCTGCATTTTTATCTGCCTCTAGTTCTTTATCTGCTGCTTCCTTTTCTGCTTCCGCTTCTTTATCTACTTCTGTTTGTTCGACAGCTTCTTCTCCTTCGTCAGGTCTTTCTTCACTGTCAGGTCTTTCTTCACTGTCTGGTCTTTCTTCACTGTCTGGTGTAGGTTCACTATCCTCTTCATTGGCTCCTTCCTCCACTAATTCTCCATCAACTTCCGTATCTTTCTCCTCTACATCCGGTTGTGCTTGACTCTCAGCTTCCTGTACTTCCGGTTCCTCTTGAATGGCTTTGTCTTCCAGTTCCATTTGGGCGTCTTCCCAAATTTCGGTATCGGATCTTTCCTGATCGTTCTTGTCACTTTTCTGCTCTCCATCAATATCGTCTTCTTTCTCTCTTTCTTCATCGTCATCCTTATCTTTACCATCATTCTTATCTTCACCATCATCTTTATCTTTACCATCATCCTCTGTACCATCTTCGTCGTCATCATCGTCGTCATCATCATCATCATCATCTCCACCTCCAAAACCTTGAATATCCTCCTCATCAGTTTCTTCTTCCTCCTCCTCTCGCTGCCTACGCGCCCTCTCCTCCTCACTTTCGCGATTCGCTTCAGCAACTTCTTTAATTACCCCCGAAATCCAACAGGAAATCATGTCGGCGAGAAAATGCATTTGCTGCGAACGACGATCACCATTTCCATCTGTCGGTGTGTACTCTAGAATACGACTCAATCGTTGAAGAATAATGTCCATGATATCTTGATATTCATCTTTCTTCGGCGTTGGACATTGCCAATTGATGATACTTTTAACGAACTTCTCGGCCATTTGATATTGACAGCAAACTGCCTCAGGATCGAGTCGCGGCTCATTGACATTAACATCATTGGCAATTTTCTTTTCATTCTCCTTACACTTTCCCTGACGTCTCTTCTTTCTTTGCTTCCTTCTCGTACGACATTTCTTATCACGTAACAATTTTGTCGCCTGTCTGTAAAAAAACGAAAGCTCTGCTAATTTTCAATTGAAAATTAAATTCTACTTTTCAAATAAACTTTTAGAATACAATAAAAATTAGGATCTTGATGTGAATATATATGTAAAAACCGTAGAGATGAATAAAGAACAAGAGAGGTTTGAAAGGAGCATCAGGGCGATAAAAAGAGTATTTGCATTACCGTCCACCGATAATGAAGAAAAACTGAATCCAGATACTCACAGTCGATAAGGAAGAAATTTAAAAATTAATATAGATTATTACTCTGGCGATAGTGATGATTCAGTTTCGAGCATTCTTATCAAATTATCAATTAACTCGGATGGTAATACATTGGATGAGTCTTGAATTGTTCTTAAAATATGATTTCTCTTTGGTTTTGCAAGTTGAAGAATTCGAGGTGACACGGGAGCTAATTTTCGAGTGACTTCTTTTTGTAAACAAGGCGGTGGACATTTTCTTCTATATAATTAAAGAAAAACAAATATAAAAAGTTACTAATTACTAGAAAAATTGAATTAATTTTTTTTTTTTAGTTTTTTAAAAAGCTTATCACGTGGGAGTTGCAAGAATATCGAGATACTCCTTTTTTGATATTGTATTTCGTGGAACTGGATTTGATTTTGGTGGTATACATTCCTTTTCAAAAACATTCATTGTTCTCCATTTTATCTCTCTCTCGGATTTCATTCTCTTTTTAGTCGTACAGCAATCTTCGTCTTCATTTTTTTTCTAGTCGTGAAATAGGTAATCAATTAATTAAAGAATTTAGCAAGTTATTAGATAATTTAGCAATTAATTAGATAATTTAGTAATAAATTGAGAAATTTAGTAATTAATTAGGAAATTAATTAATTTAATAATTAATTAAGAACATTGTTTTTTCTAATTTTCTATACAAAATCTAATTACCTTTGTTTTACTCCTATTTTTCGATTTGCCATTTTCTTCATTAGGCTTTTCTGCTTTATCATTTGTCACATCAGCATTCGGTGTTGTAAAATTATCTTCAACAATTTCTTCATTTCTTTCCCCTTCATTCACTTCGGGAGTGTCAAATCCTTCATCTGTAGGTTCACTTTCATTTTCCTCCATTATTTTTAATGATTATTCTTTTTTTAAAATTTAGAAAACATTTTTATTTCGAAATTCCATTGATGATGTAATTTTCATAAATTTAGATTGAAGAAATTCATAATTTTGTTCTTTTTTTGTTCAATATTAATTTTATTTAATTTTATTTGTTTTACATTTTGAATAATTTAGGAAAAGAAAAATTTTCTTTTTGGTTAAAATGGCCGAAACATTTCTGTCACATTGAATTTTTGATAGGGGACTTTTATTTAATATAAGTGAAGTTTGATCATTGTTCTCGATTTTGTTTCTTTTAAAGTTGCGTTTCAAACGTATTTCTTAAACAATAATAGTAGTAAAAATTCAATAATACAATAATAATAATAATAATAATAATAATAATAATAATAATAATAATAATAATAATAATAATAATAATAACTGACAATTAGGTCTAGAATAAAACCTCTAAATCGCATATCGTAATTTTTATATGAGAGAGAAAAGGATAGAAATATCGTTTGCCTTTTTCTAGAAAAGGAAGAAAGGTATTTCTATCTTTTTCTCTCTTGTGTAAAAGTTACGATATGCAATTTAAAGGGACCCTGAGGTTTTATTCTGGTTAGGCCTATTTGCATATACTTATTATTATTTATAAATTATACACTTTAAGGTTAGGTTAGTAACTTTTATTATCTTTTTTCCCTTTTTTCTTTTTTATATTATGATAAAAACTATAAAAAAAAAATTTATCCGATGAAAAAGTATATTTCGTACCTGCCCATCCCTGATAGCTTCTTACCAACTGCGGGGAACCCCAGGATTCCATCAGTTTCCCCAGAGCATTGTCAGATGTCACATGCCGTCATATCCTCGACACGGATACCTCCGTTCGTTTACTAATCGATCACTGTTGGTGGTGGCTCAGTGGCTGTTCCCGTTTCTATTGACAGAAAGGACGTCACTCACAGAAGAAGTGGAACTATATCTAAACATCTCTATATATTGCTAACCAGGAATAATGTTGAACAGTGGAAGTTTTGGTTTCATTTGTCATCGTGAACCGTGACATATTTTTCAATAATGTATATGTAAATTGACAATTGTCAATCTCAATGAAAAATGAGGACGATAATGCGTCGTTAAGTGTTAAAAGAAGAATGAAATAACAAACGCACACACACACACACACGGGAGTTTTAAAGGGCAATATTACGTTTGCTTATCAATAAAAGAAAAAAAAACGACAGGATTATGATGAGATAACGATTGCAGAATGAGGTACAGAAGCAGAGACCTTCTCGGTTATGCAGTCTTTACCCTGACTCTGCAATTTAATGGTAAGTCATTTATTTTTCTATTTGAAAAAAAAGAAAGAAAATAGAAACTACATATATACATTTCTTATCAGTTATCATTGAACGATTCAACAGTCCCAGGGAGAAGTAGGCCAAAGCATGTGTGATGAAAGAAAATATTGTCCTCCGAAAAGGTCAAAGACATTCTGTTTCGAAAAAAAATTATCTGTTTTTTTCAGTTCATGAATATTCGTGGTCCAGAAGCTTTGTTTACTTTATCGTTTATTATCAGAGACTCGAGAGAAGAAAAGAAATTAGTAGTATTTAAATAATTTATTTTTGTTTTTGACTAATTTAAAAAATTCTATTTTTTTCAGTTCATGAATATATTCTTGGTCCAGGAACTTGTTTATTTTATCTTTTATTATTAGACTCCAGAGAAACAAATAGAAATTATTTTCAACAGAGCAAAAAAGAGTTATGAATAACTGATTTTTTATTAGGAAAAAAATTTAATTTCAATTTTTATAATTGAATAGTAATAATAATATGTAATTGAGAAAAGAATTTCTGTTATTAAAATGATTAGATATTTTATGTAACTTTTTTTTCCAGGCTGTGTCGAAGGCGGTGCTTCGTGTAAGGATTTGCAGGGACGATCTTATGAAACTGGTTTTCATTATACCCCTGGTTCTGAACCTTGCACACTCTGCGTTTGCGACAATGGCAATCCAAAGTGGTGTAAAGCCGTTATTTGTACATTTCCACAGGTAATTTATTAACCTTCCGATTCAAGAAAATAATCTCCAAATAATGTTTGTGAAATAATCTAAATATTTTCTTTTTGTTTATTTGGGATTTTCTTTTTTTCGCAGGAGACTCTACCTAAACAAGACTGCAAATCATTTCGATTTGGTAACACGTGTTGCGAATTCATCTGTGTGGATGATACATTGTCCGCCGTATCGAATGAAAAAACTGAAGGCGAAGGAACAACAATTGCAGAAGGCAATGCAAATTATGACACTGGCTTACGATTAGTCGCCAGTTGTATTACGGCAATTCTATCGTTGAGTCTTCTATTTTTTTTAATTCACCGTCTACGACAACGAAAAATAAGAGGTAAATTTAACAAAATTACTCAAATTTTTCAATATAATTGAAATTAATTTAAAATTTAGAAATTCTAAAAAAAAAACTTATTTCCCATGATCAATTCATGAAGAGAAAATTATTTCTAAAAGTTTGAGTAACCGGATTAAAAGTATTGTCTGAATGTTTTATTTACTTTTTTTATTAATTAGCAAGTGCGAAGCGTGCGTATATTCATCGCTTGAATGATGAACTGTGTCATCCATTTCTGTAGAGTATTGAGAGGGGAGAGAGAGAGAGTGACGTTAATGCCCTTGGGATATATATGCAGATCTAGTCGGGAAGATTGGAAGGAATCGATTTTAATTTTACTTTTTTCTGTATTCGATAATAGAGTGTCTTTTGAGTGTGTTCCGAACGGCATAAAAGATACCTATAGTTATTATTATCGATTGTTTTGCTATATTGCTTTCAAATTTTTCCTATGGCTATTTTATAGTTTATTAGAATGAATTTTGACAATTTTGATGATTGGCAAATTTCTATTCTAGTTTTTTGAATAATTGAGCGAACAATTCGTTCGACGCTCGAAAAATTTCCGAGCGTCGAACGAGTTGTTGCATTGGAGCGAAAATCGAAATAATAGAATTATTATAATTTGATTATTGAATTAATAATTAAATTTGACTTGTTTTAGTTTGCGTAGCTGGACGACAGAATCGGCAAGTGTCGGAGGATCAGAGAAGTCTCGGCAGTATGGGCTACTTGGAGAGAGGGGGTTTGCAGCACGGAGTGCCAATGGAAGACATGCCCTGCGGGGGCGGCTATCCCCTGTGGAAACCGCCGGGCAATTACTTCCCCCGCGGCGAAGCGCCTCCGCCCTACGAGGAAGCGGTCGCAGCAGCTCGCGCCGAGCAAGTCCTTCTCTCCACAAGTCCCCACGCTCTCTCGCCTTCGAATTTTCCCAGTACTTACCTGACGAGTCACAGCAGCAACTCCAGCATGGCCCTCGTCACCAACAGTCAAAACGGTTTGCCAGCGAGTTCGCCAACGCTCTCGTGCAACAACAACAACAACACTGCCAGCACCTCGCCACTGATACCTACCTCAAATAGACCCTTAAGCAGCCCCGGAGCCCACTCGAACTGCTACCAACTAAGTCAGAGCGAATCGGCCTCCACGGGCCTCTACGCCGGCACGTCGACCACAAGTTTCACCATGGGCACGAACACCTATGAGAATTTGCCAGCCGCCAACATCTCCAGCATCAATCCACAGCATTCGAGCAACATTCTCCTACTGCCGAACCCATCTGTTCCAAAGACTTATCATCATCATCATCATCACCATCATCACACAACTCTTCCGCGGCCGGGAGGAGCCTTCACGATATCGGCAACCCTGCCAAATTCTGGTGCAAACACTCATCGGACGATTCCCCGATCACTGGCCACCACCGGCAGTCTTAGACTTCGACGCGAATTCATGGCACATCAGCCAATTGCACCACTATTCGATGCACCGCCAAAGTGCACTTCGCCGGAACGCTCGCCACGATCGGCACCACCTTCGCTTCCAATCGCCGATAACGCCATTCGCTCGGACACCCTCTACGAGGATGTTCTCCCATCGAAGGCCGGTGGATCTCAGGTCGAGGCTAAACCACCCGAAATCACACCCTTAATGTGTAAACCACCCGAGATCACACCCTTATTGTGTAATTACAAGGTACTCCTTTTCAATTTACTCTTCTCTCTAAATCTGAAAAAGTGACAAGTCCATAAAAGTCAATTTTTTAAAAAAAAAAAAAGGTCCGTAATTTAATTGAAAAAGAACAAAAAGTTCGTTAATTGTACGATATAATTTGGACAATATTAGTGAAAGGTTGCGAAAGGTCAGGGAAATCAGGGAAAAGTCAGGGATTTTTATTAAAAGTACTGGAAAAAAAATTAAATTTTTAGAAATTATAAGAAAATTCTGAATTTTGGAGTCTTTTTTGTTTGCCTCATAAACTATGAAATTGTCAAGAATTCCAATACAAAACCTTGAATTTTTTCTATTTCTAACAATAATTTATTTTTCAATAACTTAATTAAATATTAAAAAAACTTAATTCTTGAAGAACTATCATAAAATTATTATTTATAAATTATTTAATGATTAATTTTACTTAAAAATTTCAAAATTAATTGGATTTCAAAAGAGTTGCGTTCACAATCTTCATAAATAGATGAACTTGAAAAGGTTTTTCAATTTGAAATTTTAAGAACAACTGATTCCAGAAATTTAATTATTTTCAAAAGTGATAAACTTCTTCGCATAAATTCAATTATGTTCAAAAAATTTTTTTAAATTCTTGGTAAAATTTCAATTATCTAGTATTTAAATAATAAAATTCTTCTCCGAAATTCAATTATTTTTAAAAAAATTTAATAAAATTCTTGGCAAAATTTCAATTATTTTCAAAAATTTTCCTCATTTCAATTATTTTTAATATCTATTTTAATATAATTTTCCAAAAGAATTCAATTATTTAAACAAAATTTTTCATAAAAGTTTCACAGGAATTCAATTACTAAGCAATTTTTTATAAATCGAACCAATTCAATTATTTTTAATTTTCTAATGAAGTTTCTCGAAAGAAATCAAACATATTCAGAGTTGTAAAAAAAATAGTCTGAGTCAATTATTTAAAAAAAAAATGGAATAAAGTTCTTCACAAGAAATCAATTATTTTCATAAATAATAAAATTTTTCTCGAGAATTCAATTATTTAAAAAAAAATTTGATAAAATGCTTTATATAAATATGAAAAATTATAATAAATTTGATCATAGAATACAATTATTTTCGTAAAATATAACATTCTTCCTATAGGAATACAATTATTGTCAAAATGGAATTTAATTATTATTTTCAAAAAGTTTTAAAAAATTCTGAGAAATTTAATTCTTTTAAAAAATTTGAATAAAATTCTTCACAAGAAATTATAATTATTTTCATAAATAATAATATTTTTCCCCAGAATTCAATTATTTTCACAAATAAATTTTTTCTTGGGAATTCAATTATTTAAAAAAAATTTTAATAAAATGTGTTGCAAGAATTCAATTATTTTATAATAATGTTCTCATAAGTTATTGAATTACAAAAGGTTTGAATTTGAAAATCTGAATTTGTGAAGAAAAATAATAAAAAATGTAAAATTTATTAAAAATCCTCAAAAGAATTTAATTATTTAAAAATTTTGTTTTAGTTAAAAACTCTAAAAACAATAATTGAATTTTGAAGAAGTTACGAATAATTGGAATTTTAAGAAATAATTGAATTTTGAAAAGATTTCAAATTAAAGTCTTTGAAAATCTGAATTTTTCATACTTTTAATTTTAATTAACAATTCTGTCGAACTAATTATTTTGAAAAATTTGAATTCCAAATCTTTTGAAATTATGTATTTCAAGTTTTTATTTTGAACAAAGAAGAATTTTTTATTGAAGAATTTCCAAATAAATCGAAATTTCTTAAAATTGAACGAATTTTAGTTAAAAATTGTAGAAAATAATACTTGAAAAGAAAATTAAAATCATAAAAATAAATTTCAAAAAGTAACTTTGGAAATAATTGAATAGTTTTGAAGAAAATTAAAATTCTATTGAAAATTGAATTAAAATTGTATTCAAAATAATTGAATTCTTACGAGAAATTGAATTTAAATTGCATTGAAAATAATTGAAATTTTTTGAAGAAAATTAAAATTCTTCTGAGAATGTAGTTAAAATTGTATTTCAAGTAATTGAATTCTTTTGAGGAATTTAAATTATTTAAATTGTATATTAAAAATAATTGAATTCATGTTGAGAATTTTATTAAAACTGTAAATAATTGAATTCTTTCGAGAAATTTGATTTAAATTGCATTAAAAATAATTGAATAATTTCTTTCGAGGAATTTAATTTGAATTGCATTGAAAAGAATTTTCCAAAATTCTAGAAAACAATCTAATTGAATTGAAATGTTAAAAATAATTTTCATATTCAGAGAGTTTAGTTTAGGAGGTAAATTTCATATTTAGTTTTACGATTGTGAATTTTTGCAGCCACCATTGGCATCGAGTAACGACATCAATCAGGATGGAAGTTTCGATTCCGTGACGTGCACTTGCAGTATGCAGGTATTGCCGCCCTTGCACGACGAGGCCGATGATTATCGTAGCGAATGTGAAAATTGCAAGAGTGCAACCGGTTCACGATATTATTTAGACAATGAGGATGAATTGGTGACATCGCCTCATGAGACTATGACGCTACAGAGAAGAACTGAAGAAACTGCCTCGAGCGCGACACCTCAATATTACAGAACTTCACTCACTCTTCCAACAAGTACTCGTCAACGTTCAAGGTGCTTTTAATATTCCCAATTTCACAATTTATTCCTTTCTCCTATTTTTATTAAAAATAATTTTTTCTAAATTTCAGGAGCGCTGGAACTCGGGGAAATTGGTTTAGTTCAATGCCAGAAAGCTCGACAGAATCTTCGGACGGCGAATAAACAAGTGAGAAAATTCTAATTCCAAAATGAAGTCACAAAATCTGCCTGTATAATGTGAGTGCCAAAACTTACAGTTACCAAAATTAGTACCCGGTATCGTTCTTAAACAGTCATTTTTAGAAGCAAGAGGCAAATTAAGCTTACCAGTTTTCTAGCAGTATTGCGATTCAGGGTACTATCGATTTCAAAAAAAAAAAAAAAATCGAAATAGACTTGCAAAAAGCAGGAACTCCACAAACATCTTCCTTAATAATCGAAAGTCCTAAAATTAAAGTTTATTCTTCATTACAAGTTAATGAACAACTAAACTAATAATATAATAATTATCATTCACCATTATATCTCCACATTTGTGTATAATAATTATTATATTCTTGTTATTATCATTATTATTATTAATCGTAATATTATTTACTCAAAAAGAAAAATTGAGAACTAATTTTCTATAGAAATTTTTATTTTTTTATAATGTGTACATAAAATGAAAACGAACTATTCCATAAATTATTATATTGCTTCCATTTTTTAAAGTATGTTAAATAATTTTTTCTTTCAATATAATCACAAATAATTTTTTAACGACGAAAGATGTTTGTGAAATGCCTAGTCATTATATATTGGTCTTTTCAATATATAAATATAGAGAAAAATACTAATAATTTTATTTAAGACAAAGAAAAAAAAAGCGAAAAAAATTCAATCAACGATTGGAAAGTAGATAACGTTAAAAAGTTACCGAATCGAACAAAAATGCATGAACTAATCAATACCAAAAAAAAAAAAAGAAAAAAAAGAAAACCGAACGTCTTTATTATTGACGTTATTGGTGCTTGTGTATAAGTGAAATCAGATTTTATCATTTTCGAAATATAAAGAAAACAGTAGTCATTATATATATATACATATATTAGTAATTAAATAGTGAATGTTAGGATATCGAGAAAGTACAATTTTTCAAAAAAAAATATGAAAATATGGTGTTCATCACGTTAAACGTTGAAAAAAAAATTATTTTGCGTTGAAAAAGATACAAAAAAAAGTTTTAAATAATGAAGCTTAGAAATCTTTCCAAATTCTTTTTTTCATTTTGTTTTTTAATAAATTTTGATTTTGCAATTAACTGTTTTACAATCAAATTTTTAAAATTATTTAAACTAATTTATTGAATATTGCAATTTCTAACTCAAACTATTTTTCCAGTTTTAATTAATTAAATATTAATTAAAATAATTGAAAATTAATTAATTAAATATGAATTAAAATAATTGAAAATTAATTAATTAAATATGAATTAAAATAATTAATTAATTTTTTCAAATGATTTAATTAATAATGTAATAAGAAAAATAGAATTTAAAAAATCGAGATTAATTTTATGAAATTGAGAATAGTTCAAAAAAAAAAAATGAGAGACATCCTTAAAAGAAGAAAAATTTGAATAGAATGAAATAATAAAATCTTGATACGTTTATCATTCTCTAATTATTATAAAGCTATTTAAAAAAAAGTGTAGCATCTACATCATCTCTTTCCAATCTAGCAATCTTCTCTTGTGCACCTTAAATAAAAAAAAGCTATTATATCGATATAATCACAACTAACCTAGTGGAGTGTGAAAATAAATAATTATATCATTTTTCGCAAAGGAGAATTCATCAAATTTGCTTTACGATCAATTTTTTAAATAATTTAATTAAATTAAATTAAAAATTAAATAATTCAAGAATATTTTGAATTTATTTTAAATAAACTATGTTTTGTATTTTATTTAAAAAAAAGGAAAATTAAAAAAAAAGAAATTTTACGTTTATTAAAAAAAATAAACGATTTTTTATATTTTTGTATTAAGACAATTAATTTTTTTACAAATTACAATTGATTGCTTGCTTTTTTACTTAGTAAAATTGCAAATCTGATTTTCAATCAGTTACTATTTTAAATATTAAAAATTGTAATTACTTTACAAAATTACCAAATTGAATTTTAATATTTCATTACTTATTTTGTCAAAAAAAATTCTTTTATAAATATTTTTTTAAGCTTTTTTATTTTAATTAAGAAAAATAAATTAAGTCATTAAATTAAAAATTTTAATATTACCTAAAATTAAAGATAATGAAAAATTCTCAAATGAAATTTTATAAATGAAAATTAATTAATATCTTCAAAAAATTATATTAAAATATTTTTTAAAACATTAATTCTTAAAAATATATTTTATTATAAAAATAAAAATTTTATTTCTAAATATAATTAAGTATTGTAGTATTTACAATTAAAATTATTTTATCGAATCAAAAAAATTAATCTTTTATTTTGTATTTACAATTGCAACGAGTAAACGAAATAAATTTAAGAAATTCGTTAAGTTTTGTAAAATTTGAAAATAATTTTTTTTTTAATTTCGTTAAAATTAATTAAAAGAAAAGATGTGAAAAAAATGTACTTATAGTATAGTTATTTATAGTTTTAAAATAGCATTTGTCTTTTCAGTATATACACTTGCATATTATAAATGCTCGCGTTGAATATAAAGAGAAATCGATAAAACAAATTTGATGAAATTCTCAAAAGCAATCCACTGAAATGGGAACAAATAAATATTTATTTATCAATATTTATTGACATTTTTTTTTTGCAAATAATTATCAGTATTATTTTTATTTTATTTCTTTTACTGTTTTAATCGCGATCCTTAGATTTCTATTGAAAAAAGGAAAATTATATTCATTAAAAGAAAAGTATTTCTTTAAAGCTCCAAACTTAATCGACTCTGGGTTGTAATTATAAAAAGGTAAAGTAATAATACTTTACAAAAAAAAGGACTGTTATCATATCCGATAAAATAAGAAAAGGAGGACAATTTTTTTTTTAATTTTCTTTTTTTTCATAAGTATAGAAAATAGTTGAGGAGAAATATTCTTTTTTCGTAATGTGTCAACTTGTACGATGAGAATATCGATAATTGAAGGAAGAAAGCGAAAAGAAAAAGGAATGAGACGCTTGATTATTTTTTTTTATTTCGCAAATTTCTTTGTAAGTTATTATATTTTTTCAAATATTTTATTCTCTCAAATATATTTTTTAAATATTAAGATTACTTTAATATTAAAGAAACAATTTTTTCAAAAATTATTAAATTTTAGTAAATATTTAGAAATATTAGAATATAAATATTTTTTTCCATTGTTCCATAAAGTTAAGATAATAAATAAATAAATAAAATTCAATAATCGTGCGTCTCAAAAATATGCGAATAAAAAAAATATCATTGTACAAAGTTTCTTCTGATTCCATTATAATATTCTAAAGCTGAACTATCGTTATTGACTCCTATCACATAAACTATTATTATAACTACGTATTTAAGACAAGTGCTATTTTTCTTTCAATTTTTATAAACATATATAAAATATATTTATATTGTAAACGTTGAACGTCTATTATAATATACAATTCTCTGTTGAAAAAAAACAATCCAAGCTTTAAAACTATCATTTTTATATATTCTATTTAGTCTTATTTCGTTTTAAGAAAAATACCAATCACAATTGTTACGAATTAATTTTTATTAAAGAAGATAAAAATTAATTATTTAATCGCTCTTAGCAACAAAGATTTTCGATAATTTGTAATAAAAAAAAAAAAGAAATGAAATTTCAAACTATACAAAAAAAAAACAAACGCATAAATTTCCACACAAATAGAATTATTGCATGTATGATTGTTAAAAAGAAAAAAAAAGAAAAAACAAAACGAGACTATGTGATGTTCTGCTATCTGCATTCTGTTACAATTATTATTTATATGTTGTGATAATATTATAAAAAAAATATATAAATATAAATTATATATTATAGAATCGTAAATCAGAAAATCGATAGTTGTATCAACAGAAGAAATGTCCCTTTACTTGATAATTATTGTAATTAATAATTAATAATTAATAATTAATAATTGTAACATAATTAAATTACAATTAATTATTTATTAACTAAAATGTATGTAAATATGTTACAATTATAAAAATGTATTATTACATATTAAAAGACAAACAATTTGTTTAAAACAAGTTTGTTGAGACAACTAATGTATTTCACAATATACGACTATAAATTAAATTACAAACTGCAGTGTGTTCTGCGAAAATGCTACAAGTTAAAAAAAATGTGTTCAGTATTGTAAAACTAATTCCCCATTTGTGCCAAAATTCATTTTTCTTATTATAATATACAAAAACACTGTCGATTTTTGTTACTTACTATTATCAAATGACAATTATAATGTTTCTTCTATATAAGAATAAAAATGTCTGCGTGAACAGAAAACTGGAATTTAATTTTCAAAATTGAAATGTCATCAATTTTTTTTTCTGTTTCTTAAGTAGAAATTAATTTTAGGTTAGAATTTTAAATTTCGATTTTGAAAAATCAAATTCCTATTTCTCCGTAGATGATAATTTATTATGCTTTATCATTTTAAGAAAAATATACACATTTGACTTGACACTTTTAGAAAATAGAAAAAAAATCTCTATTGAACTTACTTGTGTAGGTAACAAAAAATATTACTCTATACAAATAAAAAATCGAATATTCGAAGAAAATTTGTCATTTTCTTAACACTTGTCGAATTTCCTATTTCTTTTTTTTCAGAAAGTACAATTTTGTACCTAAGGGGAAATCCAAGGAAAATTGTAAGGAGAAAATTTAGATTTTGTTTCTTTTGTTGACAAAAGACAAAATACTAAAATTTAGAGCAGAACTGACTTTTGTTTTGACAGGTAAATTTTAGGTTATGTCGACCGCGTCCGGCGTCGTAGAACGTAACATTTCCTGAATTAACAAACAGGGCAAGTTTAATTGGTTTAATTTAACAAATTGATTTTTTTAAATTTCCGCAAAAATAGAAATTTTGAAAATTGAAATTGAATTTTGCCGCCAGTTTTGGACATTTCAACAAAATGCCATCTGCTGTCAGAGTTGGAGAGCAGAATGATAAACCAGTAACTGTTTGGCTATCTAATATGAAAAATTACACGAGCATAGTTTATGATTGACCGTGAATGTTGGGGAAGTGCGCGTGAAAAAGAGCAGTAACCAGGAAAGAAAAGGATAAAGATACAGGACACCGTAAAACATGGCTGAAGCCGTTGTGGAGAATCCTCTGCTCACACGATTTTTTTGTCATGAGTGCAATTCCGAAGTGGATAATTTACTACCCGTGAGTAATTTATAATTTAAATCTTCAATTTTACATTTCTTTGAATTTTCCAATTAATTGCGCTGTTCATTCTTGTACATTTACCAAATGAAAAAAAGTTGACATTTGAAATCCACGTATGATTCAGAGACAACCATTTTTCCCCCCACTCGTTCAATGAATAAAAGTGAATAAAATGAGAATTCTTTAACCAGCTTCACGAGATAGCAATTTTCTTTAAAAACTCGTCACCATTTATTTATAATTAATTCTTTTAAATATTGAAAAAAAGCTCTTTTACCATCATACTGAAAATCAATAATGGCAAAACTCCGAAATTATTTCCTCAACTCTCTGCCATCAATAAAGTGTCATAACATTAACGATTTTTTTTCGGGTTAATAACTTAAAACTATTTACAGCAAAAAAAATTGCATGTTTCGTCATTCTCGTTTAGCTGGCGATGAAAATTTAGTTCCTAACAATTGGACTGTGAAAAATGTCAAGAATTTTGTATTTTTAAATTGAAACACACACGGGTCATTGTATTGATGTTATTTCCTTATATAGAACAAGTATTTTTATACTACGATTGATAAGAAATTTTTTTTATAAACTTTATAAATTATAAACATTTCTAGAATAGTCAATCCCTTGTTTTACTAATGTTTACTAATGAGAATATTTGTTAATTGATTTTCAATGAATAGGCGAAATATTTTATATTAAGGAATTTAATGAAAATATTGTCTCATTTGTTATCTTTAAAGCATTTTGAAATAGAAGTAAACTATTTTTCTAAATCGAATTCTTTGCGAGAAACTATCTTTTATATTTTCTAATTGAGATTTAGAATTATTGATTTATTAATTATTAATTTGTATTTTAATGAGTGTCATTAAGAAAATATTCTTTGTCAACAGAATTATACGTGTCCTATGTGCACTGGTGGATTTATCGAAGAATTAGAAAATGGAGGGAACAACAATAGTTCGAATATGGACCTCGGTAGTGAGGATGCAGACATTGATGTGGATATTACAGGAATGAGTGTAATTTAATTGAATTTTTAATTAAGTAGAAATTTAAAAGGTCATTTTTTTGTTTGGAAATGTTTACAGTTTAGAAGTAGAGAGGGAAGGAGGAAATTATAATTCCTATCAACTTCAATAAGAGATTAGAAAAAATTTTATTACACAGTTTCGTATCGAATGGAAACTAAAAATTCTTTATTGCTGACAATGCGAAACGAGAGAAGCTTTTCGAAATTTCATTAATTTTAGAATGTCATTAGAATATCTAATACTAATTAAAAGTATAAAACTAAACAAAAATAATTAACAAGGAGAAGAATATGGAAAATATAGAAATTAACTCTAAATCAATTTCCAAATTAATTAATAATTTAATGAAAGATAGTCGTAGTATAAAAATTTAAAAAGAAACATTAAAAAACGATAATAAATAAAGTAGATTAACTGATTTATTTATTATGGAAATAAATAAATTTTAAAGATACATAAATTTAAAATAAATATAGTTGGACTCATGACACGAAACGAAAATGAAAAATAATGAGAAAAGTTATTTGCAAATATATTCGTCTAGTTTACAATTTTCACGAAAATTACATTCTCTTTATTTCTCTAGTCTCCGATTGACACGAAACAAAAATAAATAATGAAAATAATTAGTTTCAAATATCCAAAAAAAAAATTAAATTTACTTTATTTCTCAATTTTCTAACATACTTACACGAAACAAAATTGAAAAATTATTCTCTAACAAAAAGTAAATAGTTAAGATAGATAAACAATGAGATTTTGTAAAGTATTGAAAATATTAAAATAATAAGGATTCATCATTAAAAATAATAAAAATATTTATTCGTCAATTTCCCAAAAAAAAAAAATAGTTACCGGAATTTCTTGACGATCAAGATCAAGATGAATTGCAGTCAGTTGGTCTTTCGCTCATTACCAATCAGGGTCCAATCAGTACAGGCAGTAGGGCCTTTAGGCAAAGACCCTATCAAACACGATCGTCTGGTGAATCACGTGCTTCTGGAATTCACGGTAGCAGGTATCATCGTAGTAATCTATCCCGGTAATCATTATTTTTAGTTTTCATGTAAATTTATCGCCAAAAAACAACAAAATTATTTCATTTTCATTGAGGAGAGATCAAAAGAAATTTTAATTTCGAAAGAATAGAACATAAAATTTAATTAAATCATTCTTTTCTTACAGTAATCGTGGTCGACAGCAAGACACACCAATGACAATTGATAATTTACTTCACGATTTTATTTTCAATTTATCTGGTGTTGGATTTGGTGTACCGTCTCAACAGGGTGCGGCAATTCCTCCCATGTATGTATTCTTGATTCAATTTTATTTCTTCTGTCAATAATAATAATAATAAATTATTAGTTTTTAACTCAAAATTGAAATTTTTTTTTGAGAAATATATATTTAAAAAGCCGTAATTAGACTTTTTATTTTACAAACAGCATACAATGATAATAACAATGATTGATTTTAATTGTTGAGTTAAAAAAATGTTTTATTTTTAAAATAATATAGATTCAATCTTAGACTGCTGATAGGCAATCCAGGGGATTATGTTTGGGGTCGCGAAGGTTTAGATGCTATTGTAACGCAATTATTGAATCAAATGGATTGCACTGGCCCACCGCCATTACCTAAAAAGCAAATTGATGAAATTCCTACAACAGAAGTATCTCAAAGTCAAGTTGGTAAGATTCTTTTTTACAAATTTTTCTTTTCTGTTTATTCATTTTTTCAATCAAGTTTAAATCAAGTTCAAGACCCTAAGTTTCTTCTCAAGTTTTCTTTTTTAATGTTACAAAAAAAAAATTCTTGTTTTCAAAATTCTTTGAAAACATAGTTAGAAAAATTTAAATTGCCCTTAAATTTATTTTTGTACCGTAAAAACTTTAAAAAAAAACAATGAAATAGTTACAGTTGCAATTATTACCAAAAAAAAATGAATTTTTGTTTCCACCTTGAATAAAAAATCGACTTTTTCTACTTTTTTTGTATACTTTTATTTTAATTGACTAAAAATGACTTTTTCTTGATAGAGAGACAGTTATAATTTGAAAGAAAAGCCATAAATTACCAGAAAGATGATAAAAACACGCAAGAAATGTAAAAAATAATAATGAAATATCGATATACATAAAATGTTCTTTTTCACTGAAAAAACTCTTTTTTTTCCCCCTTTTAGATAGCAAATTACAGTGTTCTGTTTGCTGGGAAGATTTTAAGCTTTCCGAACCGGTGAGGCAACTTCCTTGTCAACATGTTTATCACGAACCATGCATTGTTCCCTGGTTGGAATTGGTAAATATCCACCAAATCAATAATTCCTTTTATTTCAATTATTTTTCCGAATAAATAAATTTCAATAAATTGAAATATTTTCTTTTAGCATGGAACGTGTCCAATCTGTAGACAAAGTTTGGGAGAACAAAATACTGCTGAAGCTAATCAGGACACTGTTGGACCAAGTTTAGCCGCTTTATTCAGGTATTTCATTTATTTTTTAATTCACTTTTTAACTTCATTCTTTTTTCTTTGTTTGTTTGATTTTTTTGTTTTCTTTTTTCCAAGTGTTGAAACTTACGTTTGTTTTCTTTTTTTTTCTGCAAAAGTGTTGAAACAGTTTTTTTTTTTTTGAAAAAGTGGTGAAACATTTGTTTTCTTTTTTCCTTTTGAAAAAGTGTTGAAACTTTTTTTTTCTATTCTTTTTAAAGTTTGACAACTTTTTGTTTTGACGTTTTAAAAACTGTTTGAAATTTTTATTTTGGACGTTTTTCTTTGAAATTTGCAACTCAGTCGATATTTTGCATTCTGTTGATTGTTGAACTGAAAAAAATATTATTCCAGGGCCGCTAATGAATCGAATACCAGCAGGTCACCTTCTACGTCGTCAACGGACAGCAACGTAAGGAATGATTCTTCTAATGAAATTTGAAACCAATTAGCTCACTCATCAATTGACCTCTTCTTTCAGCCCTCCCCGAACATGTAGTTGTAACATATTCATCCTTTTTTTCACCCCCTACTTCCCCGTCTTCTCCACCCCCTCCCCCTATTAAGACTTTTCAACTCTTTTAATAATTTCATCATTACACGAATGTAAAGGTCTCATACTTCTTTTTTTCCAAAAGGAAAATATAAATCTAGAAAAAAAAATTCTATACTTTATGGATGAAGTAGAATTTTTAAGAAAGAATACGCGACTAAAATTTCAGTCATCATCGGGAAAAAATGTTTTTTTTTTTTGTAAATTTTCTTCTAACTTTACAAATTGTATTTAATTTTTTTTTTTTCAAACAAAAATCTGTGAAATTTATCGTAAACTTGAATTTGTTTACGACGAATTATTTACTTGATTCCCTTTCAAGAATTAAATATAAATATATATATATAAAAAAATGGCAATTTTTCATCTGAAATACAAAAATATAGAATACAGTAGTTTATGAAAAATTAATGACATTTGCTGTAATTTCGATTCGTTTATCATTTTTATTTTCATTTTCTTTGGAAAATTCTTTAAATATTTTTTTAATTTCAAATTGAAGATTTAATTTTTTTGATTAGAAAAAGAGGCCAATTGTATAGTTTTTTTTTCAATTCACGTGTTTTTTTGGGAGATTACTTTTTTCAACACCTGTACCAATATTATTTTTTGATCAACAAAATAGACTATCATTCACTTTGCCAACAGTTTGAATCATCAATTTGTCTGTTTCATATTTCAAACAAATAAAGAAACGAATGGTTAAATAACTTTGCTAATAAAAAAAAAAAAGAAAAATTGACAAAAAAGTGACTAAGAAACGTAGTTTTCATTTTTAGAAAATGAAAAAATTTATTATCTTGTACAATTTCTTCTTTTTTTTTGCAATTTGTACAGAGCAACAAAGCAGTATAATTGTAGAAGTTTTAGCTAGCACTTGTTGTGTAATTGTAATTTTATACAAATTACAAATAATTATATTGACAATTCGCATTATTCCAAAGTGTAATATGAAAAATTGTTTTTTTGCAACCGAATTTATTTTTTTGCTACAATTTTAATGCGATTTTAAGAAAGAAAAATTTGTAATTAAACCTCGAGTCTTAATGGAAATTTTTGCAACGATCATTAAAATATATATTAGTATTAAATTATTAATATATATTTTAATATGTATTAATACTATTAATATACATTGGTATAATATTTATATATTAAGATATTAAATACTATTTATAAGAGAAAGAATATTCTCTCATTAAAGAGTGAAAAAAAATGGAAATTTTTTTTTTCTAAAATGCAAAGAAAAATATTTTTTATTACTAAATTGATAACTGATGGCAAATGTTAAGGACAGGGTTGACAAAGTTAGGACATATTAATTTTATTTATATAAATATATATTAATTCTCGTACACATTGTACAGTGCTATTAATTATATATCATTATTATTTTTAAAATTGATTTTATTTTTTAAATAATAGTTCAGTTGGAAAGTCAAAGCAGAATAATAAAAAAAAAAATTGAAAAAACGAGAGTTTATAAAGTCGTGGAATTTGATTAAAAATGTAGATAAAGAAAATGAATAAATTATTTCAACTCATTGACAATGTTTTCAATGATGTTGTGAAAGTTAAATTAATTATTAATTTAATTATAAATTGTTTCTGTATCACCAGTGATGGACAATAATTTCTTTGAAACAAGAAAAAGAAAATCTACATTTTACAAAATTATTTTTTATATATATTGAAAAATTACTTTTCAAATTATTGTAATTCGAAAATAAGTCCATTGCTGCGTTCTAATCGTTATCCCAATTTAATGGAAATTTTATGTAAACAAAGAATTTGTTGTTCATAATATTGGAGGAAAGAGAAAAAAAAAATAAGTCACTCGTATATTCTTAAGTATATAACAAGTTTTTCGTTGTTCCATTACTTTTTTTTGTTAATATTTTTAGTGTTTACTTTAAGACAACGAAATCGCATTTATGCTGCGTTGTAGAAAAAAGCAGAGATTTTTCTATATTTTAATTAATTACAGAATTGTTAAAATCACGTGATTTTAGAGAATGCAATTTTAGTTTTTTTTAATAATACATTAATAATAATAATTATATTTTTTATTATTATTATTATTATTATTTTCGTTGTGGGAAATTTGAACGCACACTTTGTATTATCCTATTAGGTAATTATTTAAAGCTTATTTATATTTTTAAACACGTATTCTCGAGAAAAGAATTATTGATATTTTTCGCTATTTGAACGTGACTTGAAGCTAATATTTATAATAGTTTTTTCTCAGTCAAATTTTATGTATAAATTAGATTGATACATTTAAAGAATAATAAATATATTTATTCCCAAGTTTGTTTTGAATTTTATTCTTCTCAATTATTTATTAACAATTCTCTCTGTGAAATAAAGATGAATTAGGTTTTAAATTTCCCGCCCGTAGACGATAGATTAGTGCGCCACCTGTGAACACGCCTTAAAACTAAAGTCTGACAAGACGAAACGTGTCTTTTTAAATGAATGCAAGTGAAAATTTAGTTTAGAGTGGTGAGAAAATTTCGGAGAGTCGTTATAAAAGCTCTTTTTTTGTACAGATTTCCGTTTATATTAATAGAATAATTTGTGTGATAATTACATTATTATCGTGTAAATAGTGTATGGAATTGTTTTCAAAATTATTGGATGGTTTTTTTTGTCAGAATAACTATTGCTGTTGCAGGCTAACAGATAAAAGTTTGGTAAGTGAATTTTTTTTTCGTCTCATATTTTACAATCACAAAGAAGGGAGAGATTTAATCTACTATGCGTCCCTTTTAAATTACATTCCTCGCTGGCCCTCGTGTTGCGCCTGTTGCGCTTGGAAACTTTTCTCTTTTTTAAAAACTCATTTCGATTTAAAATATCACTTTATGTTATACAATACTTCAGTTTATTCCCAAAAATCAAAATTTTAACCGTTATTCAGTAAGATTTATTTTTGAATGATGTTAAAATGTGGTTTTCGTTTCAACATCAGTTGATTTTCAGGTTAAAATTTTATTTCGAAAATTCAGGGTTTAAAATTTATTAAAAATTAAAACTGTTAAGGAAAAATAACGAATTTACATAAGGATCGATGATTGTTCTTGGATATTTTATTTGCCCTTGAACAGAATAGTTGAGTTCTTTTTTCAAAAATAATTCAAATCGTTCAAATTCGATTAATTTTAATATAAACATTACTTTTGTTAGAAAAATTTTGAAATAACATTTTTTTTTTGATTTTACAGACCCGTGAATTATGATAGAAAATAGGATCGTCAATCATTAATGTTAATAAAATTTCTTGATATATAAATTTATATATATCTACATAGAAAAAGGCATTGATATTAAAGAAACATCGATAACGAAAATGTTTAATAATCAAAGTCTCGACGAGAGGATTCAAGGGAGTATTTTCAGTAATGATGGTTACGATTATCGAAATGAATCAATTGGAAATCGTTATTTTATGAAATGGAGTCCTCAGGAGGAGATGAAATTTTATTCAAAAAGTCGTTACGGTTCACCGCGAATGCTCAGTAAATCAGTGCCAAGAAAAAATAGAAATCTCACCCGTTGCCGAATAAATCGCTCATTAAATTTTGACACTGGATTAACAAAAACTGAATTGAAATTTAAAAATTCGCCCAACACGAGCTTAGAGAGTATTTGCTGCGACGATGATAAGCAATTGTCACGTTCGGCGAAAATAATGAAGGCCTTAAATTTCACTCCAAGTCCAATAAGTGTCGGTAAAAAGAAAGTCAATAAAACATTAAATTTTGACTTCAGTCCAAGTCCAAACAAATTATTAAATTACAATCGAAGTCCATGCAATATTGTGCGTTTAAATTTGAGCACTTCGTCACCGAAAATTGTGAAATCGTTGAATTTTGATTCAAGTCCGGCAGAATCGAATATTAGTAGCATTTTGTGTACGTCAATTGATTCCATTGATGAGAATCAAAATCAAACGCCATCGCAACGACGAAGAAGTGTTAAAAAATCATTGAAATACAATAGTACACCATTGAGAAAGGAGAAAGAATTTGTTGATAAATCGCCACTATTACGTTCCGAATTGAGGGAGAAAATTGACAATATTATTAAAATTTCGACACCTGATGTGCAAAAAACTGTAAAGAACAAAAAGCCATTTATCAAGGAAGTCTTTGTCAGTACACCGAGAAATTTATTTAACGATTTTGATGATGATGATGATAATGAAACAAAAGGACCTGGAACACCCAAAAATAGAATTCAATTAATTCCTGAAAGTATGAGTGCAATTAAGAGAAGCCACAAAAAGGTAATATTCCCCATCCTCTTTTCGTTGTAAACTGTTTTCCCATTTTTCTAATTATTTTTTCTTTCTTAGGAACGATTTCCCCGTCTAGTCGAGGAGGACGATGATCAGCTCGCTGAGAAATTGGACATTTCAAACGAACAACGACCATTAACGCCACCAATTGAAGAGGCGGCAAAAAACACTGGCAAGAATTTCAATTCAATAAAACGCTCCCACAAGAAAGATAAGAGTCTAAAATCATCATTCAATCGTCTCGATGACGAATCACACGACGGCTCTATTTTCAACTACTCTGGCATTGATTCCTGTGGAGATGATGATGATGATAATAATATTAACATCGAACCGAAAATAACGCCATCGAAACTCAACTACGACAGTGATTCAAATACCAACTCATCCGAAATTCCCCCCGTGAAAACACCGGAAGAAAAAGGTCCATCAACACCGAAAAATTCCATTAACATAATGGAGAGAATCACAGGCAGTTCCATTAAAAAATCACACAAAAAATTGAAGGACAAACGAAAAATTCTCAAAGCAAACATTATCGAAACAATTGAATCATCGGAAAGATCGACAACACCCGAAAATACAAATTCAAGTCGTCTTCTCTTGCCAAATTTCAGTTCCGTGAAAAAATCGCACAAAAAAGACAAGAGAAGTAAAATTCTAACAAATTTCGCGAGACGACAAAAAATGTTCAGTTATGATCGTGAAAAATTACAATTCTCATCATCGACCAGTGAGGATGAAATTTTAAAAATTAACCAAAATTTAAAATCACCCGACACTTCACCACAAAAAAGAAAATCGACTACAAATCTCGATGATGAATTTCATCCATTGCTGAACGATTCCGACGAATACACCACAGCACACGATGAGGAATTCAAAATTTTTACACCCATTAAAAAAATTAAATCAGCTCCCAATCGAAAATTCACTGCCACTGAATTTGATCTTCCTTTAACACGCTGTGAAACACCAATTTTCACTCACGATATTAACGATCATCATGATGATCAGAAACAAATTCAAGAGCACACATTCATTACACCGGAGAAAAATTACCAAATTCCCCCAAAGGAAAAATCGACACCCAAGGAAAAAAGATCGAAACGCAAGACAAATGGAAAAATAACACCAAAAAATAATAGATCGTCATTGAATTTAATTGCGAATGTTAATTCCGTGAAGAAATCGCATAAAAAAGAAAAGAAGGGTAATCGTTTTTCAATTAGAAATGAATCGATGAATCAAGAAACACCAATGAAGGAAATTTTCGCCGCTGATTTATTGAATGTATCGAATTTTTTAACACCCGATTCGAGTCTTCATTACAGTAATAATACGAGTGAGGCGAGCTTTAAAAATATCTCTCAAATGGCGACGAAATTTTTGCAAAATTATGAATTTGATGATTCTAAACCGTCAACGAGTTATGAAATTGTTAATGACAAGGAGGAGGAATATTCAAAGTCATTGACCCCACCGAATTTATTGAAAATGAAGAAATATTTTAAGAAACAACAAACTGAGTCAATTAAAAAATCACATAAAAAGAAACGCGAGGAATTGAGGAACAATGTAATTGTTCAAGATTTAGAATTTTCCGATGATGGTTCTATTTTTACGAATGAAGATCGAATTAATGATTTTTCAGTAATTGATCGTGCAATAATTGAGAAAAATCAAAATGGAAATTCAAATGATCTTCAATGTTCATCAATTGTTGTTAATATGAATGAAAGTTTTTTCAATCAAAAGGTATGTAGACTGTTTATTCTTTCTTGAATTTATTTTCAGAATATTTTTTTTACCAATTTATTCATTTTAATAATTAATAATATAATAACTTCAAGTGTCTTAACAGCTCTAAGTTTACTGACAATAAAATATAAATTTTCCAATTCATAGTAATGATTTTTGTTATTCAAATTATTGTCTGAATAATATTACATATTTGAATATTAATTTTTAAATATAAATGGAATATTAGAATATTTTTAATACTCTAATAATATTTTTTTAATTATTAATTACAATGATTGACAGTGATTTTTAAAAGAAAATTGAGAACGAATAATTTTAAACAACGTTTATTTCAATCAATTTTTTAACATTATTTACAATTATTTATAAAAAATGCATGAAACAAATTAATATTTCACCACAATTTTTAGTAAAATTGCCTTCCGTTGGTTTACATTTTCTGCCTTCTTTTGACAATTTGGATTTGAATGAAAAACACTTAATTTTTTTAGAAAAACCAATTCTCGAATTCTGAAAAAATTGAAAGAGGAAAATTTTCATAAGTTGTAAGAAAATTATTAATTAATATTAATTACTAATGCTTATGATTGGTTTATCATTATTAATTATTAATAGTTGATAAAACATTGTTAAGTATAAGAAATTAATAAATATTGGTTAATAATTTCATGAATAATAAATAAGTAGTAAATAAATAATAAACAAGTAGTAAATAAATATGTATTAAATAATTATTAAGCAAAGAGTAATTTTTATTGAAATATTAATTTTCTTGATTCGCTTTTATTTTTATTAAATAATTAATTAGAGTTTAGAGGTACTCACTATCTTTGAAGGAATCATTATTCAGATTATTAAATCAAGTTAAATTTTTCTAAAAATTTAACAAGAAAATTTAAACATTTAATTTCTCCTCTTTTATCAAAGATTTTATCGCCTCTATGGACTCTAATTTGTACTGATAATAAAAACTTAGAGCCGCTAAGACACTTGAGGTTATTATTAAAGTTACAATAATATAAGCCATTTTTTTTTCTTTTTCTTTTTGCTTTTTTTCTAGAGATTTATTTCTACTGGAGTTCCTAAATCATGAGCAGCTTTTATATATCGAGTAATAACTATAATATAATAATAGAGTTTATTATAATTATTCTATTATAAGTATTCAATTTTAATTAGTCTATTTTAATTATTCTATTATAATTATTATTGGTATCCAAATAACATTTTAATTACAACTACTTAGTGGAAGACAAAGATTTTCTAAACACGCACAAATATCTTTTTAAACTCCTGAAAACAAATTTAATTAAATTCAAATTAAAAACTGAAATCTCTCCTTAAATTGTACGCTTTACCAGACAATGTATTTATTTTGTAAAACAAAAGAGTAAAATCAAAAAAGAACTATTATCACCTAATTATTTCAATAATAGTTTCTATTATCTTTTTATTATAATAGTAACTAATTTGCTCTCTCAAAATAATAATTATTATTTATCAATTTAAGCATGTAAAATATTTATCATTATAATTCAATTAAATTCAATACTATGTGCATTTTTCAATAATAAACATTCTTGTTGAAAAAAAAGTAAAATAGAATTTTATTTTTCAGGTACGAACAACTCGTAGTACTTCAAGATGTCTTCTTAGAAATTTGTCAAAAGACGGCTCACTTTTTGACACGGATGAAGAAGGACATTAGACATTTAGGAATCAGCCAGTTTCAATGAAGAAATCAAATCATAATAATAATTATAAAGTCTGATAAAAACTCAGTAGGAGTATAAAAACTAAGACTTTTATAGAAATTAAAATATGAATGATTCCCAGGTAAACTTTTTTTTTACTAAAAAAAAAAAGGAAAAGAAGAAATTTTGAATAAAAAATAATTTTAAATCGTTTCTGACATTTAAATTTCTAAAAATTTAAATGAATGCAGAATTTCATTTTATTAAATCTTAAACTAAAAGAAAAGAAAAACAAAAAAAAAATGATAAAAAAAATAGTAAAAATTTTTTAAATAGAGTTTTTTTCTTAAAATTATCTTACAGTTGAAGAAATATTATAAATAGAATAGTCCGGAAATTTTTTGTGGAAACGAAGATTTATCGAATGGAATTTTTTTGTTAACACAAATTATTTGAGACTGAATTTGTAATATTTGTCAAATTTCAATTATTATAATTGTTGATAATTATGATTATTGTAATTGTAATTTAATTTTTAGGAAACGATTTTCAAAATGTTAAATAATATTCACACAATCATTCTTTTTCAATTTAATTATTTACCATTGTTAATATTTAACCGTTTTGATGAATTTTAAAAATTTGAGAAAGTATTTCGTTTTTAAATTGTTAATTATAAACTTGTTTTTATTAAAAAGTATTCACGAATTTCAGTCTATTAGTTAATATTAATATTGATAATTCTCATTAATAGTGTTATTACAATATTCGTCAAAAACAGAAATCTCTTTATTATTATATCTGCAAAAAAATCCTTAAAATTAGAGAATTAAAATATAATCTAAATTTAGTTTAATTGCTAAAATTTACCGTAATATCTATATTCATTTATGGGATTAAAAAAAAAATCTTATAAAGAATTAAATTTCCATAATAGGAATTAACGATTTTATGTAGAAAATAAGTGTGTTTAGGAAATGAAATAGTTTCTTTTTTCAATGGTTGATGGAATTAGACAAATAATTATGTGATACTTGAATTCTAACAAACTAATTTTTATAATCTCTTTATAAGAAACATTTTGTTACGATATACTCGCAGTTTACTACAGTGGCACTCGTGCTTTATGTACAATGAAATAATAAATACTTTATTGCCTTTTAATTATTATTCTTATTTTCTCTCAATGGGAAAAATAATTTCCAAAAACAATTCATTGGAGAATTTTTTTTTAAATTTGTGTTGTATTCAACAATGTCCAACAAGAATTATTTTCACTTAGGTTCAAAATATTTGAAAAATATTACAAAATTAAATTATAAAACAATTTTAAAAAATTTTAAGGATTGTAAAACGTAAAATTTATTTACAGGTTTTACAGTTCTTTAAATTCTCACCAGATGGCCATTGGCATTTATTGTAGAAGCACCTTTAAGTTTTGGAAACTTCTATTACACGCTTCTGAAATCTAATTTTTGATATATTATTTATCACGAATTTGTATTAAAATTAACAATTTTTTAATTACTATTCTTTTAATTAACTTCTGTTAACTTCCGTTCGAGTTGGAGTAATAAACAAAGGTAAATTAGTGGGTAAACCAAAAGCAAACATTTACTATTTTTCTTGAGACGAAGAAGATAATTATTCACTTTTCCCAAAATATAAATATAAACAAATTATTTTACTTTCTTTACAATATTATTAATGTGTTGAATTTCTTCCTGTTTCTCCATAACTTTCTTTCTATTTCTCCAAATTACAAATCTATTTTTCCAGAGAGAGGTTAGAATCGTTTTACATTTCTTGATATATTGATTTTTTTTATTCCATTTTTTTATATATTATGGAAAAATAGAAATTATTTTTGAAGAAAAGTTTATAAATATTGAAATTTAAAGTATTTTTTACTTGATACATTGTTGTTAAAAAAAATATATATATAGTGAATTAAACATGTTTGAAAAAATAGATATTTTTTGTTTGTTTTTTCAAAATAGAACGAAAAAAAAATGAATAAAAAAGGAAATATGGCAATAAAATTCCAAGATAGCATGATTCTGCAAACGAGAAAGTATTTAAAACGTAAAATAATGTGTCCTGAAATAAAATACCGGCATCATGAAAAGGAACGTCAGTATGTTTTGGATTTATTGAAACGCACTGTCGAAACGGGCGAGAGTAATTCAGCACTTTTAATCGGTCCCGAGGATACTGGAAAAACAATTGTGAGTATTTTGAGGAATATTTTTTATTTTCAACTAATTGACAATTGTTATTTTATTATTTTTATTTGTTTAGCTTGTGAATAGCGTTCTGAGGGAATTGTCAATTTCAAAAAATTTCAAAGACAATTGTGTAATTGTCAATTTACATGGATTGGTGCACACTGACGATCGTTTGGCATTAAAAGACGCGACACGTCAAATGCAACTTGAAACTGCAGTTGGCGAAAAAGTATTTGGCTCGTTTGCCGAGAATTTGTCATTTCTCTTGGACTGCTTAAAATCAGGCGATAAAAAACGGAGTAAACCAATTATTTTTATTCTCGATGAATTCGATTTGTTTTGCGAACACAATAATCAAACGTTACTCTACAATTTATTTGATGTCGCACAATCGGCACAGGCGCCAATTTGCGTATTGGGAATAACAAATCGTTTAGATGTTTTGGAATTACTTGAGAAACGTGTGAAATCACGTTTTTCATCGCGACAAATATTTTTACTACCCGACGATAATAAAATTGATTTAGAATGTGGAACAAATGAAAAACCATTTGACGATCGTTTATTATTGTTTAAAAATCTTTTGTGTCTACCCGACGACGAGAATGTCAATGGAATTGAACATGAATTCGATGATTGCTACATTGACGCGACATTTGCCAATTCATGGAATGAATCAATAGCGAAAATTGCAAAAAATCAAATACTCATTAATTTATTGAAGTCAATGTATAAAAATGATACGAGCGAGAGGAAGTTTCGTAATTTTCTTGTTATCGCAATTACATATTTGACCGAGAATCATCAGAAATTGGAGATTGATGATTTTGTCGAGGCCAGTAAGGTTTATTTACAAGACGATCGTGTCGCAATATTGAAGGGTCTCTCTGTTTTGGAAATGTGCCTGGTGAGACTATTTATTTAACTATTCATTTAATTAATTAAAACTTAATTTTATTTAATTTTTTTAATTTTCAGATAATAGCAATGTATAAGGAAACAGAATTATGTAAAGACGAACCATTGAATTTCGAACATGTTTACAATTGTTACAATTTATTTGCTGCACAAAGTTCTTCTATTCATTCCGTCCAAAGGCCAGTCATTGTCAAAGCTTTCGAACACATTAAAGTAAGTAGTTTTTTCAAGTTTCAGAAACAAAAATTCCTTTCTATTCCCAACCAAAGTAATAATTAATAATTAATAATTAATAATAAAATAATAACGTAATTTTTTATCAGAATTTAGAAATTCTGCAGCCAATTGGAAGCAGTAATTCACGAGTCGAAAAGGAATATCAATTCTATAAGTTTATTTTAACTCCTCAGCAAGTGCTTGATGCGGTGAAAAATTACGCTAATCTTCCAACTGAAGTTCATCAATGGGCTGTAAATACATACACAGCACGCTAAAAATATTTCATTTCGCTTTTGTAATAATATCTTTTCCATTTCATTAACTAGATATTAAATTAGTACTTAGAGCATCTTCCATAATATTTTTAAGACTGATTTCAAAGAAGAAGAAGAAGAAGAGAAAGAATTTTTAATCGACAAACTTTTAAAAACCGAAAAGTAAATTTCGAAGTCCAGAGTCAATTCTTCTCTCATTGTACAGAAAAAAAAAATGTCCATGTTCTCCAAAAAAACATGTCTTTTGATAGTAAAAAAAATAATCCATCTTTTCCGCTCTGTACAATTTTTCTTCACACTTTTTAATTCGATTCATTCAGTAATAAGTTATTTATTGTCCTTAAAAAATAAGTAATTGTTAAATTTCTTTTTAATCTAGTCAGTAGAGAATCGATCGAGAGTATTGTTGATGTTTTTTTTTTTTTTTAGAAAAGAAAAATTTGTAAATGCGTGCGTGTTTGTTTCTGTGCAAAATATAGTCCTTTTAATTTGAAAACAATTGCACAGAATTTTTCCATATCAAAGTATTTGATTTTTAGTAATATTTTAAATTAACTTGGTTTTTTTTTCTAAACTTTAAGACTCAATTTTTTTTTGTTTTTTTTTTCAATAAAAGTATATTTCGGAAAGTTTAGAAAAAAAATTTTTTTTTTCTTTTAAATAAGACAATTGTGTCATTGTCCAAATTTTTATACAATGATTAATTTTTATAGCTCCGAGAAATGAATGTTTTTGAAAGAGGAATTTTGTTCAAAAAAGAAAATTTAGGGAGCATGTCCATTTAAAAAGAAGCAAAAAGAATTGTTCGTGAATGAACAATTCGCATTTATTGTGAGAAATAAATACTAATGTTTTATTCAAGAATATTGATTTTATTATCTGTATTACACTAGTTTCTCTTTCTCTCTCTCTCTCTCATTCGATCCAAGCCAATTGTGTCTTTTTTTCGTTATTATTCGTATTTTTTGCGACATTCGCCTGTTTGGCTGGAATTTCCGGTGTCTTTGTATTTTTTTCTTTAAATAACGTATTTTTTGTTTTTGAATAACGTCTCACGAGTTTCATCATTTTTTCGAATTTTTTCGATTGTTTATATTTCGTTAGAAATGATTCATGACCTGGAGGAAAAAATTATTATATTAAAAAAATAATTTCAGAAAATAAGAATTTACATAATTATAAAAACAGAATTATTCCGTTGAAGTTAATTTTTTTACCCGGATTTTGACCAACGGGAACAACATTCGCAAATCGTGCTTCCGTGCTAAATGGCCTCAGTGCCGAGAAGGCGCGAGTTAATCCAATCTAAAAATTATTTTCTGTTCGATTAATTCGAAATTAGTAAATTTATTCAATTATTGAGAATTTGAAGTTTGAATTATTTTGTTAAACAGAAAATTATTTTTGCCTTAGTGTGACGAATGTGATGTTCAACTAAATCGGCTCCCAATAATTCTTCGTGAACTGACATTCTGATTGGAATTATTTTATTGACAATCTGTGAATTTAAAAAATTTGAATTTGTGTCTTTTCTTCTTTTTTCTGTTAAATTTCAATAATATACCCATAATAAAAGTAATGACGTGATGAAACTCCAAGTAGCGAGGCATAAAACAGTTAAACTTTGAATACCCAAAAGGTACCATCCACCTCCTGGGGAAAATTTTAATCAGCTTCGTTTAAAAGAAATTTTTTATTAAAGTTCGAATAAATTTAATTAACAATACAAATTCGAATAATAATTTATACCTTTAAATAATCCTTTTCGCCCTTTTGTAGTTGTTAACGGTTTTGGATCGTCCGCGAAAAATCCTATTGCAATCATTCCCCAAATGCCGCTAGTTCCTAATAATTAAATTAATTAAATTTATTATTTAATTAATTCGATTCAAGGATTGTTAGGATTAAGAAAATGTTCACCATGTGTCGCAGAAGCTCCAACAGGATCATCAATACCTAATTTGTCTAATATTGGCATTGATAAGCAAGTTAATAATCCGCCAATCATTCCAACAATTACTGATTCCCAAGCTCGAAAAAGAAAACAGCCGCCTTAAATTTAATTTAATTTCCCAATTTTAGTAAATAAATCAAAAGGTAAAAATTGTGACAAAACAAAATTCTTCGGTTCTACAAAAAAGATAAAATTTAAAATTTGCAAAAATAATTATCAACAAAACTTCTGGTCTGGAATTAGAAATAATATTTGCATTAATAATTCCAGGACATAATTTTTGTCAATAATTATTATTATTATTATTATTTAATTTTATATTTATAAAAACAAAATCGTGAGTAATAATAAAAATAAAATTTTTCTTCTAACCAGTAATTGATACCAAGGCACCTAAAATTCCGTTAATTTGACTTAAAATATTTATTCCCTTTTCTGGACTTGACATACTGATGATTAATCCAACCAGTCCTCCTCCCATGCTCGCCATTATTGTCGAGACTGCTGCTCGAGCGGCGTATTTCCATTTTTCTCCATTAACACCATAAGTGCTCCCACTATTGAAGCCCAACCATCCCCACCTGTAATTAAATTAAATTTAATTAATTTCTCGCTTAAAAATTTAGTTTCGTTATTTATTAAATAATTATCTATAATATTTACCATAACACGAATAATCCCAAAATTGCGTTTACGGGACAACCGAGTGGTAAAGGATCTATTCCATTATCGTATCTCCCAAGTCTTGGTCCAAGCATAATTGCACAAGCGAGAGCTGAAGAATATTTTTTTAAAATTAGTTTTCAAATAAATTTTTGTCAAATTATAATAGAATATAATTTTTAATTTAGGTAGTAAAATTAGTAATTAAAAATATTAAAATTATATTTAGTAAAGTTAGAAGTTATAATTATTGAAATTATAATATTGGTAAAATATATTTTGTAGAAATTAAATATTTTTTATTTCACCAGAAACTCCGCCGACCAAGTGAACGGTTCCAGAACCGGCAATATCAACAGCTCCCCATTTATTTAAAAAGCCATGATCTCCCCAAACCCATCCGGCAGGAACGCAGTAAACAATTGTATTCAATGATGAGAAAATACAATAGGCTTTAAAGTTGCACCTACATTAGAAAATTTAAAAAGAATTCTTCAAATTATTATTCCAATTAATTAAAATAACCAATAAATTAAATATTAAACTAAAATTAAATCAATCAAATTAAAAATTAAATTAATCAAATTAAAGATTAAATTAATCAAATTAATTGATTAACTTCATTAAATAATTAGTTAAGTTGAAAATTAAATTAAATTTTTCATTGAAAAGAAAATTATTCAGTTCTTTTACCTTTCTGCCATGGCACCAGAGACAATTGTCGTCGATGTTGTCGCAAAACTTAATTGAAAGAGAAATGCAGCGCAAGCTTCTCCTAAAATATCGTCATCAACTTTTGGATCAATTAAATAGCCTCCAATTCCAAAAAAAGGATTTCTCGGCTCCTCAGTTCCAAAACTTATGCCAAAACCAAAAAGCCAATACGTTAATCCTCCAACAACAATGTCGACAACATTTTTCATCATAATGTTCACTTCATTTTTCAATGACACACAACCTGATTCCAACATTCCGAAACCTTGAAAAAAATTCAAAATCAAAAAAAAAATTAATAACTGCAAAATTAAAATATAAATTGAAAATACAAAATGAAAGTAAACAATTAATTTTCATTTCAAAATATATACATATTTCATTATAATTATTCAATGTAAATAACTTTTATAAACAAAATATTGTTCAGAAAGTAAGTAAATTTTCACTTTTTCATTTCTAAAAAAAAGAATTTACCTGTTTGCATCGTAAATATAATGAAGGCATTCGAAACAACCCAATTGCTGTCATCCTGTCGTAATTTATAAGGCGAACCAATGTAACGAGTTTTATTTACAATTACATCAGTGTCATTATAATCATAATATTCCAAATTCATTTTTATTTCAATCAAAAAATAATGCTTGATGAAAATAAAATCCTCTACTAAATATTTCAACAACAATTGTCAACCAAGACTGTTGTGTCTTCTTCTCTTTCTCAAAACAATCGGCGAAATTGTTCGAAAACATATTAAAAATTAATGCTAAACGTCGTCGGAAAGGAGAATTTTAATTAAAATCCAAGGATAGTAAAGAAAATCGAGCATTCTTTTTTTGCCGTTTTTTTATTTTTCCTCCATTTTTTTTTTTTTGTTTTTAATCGGCCCACAAAAAGCCCGTTTTACATGAATTTTTCTTAATATTCGTTTTTTTAATAATAATAATATTAATAATAATAATTTTGTCACTAGTTCTTAATTATATTATACTCCATTAATTTAAAAATTATACATACGCAAATAACAAGTAAAATATTTCTAATCTAAATAAAAAGAGAAAAAAAGAAATATCACATAATTGCGATGTAAAAAATCATTTCTCTGCGTAATAAAAAACAATTTTTTTGCTCAGATTATACTGAAGTTATAATTTTATAATTATTACCAAAGAAATAATTAATTATTAAAAATTTCAATAAATTGAACAGAAAATTAAATTTATTAAAAAGAAAATTATTTAACAAAAGCAAAATTGACTTTATTCGAAAATGAAAAGTACACGAATAATTTTCACGAAAAATATTTTTAGAAAAAATACATTTTTTTTTATTTATAGAGAAAATAAATTACGTTGCAAAATTTGTGATTAAAAAAAAAAGAAAAATCTGTTATAGAACAAAAAAATTGAAAATAATGACATTTTATGTCTGGCATTGTATTTTTTTTTTTATTTTCTAACTTAGTAATTTTTTTCTTTCTTTTAATTTTTATAATTTCTAATTTGTTGATACAGTTGATGCTCGTTGAGAGCAAAAACTAAAATTCTCCACATCGGTAGACTTGTTGTTGTTGTTTTTTTTTCTTTTCTTTCTTTTCGTATTCAATGAAGATAATTTTTGTCGAAAATAGAATTTTTCGAATATAATTAGTGCCCGTACACATTTTCATCGCTATACGCTATGTAAAGGAAAAAATCCTCTTCATGATGTTCCTATGAGAAAAAAAAGAAATAAAAAATCAATTTAATTTCAATTGATGGACTAAATACTAAAATATTATAATAATTATAATAAATAATTGAATTTTTCAGCGATTATATACAATTATTTAACAAATACTGTAATAATATTAATAGTTAGTTTAAAAATACTAGTACGAATAATATTTATTTAAAAGAATTTTAAATTGCAAAAAAGAATTTTTATCAGAAATTAAACGTTGAATCTGAAGCGACGTGTTTTGTAAAACTTATATTAGATTGCAATGACAAGGCTAACATTATGCAATATGGAATGCGGCCAAAATACAAGGAAATTGTATATATATATTTTTCAAATTGAAAAAAGGACGTTAATTGAAAAAAAACTTTTTGTTTGCAAATTTAATTATTAATCAATAAGTAATAATAAATTCATAGTTGATTAAAATTGTCAAATTACCTGATATAACGAACCCATTGTGGCACTTGTCGGTGGAATGATGTTGTTTACAAAAAAGAAAAGAGCATCCTCAGGACGAAGATGAATTCGTTTACGAATCAAAAAATAAAATTGACCTACAGTCAAATCTGATGGTACCAAATATTTCTGTTTATCCAAATCACTAATTTTCGCCTTTGGTGCTTTCTCAACAATTACCTATTTACAAAAAAAAAAGTATTTATTCTTTCAATTTTACATAAATATTATGAATATTAAAAAAAATTGTCGCAAAAAGAGGAATTAAAGAATTAGTCAACATAACCTAAAAATAGACCAAAGTCTCGACATTCTTTTCTTATTGTTCCTGTAAATTTTAATAAAAACAGTAAATTTATTTCTATTCAAACTAGGATTGTCTTTTGAAAATTGAAAAATTTTCATATTACAGTATAAAAAAAGTCCCTATTATATTTGTAATTTATTTACGTTATTTTTTATTTACAATTATTTACCATTAACGTCAAATTTGTTTATTTTTCCAAAACAAAAATTTAAATTTTAAATGAAAGTTAAAACTGCGCGTAAGATTATATATTATGACGAAATGATGAAATTATTCTTGAAAGTATTCACGTACATACGATAATAAAGAATCGTATATCATTTTACAGAAGAAGAATAAATATTTAATATCCACTTATCTGTTATAGGATTGTAAAGAAATAAAAACGAAAAAGTACAGAAGCAAAAACAAATCTCATTTTTATCTGCCTTTACAGATTTTTAATTTTACTAAATTTGACGATTGACACCATTGACACTTAGTATTTTTTTCATAAACTAAGTGCTAAATATTAATCATAGCACTGGCTGCAAAAATAATTACGATTACAACCTATGAATAAACAATGAACGTGGGATCGAAATAAACGATGTGCAAATGAAAAAAAATAAGATCGATAATAAGGATGCGCACTGCAGGGAAATGTCAACGACCTAGAGGAATAGTAAGGAATATATTGTAATAATTTGATTACAATTGATCTCCTGTCAAATCTTACGGTAGGTCCCGTACGACGCAAAAACACTAAACGACCTTGGATTATTCCATTCGTACGGAATTTACCTTTCAATCATCATAAAGAAAAAAATGTCGAACTTTGATACAGAGAAAAAAATGCTCTATTGAATTGGAAATTAAAAAAGTTTTTCTATTTGTTTACTTACAGGAACTCTGTCAGGATATTTTCGTCGAATTTTCTCTCCCTCAGCCTTTCTTTTTTCAAATGAATGTTCCTCCTTGTACTGGAACTTCATTTTGTCAGCGCTAGCAATAAGCGCCTTTCTCACGAAATTAATCTTTTAAATGTGAATTTAATTCGACAAAATTTCACGTTTCTAGACACTTTTTCTACAAATTTCGAAATAAATGCGCTTCAAGTAAAACAAGTTTCTTGTTGTTTTCTTTTTTTGTCCCTGTCACAACAATCACGATCGGAGTTGTCAAAAGTAAGTGCTCTTTAATGGGTGGATGAACGATTCGTAGAACAACATATCAAATGCGCAGTAACTATTTTTTACCATCGGAAAAATAGTCCCTTCTGCGCAAGAAAGTTTTACATCTGAATTTCGTGTTTAGTTCACGATTATTTTCATAAACCTCAGAATTAATGTTGAACTTGAATTAATTTTCTGTATATTGAATAATTCTAGATTTTTTTTTGTTTTTGTGACTTTTCCTTTGATAAACAAATGCACGTTTTGGAAACACTGATATTACTACGCCGTGACGTAGTGTTATTGGAGAAGTCATGAATCATTCCTTTTAATTTTTTTCTCCCAACAAAAATCATTCATGATTTTTCTTATAAAAAAAAGGGTAGATAATTTTTCTCTATTGCAAAAGAATTAATATAATAAATATACAGGGAAGAGAAATCAAAATACTTTTGTCCCAAGTTTACACGGAAATACAAATTAATTGCGCGGGAGAATTCAAATAGTTGAAATTATTCATTTTCTCAAACAAAGAGGTGAGAAAAGAAAGAAATTCTTTATTCTTTATGGAAAGAAATTTAAAACGAATAAGAATAACAAACGATAATTAACGAAAAATGTATTTTTATTGAAAATCATAAATTTACATTTTTTTAATTTATTCTGCATCTTCGTCATCTTCATCTTCCTGGCTGTTAATTTGGAAGTATCTGAGTTCGTAGGTTTCTTTGTCTTTGCAAACTACTCGAAGCCAATCACGAAGTTTATTCTTTTTCAAGTATCTTTTCGTCAAATACTTGAGATACCTATTAAAACAATATCATTTTATTAGTGCAAATATCGCTCTAGATTAGTGAATTTTCCGTTCTTTCTTTCTCTTCTTAAAAAAACCCAAAACGGTTATTTTTTTACTCGAAATTGCGTTCAATTGGTTAAATTCTAAATTTCTAATTTTTTGGAAACTTGATTCAAAATAAAAGTTAAAATATAAAAAGAAATGGAAAAAATGTGTCGCGTTATCAACAAAGGAATTTAAGGTTATGTTTATAAATTTTTTTTAGTAAAAATCGTAAAAATATAAAGAATAAAGAATAAGAAAAATAAAAGTAAACCTCTAAATATAGCAATAAAAAAACATAAATCTCAAAATTGAATAGAAGAAGAATATTTAAAGAGAAAAATTCGATAACACTTTGTATCATGAAAAGAGAATAATTTAGAAAAATTAATTAGAACGATACCCACCGTTTAGAGAAGTCGATATCACTACTGACTGTTATTCTCATCTTGTTCCTTTCAATAGTAACATTATTTCCAAAATTTCCGGTTTTTCCGTTAACCTTAATTCGTTCATGAAGGTACTTTTCCTGAAAAAAGAATTTAAAAACAATTTTATTAAACAGCTTCTCCAAAACAAAGGAATTCGTATTCTTATTATTCTAACAGAAAATATGTACTAATTCCATTTGTAAATTATGTAAACATTCAGAAATTAAAACCGAAATATGATCCACAAGTTTTACAGGTTCAAATGAACGAAATATTTTCATCATAAATTAAAATAATCACAAAATACTTACGAAACTTGCGACATCCATAATATTGTCCTCGACTGGATGCGTACAGTCAATTGAGAACTTTAGGCAAACCTTCTTCTTCTGGCCCTTGCCACGAAGATGTTGCTTCTTCCCCACTGGGGCTTTAGCTTTTTGCACCTTGGTCTACAAATGAAAGACAAAAATTCATTAAACATGAAAAAATGTTCATTAAAAAGTATTACAATCATTATTTGAATAGAATTAGAAGATAAGAATAAAGAAATTCATTTGAGACGTGACAGATCAATGTTGAATAAAAAGTGAGGTTAGGAAATGCAATTTTCAACTCTTTCGAAAATAGAGCAATTTCTTTTCAAGCACTTTTGAACGCCACATTTAATCGTTAATCTCTCCTCAAGCAACACAATTATTTTACGTTCATGTGATTTTTTTTTATAAGAAATAATGAAATCACACGTGGATAAACTGTTAGACTATCGTGAGATGTCTGCGACTATCACTCGCGAGTGTCAAACAATCCACTTCAAATAAAACCATCTTTTCGAAATTGTAAAAAAATTTCACTAAAATCGGTAAACAGGGGAGTAAGTTTAAAGCGAATCGTAAAATTTTCAGTTAAAATTGATAAGTAAACAAATAAAATGATGAAAAATTGAGAGAACATAATCTTACCGGAGCCATTTTTACGAGAAAACCGGACGAAAGAACTTTTTAGAAGAGCGCATGTAGGGGAGTTTACAAGTTGACAGATGGCGCAACGAGCGCCACTGCGTAATTACGTTACGACTTACGTTATTTACCCAAGCGTAAACTTCACAATGTTCAAAACCCGCCTTTAATTCTTTGAAAACAAAGCGGGAAATTTTAAAACTTCTCGACTTTTCTATTCTTTTTTATAAAAAAAATTTCATAAAAACTTGTAATACTTTGGAAAAAATAAACAAAAGTTGATAATTTACTTCCAATAATTGAATATATCTAAAATTTCAATTGTTAATTGTAAAATAAACGCAATTCAGTCAAAAAAATTCATTTTGACCGGAAATGGATGAGTTTAAAAAATTAAAATGGCAACTGATGCAATACTTCCGGTTTCTTCTCCGAGGATCACGCCGGTTAGTGTGTTTTGTATTTAAATAAAATTTGTAGAAAAATAAAATTCTTAATCGTTAATAAAAAAGAAAAGTGTTTCAAAATGATGAATGGATTAGTGAGAAGTGCCTTGAGAGTGACGGCTTTAAAAAATGTCATAACACCAGCAGTAAATGTAACAAAAACCAATGTTCAAATTAATCGAATGCTATGGAACATGTGCAATCGATTAGAGCACAATTCATCAAATTTAGTAAAGGAAGTGAATAAAAGTCACAGTGAATTATGTAATTGCGGTGGTTGCCGTGCTGCGCACACAAAAGGTATTTATTCAATTTTCATTATTTAAATTTTCCTTTCTTTTCTCCCACGGGGAAAAAATATTTTCATCACCACGTGAGAGGTTAATTTTGTTCTTTTTTTTTAAGTTTTTCTCCTTTTTCTTTTTGCATTTTAGTGTCTATTTTTATAGTTGTATTGATGAATTTGCGTTAGTTTCGAGTAATCTTTTCTTCTATGAATGTTATTTTTTTTATCAAAATGTTTGCTCTTTGCTAATGATGAAATTAACCTCTAAAAAAATTAAATTTAACTTTATTAATATTTATTAAATCGTATTTTTCTCTTGAATATAAGAATTTAAAAGTTTTGCAAAAATTGCAATTTTTTAGGCATCAAAAAATTTGGTTCAAAGAAAATTGTTAATTGTTAATTTAAAAAAAAAAATTATCAGGTAAACAAATTTTTGTTTTATAAACATTGAAGTTGATAATCACAAAATTCGTTCGTAAAAATATTTATTATAATAACTTCTTTGCTTTGTTACAGCTGAGAAGGAATTAGTCGAATTTCTTGCTGAGGAAATAGTGGCAGAGAAGAAAGCTCGAAAATTAAAAACAATTCCAACGGATCTCGAAGGTTTTAAAGTATCACTCGATGGGGCTGAAGTTCGTCTTGTAAAAAAAGACGCAGCCGAAACGTAAGTTTTGACAATAATGATTAAATATTTCTTCTGGTTTCAATTTTTTTTTAATTTCAATCTTTTCTTTTCACAGAATTACAATTTCTTTTAATATTAATCACACAATAACCTCAGAGGAAGAGCCGGAAATTGATCCTCAAGATGACAAAGCAGACGTTGGGGAAATGAGAAGCAAACCTAATTTTGAAATTGATATTGTTAGAGGGAATCAAACATTATCATTCACTTGTTCCTTTAATAGCGAACCTGGAGCGTCTGGCGCCGACGAAAGTTATAGTAAGGAATTTGCAAATTCATCTGAAAATCTTTTTATTCTTTTTAAATAAATATAATGTATCCAAAGTGTTGAGTACAGTTAACATGATTTTATTTGTTAAACTGATAATTGATCTTTGGAAAAGTAAAATATTATTGAGTAAAAATGTACTTTACTTTTTATTTCTAATTATAAGGTACTTCTCGATAATGTAACAATTTCATATTAAATTTTTATTATATTTCTCGAATCATTTTCATTCGATTTTGAAAAAAATTTAAGAATTTAAGCAAATATTTAATATTTTTAAGTAATTCATATCTTATGTATTGTAATAAAACGAATATTTATATTCAGAAGGAAAAATTGACGTTTTTTTTCCTTTTTTAGATGACATTTTTGGAATTGACGAAATTACGCTCTTCGAGGGCGAATACTCTGACAAAGTTTATGCTGTAAGCGGAGAAGTCATCGATGGTGTAAGTTGAATTTTTTGGAATTTAAAATTTTATTTTCAAATCATTAATTTGAAAATAGAATTATATTTTAATTTTTTCTTTTTCCAGTACCTCTATGATCTTCTAATGAACTATCTCGAAGAGAAGGGAGTTTCGAATGAATTCACAGAGAAAATGATGGAACTCAGCACATCTTACGAACACACGGCCTACATTAGTTTACTCGAAGGTCTCTCCAAATTCACAACCACGAAATAAATTCCATTATTTGTATTTTGAGTCTAATCATATTTCCAGTGACGTGGAAATTCGCCTCGACGATTTTCACAAAACACACAGAAACAAAAGAAAAAAACAAAATGTCGTATGTTAATTATTGTATACTTTAAAAAATTTTTGTTACAGTTAGACGTGTATTTTAGTTTTTTTTTCAAACGCTAGACGATACTTTTTAGAAATGTTACACTGATTTTTCAGAAAAAAAAAAAATAAATCGTGTTGAAAAAAGATTCAGGTATTTTTATCTATTAAGAAAATTGCAAAAACCTTTTAGTAGAAAATTATTTTTATTTAATGTTTATTCAGTACAAAACATAATTCGAAACAAAGCTGTACAATTTTATAAGTAGAACGAAAAAGAACAAAAACGAAATTGGCTTTTTTTTTAAATTATTACCAATCTGGAATTCCAAATCTGTTGATTCTCTTCATTTGCGCATCAAGATCCATCTGCACTTTTTTTCTCATGTAGAAAATGGGACAATCTCGACTATAAAAAAAATATTTTGTTATATACTTTAAAATTTTTCCTTCTTTGAAGAAAAAAGAAAATAATTTTTACATTCTTATAAAAAATGAGAAGGTCTTGTTTCATATAATTATAAAAATATGAAAATGGGAGAAAAATGACGTAAATTTTCTCGAAATTGAAAGAAAAATAAATACCTGGTGCAAAGTACTTCTTGATGAAGACTTCCTTGACATCTCTGGCACTCGGTCCACAATCGACAAAATTTCTCCTCAAGTTTCCTGCCGGCGTTCGCTTCCTTTTCGAAAAATTCGCCCTCCTTCTCCTCGCAAAATTTACAGAGCGCAAGTTTCTCACGATCAGGAGTTAATACTGCTTTACAACCCAAACACACCTCTTTTTTCTTTGTAAACGCAACGAGTGCACCGACACGCGACGTAGCTACTGTTTTCGTTCTCGTATGCTCGCCCTTCAACAAAAGTGATTCTGCCCGATCGCCTAATATTGGCTCAAATATTCTCACCAACGGTTTTGACAATTGATTCTGCAGATAATAATTCGTGTCAATTGGAATACTATTTTCTAAAACGTAAATTGGATCCTCGGCCTTTTGATAGGCAGGCGCACCTTTTGCGCCATTTATAAATACATAGGGCACACGATCGCCGAGTTTCGGTGCCGTGCCAGCGTCACGCTTCTTCATTTTTGCCGCCAATTCAACGTGCGCCTGTTTCGCCGTGTAATCAGTTTTTGTCAATTCCTTCGTGACCACCAATTGTGAAATGTCAATTCGATTGCACAAGAGATCGCTTATCACTTGCTTTGCATAGTCAACTGCCTCATCTGGTTTTCTACGAAAAAAAGAATAAATTAGAATCTAAAAAATTGCCTCTTGGAAGAGAGCGGATCACAATCTTACCTGTCAATGAGTAATTTTTGCAGACATGTATTCATCATATTGGCGACAAGGGGACAATTATCGCGACGAACTGTCTCTAAACCTTTGCAATCCATTTTGTCGTATTTCTCAGGTGTTGTAAAATAGAGACCGGCGTAGCGTTTCTTGTTAATCAAGAGATATGGATAGTAGACCTTTTCGAATTCGAGTTTAATGGGTTTAATGAATTTTGCCGAGACATAATCGGCCGCCTCTTTTCCCAATTGCATCGCTTCGCGAATGTCCGTAACGCCAAATTTCACCATCACTGAATCCGTGTCGCCGTAAATAACAATGGAATCATGTTTATAGCCATTTTTCTTGCAATAATGCTCCTCGACTTCGTGCTTTGTCTTCTCAATCATCGTTCTTCCGTAGGACGTTACACTCTGAAAATAGAAAAAAATTTCTCAATAATTCAAAATTTCTAAAAATTAACTTCACTAGATTATATTTTATGTTTTAGATTTAATTCTCTTACGGCTGATATTTCCAAGCAGGGCAATTTTCCCATTTGCGCGCCAGTGAAACCGTAGACGGAATTCGCGGATACTTTCAATGCGTACTGTCGTCCGTCGAGAACCTTCTTCTTCAGGGGATCCTCTTCTTTTTTCAATTCAGCTTTCGCGACTTTACGCGCGCTCAATAAATTCTCAAGAATCTCGGGTAGAATTCCCTTTCTTACGTTTGTCTTAACAAACATGGAATTATACGGTGTCTTCGTGATATCGTCAGTTGACAATTGTAATTTATTTTGCGCACTTGGCGAAAGAAGTGTTGTGTAACACAAATTGTGGGCCATAATAATACTCGGATACAGAGAACTGAAATCCAAAGTTGCAATTGGATCGCTGTAATAGCCACGTTTTGGTTCAATAACCGTTGCACCCTCGAATTGCTCGTCCACTCCCTGACCCTGATGGGTTGGCATCAAATATCCGTGTTCTCGTGTCTAAAAAAAATTAAAAAATACAATTTCAAGAGCCAAAAAGAAGATAAAATAAAAATGTTTCGTTTTTTCTTCTAACCTTTCGTAAAAGTTGCGAGACGACTTTAATCTGCTGACCCCTGGTCAATAGAGTTGACAACGAGACACCAGTGACTCTCGCCATTTCCATATAAATAATAATACACATCAATTTGTCCAGTAAACGAAGAGGTAACATTGCGTCCTTCAAACAGTAAACGGCGAGACGACGACGCGTTTGAGCATTTCCTTTTTGTAAATCGGAAATAATACTGTGGTGCACGTCCTCTTTTTGTTCTTGCAAAAAATGATAACTCACGGCATTTAACGTGTAGGATCTCAATTTATAGTCACGTACCAATACCTAAAAATTTGATTTTAATTAGGTACATTTTTTTATAGATTTAGAAAACAATGGTTTTCTTATATTTTCTATATTTAAAGAAGTGCAATTATTAAAAGGACAATTTTATATTTACCAGTAAAAGATCAAACGGCACACGTCCTTCAAAATTAACGTGTTTATTCTCACGACGTCCCATTTGTTTGCTCTGCAGTACTTGATTGCGAATGATTGATTTGATATTTTTTATTCGTCCCAGATAATTGAAATCATTCACTTTTAAATGTTGAGCACGATTAATTAAATAGGGAAAATCGAAATTATTTATATTGTAGCCAGTGAAAATGTCCGGATCCAATTGTCGAATAAAATCAGCCCATTTCTTGTATTTGGAAATTAATAAAATTTATAATTAGGAATTAACATGAAACATAATATAAAATAATAATATTAATAAATTAAATCAATAAAATAATAAATATTATTATTTTTATTATTTGAATTACTATTTACCCTCAACATTTCCTGTTCGGTTGCGTAGCTGAGCACTTGACAGCCGACAATTGGAGCACAAGTGTCCAAAGTGAAGATATTACGCAAAAAAGGCTCAGTCTCGCCCTGTCTGATCACCATGTTTGCTATTTGAATAACCGGATCGTGATTGGGCTCGGGAAATATTCCTGAAAGCAGAAATTTTCAATTATAATATACTTGATTTTAATTTTTTGGTTTTTATTAAATTTTGATGATCTTGAATAAAATTACCTTTACGACCGGCACATTCAATGTCAAAACTGAGAATTCTGAAGGGAGCAACTTTGGACCATTGGCCTTCGGGAGCGTGGGCGATGAAAGCATCCCAGGCGATATCGACTTCGATCTGGCATCTTGAAGTTATCGGCAAAGCGTGATTATAATAACCACGTATCTTCCATTTTCCAGCTGGTAGTTCTATCCATGAGCAGCCCACCATATTTGTATCGACCATAAATCTACAAATGCGTAATTCATAAGAAATTCGATGAAATCAAAAATTAAAGAATATTAATTGATTTGAAAGAAATAGTAAATTCTTACCGAATATCAAAATCGATATTACTTTCGAAAGCCTGATAGGCATGATTAAAGGTTGAATAAACAATTTCCTTTTCCAGTAATCGTCGACAAGGTGCGAGTAATTTTGGTAAAGCGACCGTTATTTTGAGAAACGGTGCCAAATCCTGACCACTGTAACCATAAACATTTTGTCTCTTCACTAATTCAACAACCAAAATAGCCTCTTGAATATTATCAGGATTCGATTTCATATCTTTTATCACAGCCTTGTTGAGGGCTTCCTATTTTGAAAAGAAGAGAAAAAGAATTACATTCCTCCTCAAAGAAAATAATAACAAAAAAAATATATTTTTCTAAAATTTGTCTAGCTTTTTTTTTTACCTTGAAACTTGAGCAGTGACTGTTTGTAAATTGTGGAGGTGCAGTGACAAAGAGGTACGGACAAAATCCATGAACGTGACAACAAACTGAATTTCCTTTTTCCGTGACTCCGTATAATCTCATTACGGGAACAGGACCCACTTTGCTTCCTGGCATTCCAGAAAGTGGTTGATCTGAAATTACAGGAATAGAAGATTAAATTCTCTGTTCTTCATTGCAAGTAATACTTTTACTTTACTTTTTAATGATTTTCTTAAATGAATTTAAATTACCTGTATAATGATCGACGTCTATTTGTTGAAAACATAATGTATCTTTCGATGGATTTAAATTTGGAGGTGGTGGTCTGCTCCATTTTGCCGAAGTATTTTCCTGTTCTGGTCCCTGTTAAATTAAAATAAAAACAAAAATATTTATATTCAAAAATTTTAAGTTTCCTTTTATTGTAATTTATTATCATTTTTTTTAATCGCTTCTTTAGAATTCTTAAAAATTATTATTATCGCTTCTAATTTTTGCAAGAAAAAAAATAACCTTGAAATTTAAATTTACTATTTGAATAATAATTTTCTATTTTCATACCTTTTTTGAAAGAAAATTCCAGTTCATAATTAAATTAACTTTTTGTAAATAGCAAGAAACATTCTTTCAGTGACATTTGTTTATTTCTAAAATAATTGACGATATTGAAAACGTATTGCAAAATTTTTTTATTATTAAACATTGACTCCATGCAAAAATCTGCTCGCGAATACGACCGCGTAATTCAAAAGATTTTTTAGCTAATCTTTATATTTTTGATGAGAAAAATTTGATAATAAATTAACATATTCAAAATTAGGTACAATAGACAAAATATTAAATATAATTACTTCTCCTTTCACTGTATCAATATCGAGAAAATCGTCATCGTCACCATCAAACATTGACGCAAGTTCGGATTCAAATTGAGACGGAGTGTCATCGTTATCTCTGAAAAATAAAAATTATTAATTATAGAATAAACAATTTTTCTATTTTATTTTCAATTCTCAACATTAATAAACTTTGATTAATTAGAAATTAAATTTCTGTTAGTAAACCATCATTTTATTTTTCCAAATAGAATGTAAAATAATTAAAAGAAATTGAGTTTCAAAACAAATTATAGGGATAATTAATTTCTAGAAAAGAAATTTTTTTGTTTTTTCAGAAAATTAAAATATTTTTTAAGAATTATAATTAATTTACATAATTTATAACATTCTTATTCTTATATTATATCAATATATTACAATAATATGTTAATCACCTTTGTTATTATTAATAGTTTTTTAAATTATTATATTCAATAATAACAAATTTGATTTAAACCCAAGTTTAAGTTTAGATTCAAAGTTGGGTCTTTATTGACAATTTCCAAGAATTCCATAATTGCCAATATTCTTTTTTTAAATTAAACAACAAATTTTTGAACTAAATTATAAATGCTTGTATACAAATTAAAAAGTTCAATTTAGTTATTATATAATTAAATGCTTGAGAATAAAGAAATGTATTTGAGGTTAGAATTTTGGAACGTTATTAAAATTTCTAAAGAAAAGTATATTTACCCAATTTTTTGTTTTTTTGACGGAGGGCCATTAAAAGGTTTTTTATTCATATTTATTTAGTTTTAGTTTTCGTTAAACTTTGCCAATTTTAACACAACAATGAAAAATGAAAACAATTCCCATAAAAAACAACAGAAACAATAAAATTAAAGGCGCAAAACACTGTCAGTTTTTGGCGCGAAAGCACTTTTGTCCAGAGTTAACAATTATTTTAAAGGCGAATTTAGATTAGAAAATAAAATGAAAAAAATGATCGTAATCCAATGAAATTTGTCGACTTTTTATCAACAACGAATAGAAAATTATTAACGATATTTTAAAATACAGCTTTATGATTATTATACGGCGGTAACATTTACATGTGTGCGTGTGTGTGTTGTTCCGCAAAATTTTTTAGGTTAGTTTTTGTTAAGTTTCCTGTTTTTTTAAATTAAATAAAAAATAAATATAAATAAATTAAGAAAAATTAATAAATATGCTATATTGAATATAAGAAAGAATTTCTCTTGGTCGTGTTGGGAATTAATAGAATTATATAGAAATCGACAACTAATTTGATTTCAAAAATTTTTTATCAAGACAAACTTCTTTTGTTGTTTTAATTTTTTTCTTAAAACTCAAGTCAATTTTTTGTTTGTTTTGTTAAGTTTTCGACAAATATGAAGTGCTCAATTCCTGAAATTTCATGGCACAATCGTGATCCAGTATTAAGTATCGATATACAAGTGGGTAATTGGAAAAATTCTTTGGATGAAACATTTTGGAGGATCGTCACCGGAGGAGCGGATTCTCACGTTTTGGTAAATTGGATTTTTTTTCGTAATTGTAAAAAAATTTGTCATTTTTATATTTTTATTATATTAATTAGTACTTTAATTATTTTTTCCTTCTAATTTTCTTTGGCATTTATTTGCTTATTTATTTATTTAGATTTGGCATTTATTGATAAACGATACCGGTGGAGCGATTGTTTCCTGTGTCACTGATTTAGAACGACATCAAAGGGCAGTTAATGTTGTACGCTTCTCGCCTAGTGGTGAAATTTTAGCTTCCGCCGACGATGGTAAATACAAAAGAAGAAATAAAAAAAACTTTCTTTCTCTCATATTCAAAATTTCAACTTTTTCTTTTTAGAATCGATAATTATTTTGTGGAAACAAAAAGAAGAGTCTGAACTGAGTTCATTTCTCGGCGAGGAAAATTCGAATAAAGAACAATGGACATCGTGGAAGGTTTTGAAAGGTCATCTTGAGGATATTTACGATTTATGTTGGTCGCCAGACTCGAGTTCCCTTGTCTCGGGATCAGTCGATAATACCGCAATTTTGTGGGATTTAAACAAAGGACGAAGTAATTGTATATTGTCCGATTATAAGGGTTTTGTTCAAGGAGTCACGTGGGATCCTTGCAATCAATACGTTTGCACTCTGAGTTCCGATAGGTAAATTTTTATTCTTCTTACTGAAATTCAAAATTTATTTCTTTATTTAAGTATTTTTCTACTCGTAAACTTGTTTTGATTTTCAAAACAAATTTAAATTTGATTGCAGACATTGCCGATTAATTGATCTCAACACGAAAAAAACCGTTCAACGAGTGACGAAAGCAAAAATACCGACTCCCAGTGGAAATCCACTTGACGGAAAATGGGTTCGATTATTTTATGACGACACATTTAAATCTTTTTTTCGAAGATTAACGTACACGCCAGATGGTACGCTTATTATTGCTCCTTCGGGAATTATTGAACCACAGGAAACAACTGACAAAACAGCGAATGCGACTATTGTCTTTTCGAGGCATAATTTAAAAGAGTAAATATTTTTTATGCGATATTCCATACAAATTGAAATATTTCGAGAAATTTTGTTTCTAAAATTTTGATTTATTTTTCAGACCCGTTATGATTTTGCCGTCATCGGAAGAGCAGACGATTGCTGTTCGCTGTTGTCCTTTATATTTCCATTTACGTGAAGATGGACCAACGTCAATGATTCCCCTGCCTTACAGAATGATTTTCGCCGTTGCGACTCATCGTTCGGTTGTTATTTACGATACACAACAAACTTCTCCCATTGCCATTGTTTCTAATATTCACTTCACAAGACTGACCGATGTCGCATGGTAAATTATTAAAAATTCTTTTTGCATTATTTTCGATCCTTTTTCATTTCATTTTCATGACATTTTCATTTTCCCCAGGTCATCGGATGGAAAAATTCTAATGGTCTCCTCAACCGACGGCTACTGTTCGATAATTCAATTTCAAGACGACGAATTGGGCAAAATTTACGAGAAGCCAATTGAAAGTGAAAAAATCAAAGACACAAAATTAGACACAACGCCGACAAAGACAAAGAATTCACAACCATTCGTTGATATTGACACAAATGCAATGGACATTGATATTGTTAAAAAATCAGATACGACAAAAAAAGAAAATGACACGAAAAAAATAGACACAGTGAAAAATAACGATATTAAAAAAAATGAAAGTCGAAAGAATATGACGAACGAAGAAAAAAATAAGACCACTGAAATATTTGAAGAAACAGAAGATATACAATTAATCTACGAGGATAATAATACGGAAAACAATGTTAAACCAACTGGTAGACAAACACCGACAAAAGTTGAATTACCACTTGTTAAAACACCGCGTAGAGTGAAATTAATTACAATCTCGAGTCCTAAGAATAAAAAAGAATAAATAAAGAATAAACTCCAGTAAAGATAATAAATTTTTTTTCTCAATTTTTTTTTATGTTTATTTTTTTCCAAAATATATTGAGAAGAAAAAAATCACTATAAAATATGAAATTTATAATTTCTTTTACCTTTTTTTTTAAATCTAGAAAAAAGTAAATTGTAGAAAAATATATTCTTGAAAGAAACAATTTTCTACAAATACTCGCTTATAGTTTTGCGTATAAAATATTACAAGTATCGTAAATATTTAATCAGAAAAGCGTTTTTAATTTCAGTATTTTGTTTATTTTAAACTAAGTTTTTTTTCTAAAAATATAATATTTTATATTGAGAGATTGTACATAGGTCTCACATATTTTTACAATGTAAATATAATTCGAATAAATTTCTTATATTTTAAAGAAATCCTAACTTTTTCTTTTCTCATTTCTTTTTTATTTATTTATTTATTTATTTTCATGATTAATGGGCTCAAGACCCTTTCGTAGAATGTTAAGTTAAGTAACAATAAATTTAATACTAATTAAAACTAAATTTACAAATAGAGAACAGATTTTTGTTATTTTAATTAACACATTTTAAATTAAGCGCCAAATCGTAAACATGTGAATTCGGCTTTAAAAATGCTACGTTCAAAAAAAAGGGACAATAAATTCCCGCCTTTCGAGAGGGAAAGTGAAGCAGGGAAAACGAAAGCGGCCATTTTCCGGTAAAAATTTACACAGCGTGTTAAACAAGATTGTTCTTGCGTCCAACGGTTATTTTGTCAATGTAAGTACACAAACAATTTGTTAATTATCAATTATTTTTGAAAGTATTTTTTGTGAAACGAAATTTATCAATTAAAATCATAATATTCTCAATATCGTAAGATTCCTCAAAATATCTTTATTTTAAGGAATAAAATCAGAACAAAGAATGTCTGCGATAGCATTATTGTTTATTCACTAATAAATGAACTTAATTTTGAATATTTTTATGTAAATTCTATATAAAAGAAAGAGAAACATTTTTTTTGTATTATTGATGCTTATTGAATGTTTCGTTCTTTTAATGCATAATTTTTTCAAATTTTTTTCTATACTTTGAAAAATTTAGGTTATGGAATTGATTGACAATTGATATTTGTGTCTTTATGGTATTTATCACGTTTATTATTATATTTAATAATCAAAAATCAAACCTTAAGTTTCAAATTTACTTTTTAATTTATTTTTTACCAGATTATTTTTGTATTATTGAAATAACGGAATTTTTTCTTATTTTGCTTTATTTGTTGTTGGTAGTTTCCTCGACGTTTTAATCGAAATTTTCTAGATAATTCCCAAGAAGTATTTTTTAAATAAAAATATGGAATAAAAATTATAAATATAAAGAAACTATTTTGAAATCATTTACTTCAAAATTTATTTTCGTATGCAGACAATTCGCTTGTCTTTCTATCGCATTTTTTTAATTGAAAATAAATTATTTACAGACTAATTTGATTTAAATTGAAAATGCCGAAATCTAAGGAATTCGTTGAAAGCGATGATAGTTCAGCGAGTGGAAGTTCCTCTGAGGTGATTATTTATATTATAGTATAAACAATTTATTTTTATTTCTCAAGAAGATACAATAAATTTTTTTTATAAATTTGTAAATTCCAGACTGAAAAAAAGGGAAAGAAGAGACCGAAGAAGGAAGTGAAGCAAAAGGAAACTACTAAAGTGGGATCTTCAAGTAAAAAACCAAAGACAAATGAAGATCAAACGTGGGAATTAGATGAAAAATGTCTAGTCACTGTTAGAGAATTTAAAGGAAAAACTTTAGTTGATATTCGTCATATGTATGAGGATAGAGAATCCGGAGAATTAAAACCAACGAAAAAAGGTATAGGAAGCTTATTTTAAAAAATGAAAGACAAAAACTAAATATTTATTTTTGTTGCAGGCATATCTCTAAACAAAAAATTATGGCAAAAATTGGTCGATATAATTCAAGAAGTCGACGATGTAGTTAAGGAAAAATAAAGATTCTGCTATTGAAGAAGAAAAAATATACTTATCGTTCAATTTAATTGAACCTGTATGTATATATGTATTTAAATAGTAGAATCCAAAGCGAAGTTTTTACGTATTTTTATAAATGTTCAACTCTCGTCGAATTCGTCGATCCTGTAATATTTATATTCATTCCTTCAACAACGTTTTATGTTTAAATATTATGATTATATAATAAAAAATAATATAAACTACTTCCATTGAATTAATAATTAATAATTCTTTTTGTGAAAATAACTTTGTTATTGAAATTTTGAAAATAAAATTCGTTTTTTGTTTCACTATTTTAATGAAATTTATTTAAAAAATATACTTCTGTCGCAAAATAATAGTAAATGATGATGATGATGATGATGAATACAAATAAATAATAATTTGTACGAGCTTAAGTATGATTTACAAACTTTCACTCAACTATTATCTACAATTTTTATAAAAATTATTACTAATCGGCGGGAGATTCTTATTACATTTAAATTATCAGCACTGACAATGAAAAAAAAAATTGGCTTAGAATAATTAAAATTAAACAAAAATCATTAAATTTAATACTGAAAAAAGTCAAATTTCTTTATAAACATAATTGTCGTGTCATTTTTTACCATACATAGAAGCTTAAAAAATTGACAACTTTAACACGCTTAAAATCGCACTTACATGTTTTTTTATATTATGATATCTAAATTTAAATCTAATTACAAAAAGAAAGATTTTTTTTTAAAAAAAAGAATCTTTTTTTAATGTCACATTCGAAAGCACAAGTATAATATTTACAGTTATATAAAACTAAATGTTTCTAAAATACTAAATAATTCTTTTTTTTGGAGAAATCAATATTTTTTGTACATACAAAACAAGTTTTGTGACATTTTTTTAACTCTATTATAATCTATAAATTGAAGTCTTTGTAATAAATGCAACACATTCAATACGTTGCTACTTTTGTCTTCTGTTTTACACTTTTTTTTTCTCTTTTTAACATCCATTATTTTCCATTTCTATTCAAGGAGAAAAATTTACTTTTGTCTTTTTTTGCACTTCCTTTTTTTCCGTCTAATCCAGGGAAAAAATATTCCGAAATATGGGGAAAAAAAACTTTGTTGAATATTAATTTTTATGCCTCTCCGTGAATGTAGGAGAGAAGTTTTTCCACTTCCATGTCTCGAAGTAGTGCTAAATTTTCAGGTGCGCTTACTTTTGCTTTTGTCTGAAAGTAAAAGAAATTATTGTTTTTTAGAAGGTAATTAATTATTTTTGTTTGCTTTAACATTATTTGTATTTTAATAATATTGAAATTCTTCTGAAATTAGTTAAATTTTTTAACATTTAATTATTTAATAACATTTAATTAATTATTAAAAATTTTGGATTTATTGCAGAATTTTAGTTAAAACACTAAAAAATTTAAATTTTTGAGAAGTTACAAATTATTGAAAAAATTCAATTACGCATATGTTCAAAAATTTTTTTTTAAATTCTTGACAAAATTTCAATTATCTTTATAAATAATAAAATTCTTCTTTGAAATTCAATTACTTTTACAAATTTTAATAAAATTTTAATTATTTTCAAAAAATTTTCCTCGATTTAATGATTTTTAATATCAATTTTAATAAAATATTCCAAAATAATTCAATTATTTAATAAAATTCTAGGCAAACATTTAATTATTTTCATAAATAATAAGAATTTCACAGGAATTCAATTATTTATAATTTGTTTTTAAATTTCTTTCTAACAATTCAATTATTTCACAAATTTTTTTATAAATTTCTTCCTAACAATTCAATTATTTGCAATTTTTTTTTTTTAAATTTCTTTCTAACAATTCAATTATTTTTATAAATAACAAAATTCTTTTTATGAATTCAATTATTTTCATAAATAATACAATATTCTACACAGGATTTCAATTATTTTTAATACAATTTTAAACGAATTCCTCGAAAAATTTAATTATTCTTAAAAAATTTATTAAAATTCGTCAAAAGGATTTTATTATTTAAAAATTTTGTTAATGCAATTCTTTATGAAAATTCAATTTTAAGAAAAATTCAATTATTTAATAAATTATTTATTTTTGTGTTTAAATAATTGCATTTTTTTTTTCATGTTTTATAATAATATTTCTTATAAATTGTTGAATTTAAAAAAGGTTTTGAATTCGAATCTTTTGGAGATCTTAATTCCTTCGGACAAAAAATAATGATAAATTATTTATTTAAAAAGGAAATTATTGATGTTTTGGAATAATTTTCCAATTTTCCAATTGTAAATAGATGTAATAGAATATTTTTTGAGTATGTAATTCTTTTTAGAGTGAAGCAGAATATTTTTTAAAGTTCAAGGAAAGTCTAATTTTTTTTTTGTAAATCAGGGAAAAGGAGAATTAAATTTTTGTTGTCAACTTACATGTTCTGGTTCTTCTGCCACTGACATTTTCCTCTTACGTGACTTTCCTTTTGGTTTCTCTGAAATGAAAAAATTAAGAATTGAAACGAATGCTTTAAAATAAAAAAAAAAAAATAGAAAATTTATAATCAAAAAATAAAAATTACCTTTCTCAACTGTTTTTCCAGCGATAATATTATCATTTCTCACTATTTCCTCGTTCTTCGCATTAATATTCTTATTGAAACCCGTCGATTGCACATTTTTTAAAATCGGCGACGATGAAGCCAATGGTTTATCATAATTCTCAATGACATTTGTCAATTTTTTATTATTTTTAGTCGGACTCCTCTTGGCGGCACGTTTTTTCGGTTTTGGCGAAACATTATATATCTCCTCCATTGGCGTGACCGCAAGAATAATTCGACGCGTCTCACCATTATCTAAATCAATTTCCATATCGGTGAAACTGTATTTACGTTTTCTTTTCACTTTAACAGCCGTTGTCTCGTCATAAATAAAATGATATTCCCCATGTCTCACTTCGGTGACATTCAGGAAGCTTTGTTCAACACTGTCGTTTTTATTTTTCGGCACTAATTCCAAACTCTCCAGAACGCAGGGTAAATTTTCCTTTGATTTCTCATCTGCTGTTTGCTCTGAATTTTGATCACTAGTATCAGTTTTATGATTCTCGGAGGTTTGCCGTGATTTCGATCTTGTTCTTCGTTGATCAATTTGTTCATCGTCACTAAATAAATCACGTTTCACTAAGTCGACTTTTGCTTTTAGAGTGAGTTTCTCATCTTCGAGGGCTACTATAATTTCCTTTAGTTTTGTGTCTGAATTCTTTTCCTCGCGCGCTTCTTCTTTTTCAATCAATTGCTTCTTTTCCTTAGTTTCCAGTTTATTCTCCTCTGCTTTCAAAATCCGATCATTCGCGTTCTCTTTCGTTTCCTGTTCCTGCGAACTCTCCGCTTTTTTTGTCCGTTTCGGTGTCTTTCCCTTTTTCGGCGTTTTCCCTTTTTTGGGCGTTCGTCCCTTCTTTGGCGTTTTTGTCTTCTTCGAAATTGGCAAACTCTCCGTTTCTTGTTTCTTTTCGTTGCTTGTAATCATTGGTTTGTTGGTGTTGTCAATGATGGGAATTTCTCGAATCGACGGAATTTCATTCTTTGGATTCTGATTTGATTGATTCGACAATGTTCTCGTTGAATCTCGTTGAATTGGATTTTGAATTGGAATTGCCATCGTTTGGGGATTGGTAATTTTTCTCGATGTAATTTTTCTTGATTGTACGTTTCGTACTCGAGTGGAATTTCTCCGCTTGTCCTGATTGACAGCGGCTCTTGTTCTAGTTCGTGAACTTGCTTCTACGAAACCTTTCTTGAGGCGCTCGCGTTTTGAATCGAGCTGCATTTTTAATTGATCGTAGTCGATTGGCTGTAAAGTTGACGGTAATTTCTTGTCGGCGTTGCTCAATATACTCGCCACTTGTTTTTTATCCGAGGAATAAATCGATGCCACTGCTGTTTTCAGTAGATTTTCCTCCGAGGTGATAATCTCCGAAATTTTGCTCGTTAAATTAGTCGTTATGTCAGTGCCCGCTTTCGAACTACTTGGAGTTTCGGAAATTGTCGCCTCGATGAGTAAATCATTTTTAGCCGGTGTTTCCTGATCGTCATTTTGATCGACGACCGAAAACATTTTCAACGGTGACGCTTCTTTTGCAACTGGTTTTTCGATTTCTATTTTTCTCTCCACTTTCTTTTCAACTAAGGTTTGAATCGAAGTTCGAACAGAAGTTGGAGCTGAAGTTTGAACAAAATCTGGAACCGAAGTTTGAACAGAAGCTGGAACCGAAGTTTGAACAGAAGCTGGAACCGAAGTTTGAACAGAAGCTGGAATCGAAGTTTGAACAGAAGCTGGAATCGAAGTTTGTACCGAAGTTTGAACTAAAGTTTGAACAGAAGTTTGAATCGAACTTTCAATATTCTTAATTTCATCACCGATTTTCGCCAGACTTTCCGAATTTGTTGTCAAAACTTGAACATCGACAACAGCGGTTTTTTCCTCATTCACAATCTCCGGCTCGCAGGTGAGTTGTAACGACGAATCATCACTGGAATCGGAAGCAACTTTCTTGACCGGTGATTGATCTTCACTGCCGGATGAATCCGAACTCTCATTCGAGTTACTTGACGATGAAGAAGAGGACCTGGAGGAATAACTCGACGATGTGTCACTATCGCTGTCCGATTCATTGTCGCTCTCGTTCGAACTCTTGTCCGACTGTTCGTTCACTACATTTTCGCTAATTTCCACCGTTTCAATGACACTCGAGGAAATTACCAATTCCTCCTTCGCCGCCTCCTCACGTCCTAAATTTACCTTGACAACCTGGAATTCCTCGACTTTCGTGATACTTTTATTAGCACTCTTCGTTAATTCGGTCGGAGCGTCACTAGTTTCGGAACTCGGCTGATAATACGGGGAACAGGAGCTAAATTCACCTTTTTTTAACGCGTCCTTCGTGTTATCACCAGCGAGATTAGGCGTTAATTTATTGCCCGGCGTTGGTGCGAAATCGGGTGTTGGAAACAAATCGGGAATTTTACTTGAATCTTCATTGCGCGATACTTTTGTGAATGGCGTTATTGAACTACTGTTTGGACTCAAAAACCTTGGCGTCGGTGGAATATCTTTGGAATTTTCGAATTTTCTCGGTGTCTCGAGTTGCATTATTTTAGCCGAATAATTTGGCGATGTTTTCATGAATTCAACATTTTGTTGTTGTTCGCTTCTTGGAATTGTCACAACTTTGGCGTATTTCTTGACAATATCGCCCGATTTTTTCTCTATTGTTTTCGTTCGACTTGTCGTTGAGGAGAGAGTTTCGATTAATTCGGGAGTGGAGAGAATTTTTGAGTTTGCTTGAATTTCGGATTCGTCTAGTGTAAAGGATAAATCTTTATCGCTTGGGAAGAAAGTTTTTGAATTATCCAAAGATTCGTTCTTTTCCGATGTCTTACTCTTGTCATTCAATGAATCCTTGAGTGAAAGATTTTGATCTTGATTTTCATCTTTTTCCGAAAGATTATGACTCGAAATATTTGCCGAAACTTCACTGGATATATCACCGGAAACGTCCTTATTTTCACTGTGAGAAGAATTTCGTTTTTTTGATTTTTTGGTCGAATTTGTCAATTTTTTCGAGACATGTTTCTTCTTTGCACTGTCGGTCTCCTTTCGAATTTTACTTTTGCGTTTGGAACTTTTGGCGTTACTCTCCTTGACACTTGTTGCGACTGTCGTCTCCGGATTGGCCATTAATCGTAATTCACTGTCCCAGCTCTTTAGGACTTTTGACGATTTTTTCTCAGTCTTTTCGATTGGTGGGAAATTGGAATTTTCGTTAGGCGAAACTTTACCTAAAATCATATCCATTCCGGTGAATTTTTCCCAACCGCCCATTAATTTTGGAGCTGGACTACGCGTGGCTATGGGAATTTTATAGGCACTTTCTTCCTTCGGTGGACTTTTTGTATTATTTTTAGACGATGAAGTGACGAACGGCGGTGATTTGAATAGAGAAGTTCGACAGTGTGATTTTGAACGATTTCTGGCTGAGGAGGGAGAAATTTTACTTGTTGATTTACTGGCTGAATTTGAAGACTTTGGTGGTGTGCCGAAATCCAGGGCTCTTACGTGACTGTGACGTCGACGTGGTGTCGATAAACTGAGACGATGATTTTTCGAACGACTCTTGATAATTGATTTTGGTGTTCGTTTGGTTATTAAATCATTTTTCTTTTCGATTACACTTGACATGGGAACTGGAATTTTTTCGCTTAAATTCACCGTCTCTTGTGGTTCCTTCGTTTCTTCAATATTCTTTATTACTTCAACATTATTCTTCTCATCAACGCGATTCATTTTTAAAAATGGCGACAATCCAGAGAGGGAGAATGTCATCGAAGCGTCGACATTTAAAGTTTCAATTTCGTTGCCACCTAAAAATTCCGCGGCACTAGTTTCATTACCATAAAGTGTAATCTTCTCCAAATTGCAAACGGGTTCAATACTATTTAAATTTGTCTCCTTGGCAGTGACTATTTTCGGAATATCGATTTTCACTACCTCCACATCTGATTTGACATTTTCAGGAACACTTTTCACTGGTTCGAAATCTTCCTCAATTGTATCGATACTTGGAAGTGATTTGGGTACGAATTCTGTTTCAACAATTTTTTCATCACTGATAGTTATTACCGGTAATTGTGTTGGTAATTCGACTGTTGGTACTGAAATCGTCACTGGAGCGATCGCCATTGGAAGTGGATTTTGTTCCTGTATTTTATTCTTCTTTGAAGATTTAGGCAATTTTTTTGGTACATTCACGTGTTTGAAATAAACAGGTTCTTGCTTGACTTGAATAGTTTTTGGAGCAATCTTCAGATACTGGGGATTCATTAGATTTGTATCTGAAAAAAAAGAAAAAGAGAATAAAAATTCGTACTTTTATAGGAAAAATTTAAAGGACAAAATAATGGAGGACAACTCACATGATGGAGGAACTCCCAGAAAACTGCCAGGTTCATCCTTTGAGCAAACAACTAACGTGGGAGTTATCATTGTATCAGAATAAATTTCCGGTTTCGGAGCCGGAACAACTTTCACCGGTTTCTTTTCCTTCCTCTTTGAAAATTTATTCTCCTTGGAGAGAACTTTCATAGAAATGATTTTCGGTTTATTGGAAACGACAGGAACGGGTTCGACAATTTCGATACTTGTGTCAAGATCGACGGGAATATTTTCTTCGGAGTTGATATTTTTATCGTCGGCAACATTGTTCTTCGGCATAAATTCATTGTTCACTTGTTCTGAAGTCGATTTCTCATCTTTTAATTCAGTATTTGCTGAATTTGCATTTATGATACTTTGAATAGCGGCATTATTCTGATCATTGAGATCACTGATATTAATTCCCTCAATGGCTTCTTTAACTTCACTCGAAAATTTAGAACGTTGAATTGAAGAAAAATTGCGTACTTCAATCTGATTCTCTGTGGTTTCGATGATTTTATTTTCATTTCGTTCTGGTATTGTTAATATATCAGTTAGATTGTTTTGATTCGATTCTCTTTGTTGCTCACTGAAAATTCAAATTTATTTTTAAAACATTTATTAAAAAACACACGTGGAATATTTTAATTTACGTACTTTTGGTTGAATTCCGATTTACCCTTGGCTTCAACGTTCGTATTTGAATTTGAGTCGGTAATTTTTAAAACTGAGCCGACAAATTGTCGAAATGATGGAGTAACCATTGTTTCCTCGACAATTGACTTGAAAATTCCGGAATTATTCAAAATGCAGGGATTCACGACGAGGCTTTCGTCTTTGTAGATTGTGTCAATCGGTAGTACACCACTTTTATTAATATTTTCTGCTATTTGTTCCTGAATTTCTTTACAGTGTAATAAACCTTGATTCAGCAACTGAAAAATAAGTTTCAAGTTTAACAAATAAATTAAAAAATGCAATGTCCAATAGAGTGGAAATCAACTTACGCTTAAGTTCTCGAGAGTCTCGTTCTTCATTAAATCCTCATAGTCAAGAATTTCCACCCAAGGCAATGGTTGTGTTCCTGTAGTTTGATAATTTTTAATTAAATCCTGTGTGTCAGTGGACATTGAACATTTTAACGGAGTTGTCGAAAACGGTACACACTTATTTAAATCTCCAGTATTTTTTCCTTCATTTTTGTGTGAGTCCTGCACACTCTCGGCTTGTTCTGTAAAAAGACATATTTTTAAAAACGAAATTTAAATAACACTATTAACTGTTAAGAATTTTTTCCTAACCTGATGTTCCAGGCATACAAAATCTAGAATCGTAGTCATTGAATTCATCGTGAATAATATGAGGTTCCTTAATTATATGTTTAGCAGATGATCCTTCGCCAGGAACCGATTTTGTTGAATCAATATAACCCGGTAGACTTTCAGCAGGTGTTGCTTCAATTTTATCACAATGAACTGCAAAAGAAGAAAAATTCAATGAAAAAGTAAAATAATTTGAAAATATTTAATTTGTGAAATACTGACTGTTATCAGAATGATACTGCTTCTCGGGTGTTTGCTGTAATTTCGCAAAACGCTTACAGCGATCACGATCACTTCCACTCCGCTGTCTTTTTCTAATACTACTGGAAATAATTGGCGATCCTCCTGAATTTGTCGCTGAATTCTGAAAATTAAAATTATCAATTTTCAATTGACAATGATTAATGGTTTTATTTAAATAAAAAATTTCAAGAGAATATTCTTCATACCTGAGATGGTACATTGATATTGACAACAAAACGTTGACTTCGTGAACCATCAATTAAAAATCTGAGTTGTTCAAGAAAATCTCCACAATGCTTCACTTGATCAGAATCAGCAATTTTGCTTAGCCTCTCTTGAACTAGAAAAACATTAATTAAAAATTTTATTTCGAATATTATCAATTGAACACTATTAAGTATAACAAAAATTCTTACTGAAGGAAATTATGGAACAATATTTGTCGAAAACGTCGATTAAAGTCATTTCTCTGACTAGTCTTCGAAATGTTTTCCCACTTGCTTGAACCATTCGACATTCTTGCAAAAGTGGAGACGCTTCCAGGAATATTTTCGCTGCCTCATCACATTTTTGTTCCTCCAAATAACCTAGAAATACAATATAAATAATTTTTCAATTTTCAGTGTCAAAAAGTAGTCACGTTTTATAACCGACAAATCTATTTTTAACACAATTATTTACGTTTATCATTGAAGTCAATAAAAAATTTTAGCATTCTAGAACATAACCTTCGAACATTTGGCATTTAAATTATTTTCACTCAAATTATTCTCATTTTTATAGCCTGCTGATAAAAATGATAAGGAAACAATTCCATCTCATCTTTTCTCTTTTCGTAAAATTGTCAATTTCGAAAATTAAAAATATTTATGTAATTTTTTCATTTTATGCTGTCCTTCAAAGTACCTATAACTTTATTTCCCTGAATACTTTGACATCAAAGAATATTGAAAATTTAGAATACAAAAGAGAATTGTGCAAAAATTATTTAAATTGAAAAACATCGTTTTCTGTTGATATTTTTCATTTTATTTTTATAAAAAGGCTACTTATTAGAGACGCATAAGAATATTATTTTTTAGAATTATTATATACACTTATATTTACCGATGACTAGTCTAGCAATTTCCGATGGCATAAACGTTTCCATTTTCGTCTAGAAACTTGTAAAATCTCACAACAAAACATTAGTTATATATTTTTTAATATAAGAAAAACAATAAAGGTGAAACATTTTATTATACGAGCTTCTTCACAAACACAAATAAACTCAACAAGTGCACACAAACATATACCAATAATCCCAACAACAATACATGGCGGGAAAAATAGTTTCATACAACATCTTTCATTTTACTGGACAAAAAAAAGAAGATAATTATTTTTGAATTTAGGAAAACGATATTTTTCATTTAAGCAATATTGTAAAAATTAATCAATTATTATTGAATGATAATAATTGAGTATTGATTTTTAGTTTGTTAAATTCATAATAAATTTATTTAAAATCTAAAAAAAGGTAATTATGGTAATTATCATCTCTGGGGTATTTACTAAAGGTGCGTACACACTACTAACACGGTCTTGAGAAAATTCAAGTCTGCATTTTGATTGGCTCTATTTCACGCAATTTTTTATTATAGAGCCAATCACAATTAGTGATGTGAATTTTGGCCCGCCCAACGAAATTCAATTTGTAAACAGTGCTACCAACATTAAAACATTTTCTAACTTCCGGATATCGACAGATAGAGCTGTTTTTTAAAATTGACAGTTGTTATTATTTAGTTTAAAAAATTTCATTGTTTATAGTATTTCAGTCCCTTTTTACTTTTTACTTAGGTGTTTCCGTTTAAAAAGTGATTTTTGTAAAATTAATGCTGATAATAACAACATTTAACAGGAATTAAAAGGTATTGTGGATTAAATATGAAATTTTATTTGCATATAGTATAGTGATTACCAGAATAGAACGATTATGATTGTTGGTTAAAAATGATTAAATCTTACATTTTTTTTTAAGCAAATTTATTTTTTATTATAAAAATTGTTTTCTATATACAAAAATGCATAATTTTATGAAACAAAAGGGAACTTTTGTGGAGAAAATGTTTATTTTTAAAGTGAAAATACGTACAATACTTTCTCTACAAATATAATTTTCCCTAATGACAATAATATTTTTATATTACAAATAGCATGTGGAAAAAATTAATCAATAACTAAAATTATTGAAATATTTGTAAAAATGCATTATTTACTATCTTTGCTTACTTCAAAAATGCTAAAAATATTTACAAACTTAGAAGAAACAAAAATTAATTCTACCTTCTTTGACCATACAAGTTTTTTGTTTAACGAAATATATATACATATTATAATTATCACATAACTTATTATGTGAAGCAGTAAAAATATAATTAATATCTATACATTTATATCAGTCTCAATTTTATAACAATTTTATGGCACAACTGCCACAATAAAGTCGAGTATTTTAACTAATATTCAATAAAAAGTACAACAAAAGTATTACGCGTTATTAGTTTGCAAATTAAAATCACAATTTTTTCAAGAATTTTCTTCAAATTCAAAAAATAATGCAGAGTTAATTTTCAACCGATAAATTCATACATTTCAGCTCATTCACATAATTCAGACTCTCTTTAAATCAAACTTAAATTCTATATTTACAATTACCACGTTTTTTTCCAACTGGAGTAAAATTTTTTAAATAAATCAAAAATTCAAAATGCTTTTAAATTTGAAACGAAACTCGAATCTGCTTTCTAAGGCGAAATTTTCGAGGCTACAGAAGACTTTTTACAATATTTATCTAATTAGTCTTAATTCTAAAACAGCCTTATTTTAATTAATCAAAAATAGACTATAAACTCTCAATCCATCATTACGTATAGTTTTGATAAATATTACAAAATACTTTTGAACAGTTTCATGAATTGAAACTTTAAAAAAATAACAATATCACTGTATTGTTTACACTTGGTAAAAACTTTTGCAAATATTGTCTTATTTTTCTTTATGAAATTTAAAAATTTAAAAATTAAAAAATAAAAATGCAAAATTCTGGCAAATTGATGAAAAATTTTGCATTAATCTGTATCGAAATAATAATATTTACATTTTTTGAATTCTTAACTTTCGAAATGCAAAGAGAACTAGCAATGAGTGTTTAATTTATTACACTCTTCGTCACTCATGTCGATGATGACTTTATCATTGGAAAAGATTTTCGCATTATTATTCAATGGCGTTAGACCACTTTCGGAAAATTGTTTCACCTCAATTTTGTTGAAATTCAAAGGAATAATTGTCTTACTGAGATTCTTGTATTTCTTCGGACCATAAACAGCGTCCGATTTATGGGGCAATGCATAGCGGAGTTTATTCCAAAACCAAGGATCACCCCATTGGACGTAGGTGTTCATTGTCAGATAGGATTGCAAATCCGGTTCCAATTTATCGATGGGTCCAATATCGCCGTAGAGTATAACGATAATTCGCGCCCTTCCCTCGTTAAGCGCTTCTTTGTGAGCAGTACGAAATTCCAATTTACCCCACTCACTTGCAATGAAATTTGGCGACACAACGACAATCGTTCTCCTCGAATCCTTGATGGATCTTGCGATTTGATATGGAATCCATTCGCCCGCGAGCCAATCTCGAAAATGAACGCAAAGTTTAAAGGATCTTGGGCCCTTCTCCAATTTCTCCATCAGTTCATTGACGACAAATTCCTCGTCCTTGTGGGAGTAGCTGACGAAAGCGTCGTATGGTTTGTCCTTGTCAAGAACCTCCTCGGTGACGAACCAGAGACAAAGATTATTCGCGTAGAGCCAAATTTTTATCTCCTGCTGATAACGATAGTAAAATGTTGCGATGAGACCGAAAGTCAGTCCCAATACGGCAGTGAATATACTGGCGATGACAATTAATTCGAGATTCGATGGACACAATTCGTCGATTGTCAATCTCGTCAGCATTCTGTTGAAATTCTTGCAAATAACGTGCTCCTCATCTTCGACCGTTGTATTTTTCATGTGAACAAATATCTGCAAACTTCTTGTCTCACAATCACATTGCCATGGATTATTTCCCAGTTTCATCTTCTTCACGGATAATTTCAATTTGTGAATAACATCCGGTGCAATTCTCGTGAGCTGATTATGATCAAGTTCCAATTTCTGTAAATGACAAAAAAAAGAAAACAGATTTAGAAAAAGAAACACTATTATGAAATTTACATCAACAATTTGATAAGGGAAAATATTTTCAGCGTTGCCACAAATATTTAATTTTATTTTTCCCTGACTTTTCCCTGATTTCCAGACAAAATTCTCACTTTTTCCCTGACCCTAAAAAATATTCTGATTCACTCTAAAAATTATTAGAAACTCAAAAAAATGTTCTACTACATTTATTTACAAATTTCATTAATTTCATTAATTATTCAAAAACTTCAATAATTTCTTTTTTAAATAAATATTTAATTATTATTTTTCCGTAGGAATTAAAATTCTTCAGTACATTCAAATTCAAACCTTTTTGAAATTCAACAATTTATTAGAATATTATTAGAAAACATAAAGAAGGCGATCACTCCGTGTCTTCGACTCGGAGTGATCGCCTTCTTTCATGTTTTGTTATAATTTAAATTACCATACAATTTTTCAGAAAAAAATTTTATTATTTACAAAAATCCTAATAAAATCCTTCGCAAGAATTCAATTATTTTTAAAAAGTAGTAAATTTTCTCAAAAAAAATTCAATTATTTGAAAAAATTGTAATAAAATTCATTGCAATAATTAAATTATTTTCATAAATAATAAATCGATTATTCGGTAATTCATTTTTTAAATCAATTTTTATTAGAAAATTCTAGAAGAATTCATTTAAAAAATAAATAATTAAAATAAATAATTTATTGAATAATTGAATGTTTGTTAAAATTGAATTCTCATAAAGAATTTTATCAACAAATTTTTAAATAATTCAATTATTTTGACAAATTTTAATGAAATTTTTTAAGAATAATTACATTTATCGAGGAATTTGATTAAAATATTGTATCAAAAATTAATTAAAATCTTGCGATAAGTTTTATTATTTATGAAAATAATTAAAATTTTTCTAAAATAATTGAATTTCAGTGAAGAATTTTATTATTTATAAAAAAAAGTTGAATCCTTGAAAAGAACTTTGTTAAATTTTTTTTAAATAATTGAATTCATCCGACGAATTTTATAAAAATCTTTTTAAATAATTATATTTTTCGAAAAATTTTATGAAATTTTGTATATATTAAAAAATTGAATTCATGTGAAAATTTTATTATTTATGAAAATAATTGTATTATTTTAAAGAAATTTATTAAAAATTTTATAAATTATTGAATTCCTGTGAAATTTTAACAAGAATTTTATTCAAGTTTTTAAAAATAATTATGAATTTTGAAGAAGAATTTTATTAATTATAACAATAATTGAAAGTTTGACGAGAATTTTTAAAAAAGTTTTTAAAATAATTGAATATTAAAGAATTTTATTATTTATAAAGATAATTGAAATTTTGACAAGAATTTTTTTAAAATTTTTGAACATAATTTTTGAATTTCTGCGAAGAATTTTATTCCTTTTGAAAATAATTTAATTCTTCCAACGAATTTTATTCAAGTTTATAAAAATAATTGAATTTCAGTGAAGAATTTTATTATTTATAAAAATAATTGAATCCTTGAAAAGAACTTTGTTAAATTTTTTTTTAAATAATTGAATTCATCCGACGAATTTTATAAAAATCTTTTTAAATAATTGATATTTTTCGAAGAATTTTATGAAATTTTGTATATTAAATAATTGAATTCATGTGAAAATTTTATTATTTATGAAAATAATTGGTTTATTTCGAAGAAATTAATTAAAAAATCTTGTAAATTATTGAATTCCTGTGAAATTTTGCCAAGAATTGTATTAAAGTTTTTAAAAATAATTGAATTTCGTAGAAGAATTGTATTATTTATAAAGATAATTGAAATTTTGACGAGAATTTAAAAAAAAAAATTTGAACATAATTGAATTTTGTAGAAGAATTTTATTATTTTTAAAGATATAATTGAAATGACCAGAATTTTTTTAAATTTCTGAATATAATTGAATTTTTGCGAAAAATTTTATTACTTTTGATAATAATTGAATTTCTGGAATTATTTGTAACTTTTATCAATCTAGTATTTATGAAAATTGTAAAAAAGATTCATTAAATAATTTATAAGTCATAATTTTATGATAGTTCTTGTAAAATTAAGTTATTTAAAAAGAAATTATTGTTTGAAATAGAAAAAATTCAAGGTTTTGTATTAAAATTCGTGGTTATTTCATAGTTTACGAGGCAAACAAAAAAAAACATCAAAATTCAGAGTTTTTTCATGAATTTTTAAAATTCAATTTTTTCCAGTACTTTTACTAAAACTCCCTGACTTTTCCCTGACCAATTTTACTTTCCCTGATTTTTTCCTGAATTCCCTGACCTGTGCGGCAACCCTGATTTTTCTATAAAAATAATCTACAATTTCTGAATTTTCAAACTTTTCAAAAATATTTAGTGACTCACCTCAAGTGTTGAATGAAGAAGTACATTTCTGGAAATGGTCGAAATTTGATTATGCGACAATGTAAGTCGAGATAAATTATTATAACCATTTTGCTGAAGATTGGGAATAATTTTGATATGATTCCCAGTGAGATCGAGTTCATTGACAAAATTTTCATCTCTTAGCGAGCACAAACTCTCTGGTGCTTGATACAAATTCCTATAGGAGCAGTTGAAAATAAATGTTTTGTCAAACGGTCTTATCCACTTGTCGCAACTGTTAGGACACATTTCAAGATGATTAATTGCCTCCATCGGTGGAATACACTTGTAACTCTTGGAATTCAATTCCGACAATAAAATATCCTCGTACATTTTCGAATTGAAACATTTCATTGGTCCTGTTTTTATAGTCAATGTATCCCTCACATTCATCATTGAACCATCCAAATATCGTAGAAAATCGTATAACGCACAGTCACATTCGATTGGATTATTATTTAAAAATAATACAACTGAACTTCGACGTTCTCCGTTGAATCGCTCTTCAAAATTCTCATTAAATGGATCATTTAAATTAACATTCGTTATCTTGTTGAAAGATAAATCGACAGTGAAATCCTTTTGATTTTTAATATCCAAATCATCCACCTGTAACAATTCGGATAAAAATTTTTAATTTCGTTCTAAAAGTATAATTCTTTTCTTAATAAGATATATACAAATAAATTAATAAATGAGAAAACTTACGGTTAAAGAATTAATATCGTTGTGAGAGAGATTCAAAAAGTTGAAATTATGTCCAGGAAATCTGATCCAATCGTCGCACAACTCTGGTATTTTATTGTAAGATAAATCCAATAATTCTAATTGATTGCATCTGTTAAATACAGATTCACAGCCGTATTTTGTTACTGACACTGTTGTTAAATTATTAAATGCAAAAGAAGTTTTCTTCAAACGATGCAAAGAGTAGAATGCTTGTCTGTCAATGCTACTCAATTTATTCCGTTTCATAAATAATGTTTCTAAATTCACAAGTTTTGAAAATGTAAATCTGTAAAAAGAAAAATTATTTAATTAGAAAATTAGAAAATTAAAATACTTATTCACAAAAATTTTTTTTTAATCTAAATTATTCTGATAATAACTGCAGGCCTAGGATCGATTTTCAGAATTTTTAAATTAAATTATTAAAAAATGAATAATATTTAAATACTTATTATTTTTATTTACTTTTCCACAGGAATGAAAATTATCTAAAGTTCAACTATTTTCCAGAATTTTTAACTCAACTTTTAGATATTATAAAATTTCTTTATTTTTATTATTTGTTGAAATTTGTAAAAGAAAAGTATAGAAAAAGTCGCAGCTCTGAAAAATAATCGAACAAGTATCCGAAAGTCTGTTAGTATTTAAAAATTGATAATTAAGAAATGCAAATTTAATTGTTAGTTATGAATAAAATACGTACTCTGATATTGTGACGATGTTATTGTTGTTGATATTCAAGTTTTTCAAATTGATACAAGAATCAAAAAGCTTGTCATCTAAATTTCCAATTTTATTATCATTGAGTTCGAGGCGTTCCAATTTGTCCAAACCATAAAATATACTGGCAGGCAATGATGAGAACTGATTTTTTTGCATACTGATATTCACTAAATTCCTCGATCCCTCGAAAAGATTTTCTGGAAGACTTTTCAAATTCGACGCATCTAATTTAACATCCATTAAATTCGTCAAGTTGCTCAAAAATCCATTCGGTAAAGTCGAAAGATGTACTTCGTTCTCTAATTTCAGTTTCTTGAGATGCTGACAATTTTTAAACAAATCCGCAGGTAAATTTTTGAACGAATTCCGCGAGAGATTGATCATTTTTAAATTGACATTCTTGTGAAAAATGTCGTCAGGCAACGTTGTCAGTGGATTGGAAAAGAGACTAATTGTCTCCACAGAATCCAGTTCAGCAAAAATATTACCACCCAAATTCGTCAATTCATTTCGCCAAATACTGAGAAATAATAAACTCTTCAAATTACTGAAAGTCCCGTCTTCGAATACTTTAATTTTATTAATTCCCAATTCAATACTCTTGAGATTGGGTGTGAATTGAAAGAAATTTTTTGGAATCGATTTAATTTGATCATTCCTCATAATTAGTGTCGTGATATTTGGTGTGAATTCCAATAGATCTTCATCTAAACTATTGCAACGTGTGTCGGATATTTCCAATGTTTTTATATTCGGCAAATCTTGAAATTGACTCTTGTGCAATGTGACAAAATTCATTCTTTTATAATTGAGAATTTGCAGGGTTTCAAGATTATCCGCGCCCACTAATGAAGCGATATTTTTTATTTTAATGTCTTCAAATTGACAATTATGTAGAGCCAATATCTTGACATTTTTTACAATTGAATTTAAATTGTGATCGAAGTATAATAAATTTTCATTATTCGGACAGAATATCTTGACAATTTGCTGTGAGAAATATTCAATTCTAATGTCAATTTCTTTTCTCGTTGAATTAATGGGACAATCCATGTCATATCTTCCTGACACGGAACGAGAACACTGACAAATACTGTCATAATTTGGTATTTGGCAATTATTACAGTAGATAATTGCTACATTCAAGATGAGAATTAATTCAAAAATCTTCCACAATCGCTGCATTTTTATCGTATTTTCTTGAAAAGCGCAGGACTAGAAACTCATCTGTAACAAAAAGAAAATTGATTGAATTTAGTTTTTCGCCGAATATTAGAAAATTAATAATTAATCTAACAATTTAATTAATTTAATTAATTTAATTTTCACACTACGAAAAAACTGTTTTTTAGTAATAATTTTTTTTGAAATAATTCTTGAACTTTATTTTTAGAAATTTTCAAAATATTATTTTTCATTTTATTTTCCTTCCTTGTTTTTACACAATTATATATAATTTTTTTGAGAAACATTTAAATTTAATATTGTTATTATTGATTTTTAAAAAATGTTGATAATAATTTTTAGAACAATTTAATGAAATTATTTTTGTCGCTATTTAAATTTTCAGAAATTTGCCATTGAAAATGTTGAAAGTAATTGAATTTTTTAAAAAAAATTATAATAAAAAAAATGTTAAGAAGTACTTTTAAAAAAAAATTCGTTATATAATTTTTTGAAGCTAATTTTCATTAATTTTAATTTTAAAATTTTTCATTAAATTTTCTGAAAATTCAATTCTCTTGAAATCTCATTATTTTTAAAATTTGCAATTAAAATTTTGCAAAATTTTTTAATAAATTAGTGAAAAACAATTTATTCTTAAGAATTTTCAAAATATTTTCATCACTTTCATATAATTTCCATTTCTTTACTAATAATATTTTAAAATTACACAATCAATTAATAATTAAAATATTTTACTGATGAAAAAAAAAATATCAAAATTCTCAACGAAATCTATTTAATAAACAATTTTGCAATATAAATTCTACTATGTAATTGCAAAATCGTCTATAATTTCAAAACTTGTCTTGGAAAAATAATCAATGGAACTGTCTGTAATTATTATTATTATTTAAATTGTTCAAGATTTAATTTATAAATTAAATAAATAACATTTCACAAATAAAATTTTTCTGAATTACATCCTGAAAAAATTATTTATTTAATTTTTTGACATTAGTCTTCTGTAAAATTATTATTATTATAAGAAATTATCCTACTTATAAAAGAGTAAAAGAAGAATTAAAAAAATTAATAAAAAAATAAAAAATAGTTTCATCCAATTGAATTCGCATTTAAAATGATAGTAATCATTAATTTCTCCAGAAATAATTACAAATAATTATTCTCCATGTTGTTTCATATTTATAAAGCAATAAAATAACAGAAATGAAAAAAGAATAAATCTTGGAAATGTTTCTATGAATTTCAGAATATTTTCTTTGAAAAAAAATCTTTCAGTAAAGAATAAAAGAATTAATTAATTAAATATGTCACCATTATCTAAATGATTTCTTTTATTTTTCGACATATTCTGTACTTTACTTTTAGGAAAACGGGGAATAAAAAAAAATAATGATAATGTCAAGCACGTAGTAAACATTTTGATTCTTGATATTTAATGATTGATACGTGAAGTCAGGATTTTCCAACCAGGTCAAAGGACAAGAACCCCGCCAATTAGAATGAAACAAATAATAATTGCATAATCATATTTCTAATCGAGAAGTTCAAATCAATAATCTACTCTTTTTCTCTCTAAAAGCTCATAATAGCAAACGTATGGAAAAATAAATAAAAATCAATTTTTTTGATACTTAAAATTTGATTTTGTATTTTACTATATTTTGATTCTGAAACTTTCTAGTTTTTCTTTTCATTTATTCACGAATTCAAGGTGATAAATTATTATTTCTATTTTTTTTTCCTTATAATAATAATAATTATTAAATCTTTGAAAACTCGCAAAACATTTTCTTTTTGTTTCATTATCAGTAACATCCGTTTGATTACGCACGTTAGTTTTGTAAAATTTTTATTTTTTTATTAACAAAACCGGTTTGATCACAATCAAGGATAGAGAGGTAGCGCGTAAAAATAAATTTGAAAAAAAATGTTTAAAACCTTTGTGGAGAAACAAATTTTTTTTTTAAAGTTCGAAAATAATAGACGCAGATACGCAAATTGTGTATTTGAATTATATTAAAAGTTTTTAGTCTGGTTAAAACTCTTCTCTTCGGAATTACAATCACCGATCAATGACGTCATGCTTCTCGGTTTCAAACACAGACACACACACATTGAATATAAACTCACAACTCAATGGCAAAACTTTTTTAAAAAAAGAAGAATAAACCTCAAATACATTCACGCACCAAGTAGAATATACATAATGGGATAAATACCGTATATTTCTATTTTTATCTTGTTTTGAATATTAATTTACCAGAAAGAGGAGGATAAGTGATAAAAATTTGCATCTCTTTTTTTATAATTAATAGTAAATTGAAAATAATTTTAAATACATCAAATTTAATTTAAAATTATTATTCTACAAATTTTTAGATTTCCTCGTGAAAGAAATGAAATTAATTTTCGCAAATAATTTTTTTTTTTGAAAAGAAATAAAGATAGATTTAGTTTCTGCAATTAGAAAATAAAACTGATATTTTGCAAATATAATTAGAAATTTTATAAAATAAATTAGATAGATAATTATAATAAATAAATTCTAATTAAATTTAAAAAAACGAGTTTTCGAATCAATTGATAACAGAAAGGACAAGAACGAAAAATTTGAATAAAATTTGAATAATAATAAGATTGTTAATATGTAAACATACACATATGTATATTGATACTGATAGTCTTATGAAAGAAATATATAAAAATATACTATAGACGGATATGAAAGTGTTGGATTGTATAATAGACAAAAACATTCTCTTTTTACAAAACTTACCGATGAAAAATGTTCGTTTTGGAGTAAATAAATTGGTATCCTTTTGAATGAACGCTTATAGTAAACACATAAAAGGAATATAGTTCACTTTAACTAAAAATCACCATATTGAGATTTTGAATATTAATTTGAGAATTCACTCACTATACGTGATAATTTACGGAGCCGCGTTCATTGAGTTGTTGAGCACAGAGCGGTTTGAATAAGACTGAAGAGAAGAGAGACTGGTGACAGCGTGCGGACTCCGAAAGAGAGGAACATAATTGAGCGCAAATCACAATGAGGTGTATACCAATCACATTGCAGGGACTGAATAAATAGAATCCTTCCTTCCTTCCTTGTGTGCACAACAATGTTTTCCCACTGAGAGACGAAGGTCCTTTCGGGAAAACCCGAAAAACTTTGCTGAAATGGAAAAATTTTATCTGCAAAATTTATCTCTTAATTAGTTAAATTAAATAACATTAAATTAAATAAACTAACTAAAATTAGATTAAATAAATTAAATAACATTAAATTTAATTTAAATTAAATTCTAAAAAAAAGAAAAAGAAATTTAATTCAATTTCAATATTTATTATTAGGCAGACAAAATTATTTACAAAAACAAAATATTTTAAAGCTGGAGCTTTAAAAAATTGAAAGAGATTTTACTAATTTTCTGAATGTCTTGCAAATTTAGAATTAATTTCTTACGATTTTAATACATCGAAAGAAATTCTTCTTAAAATCCAATTACTTTTAAAAATTTTAATTAAAATTATTAGGAAAAATACAATATTTTTAAAGTAGTACTTCAAGAAATTGTTTAAAAGAATTTAATTTTAATTTAATAAAAAAGTTTATTTAATTTCATAAAATTGTTCAAAGGAATTTGATTTTTTATCAATTATTTCAATCATTTTAATAATTACTTTTAAAATTTATAGTTAATAATTATTAAAAAAAACTCCATTAGTTTAAAAAAATTCAATGAAATTTTTCAAAATAATTCAATTATATTTTTTATAAGTAATAAAATTCTTCACATGGTTATTCAATTATTTTTAATATAATAATTTTATATAGAGTCGTTATTTTTAGAAATAATTAAACAAATGATTTTAAATAATAAAATTTAAATAAATTGTAAAATTTTATTGAAAATAATTGGTTTTTCAGTTAGTAATCGATTAAAATTTTTTTACAATCAAATTTTGAAGAGTTTTTAATCGCAAATTTTAAAAACAGTTGAATTTTTTTAAAATTTTAATGAAAAATCTTCCAAAAGAAAATTTAAAAATGAAAATTAACAAATTTAGCTTTAAAAAATTATATTTAAAATTTTTTTTTAAAAAGAATTCTTAAAAAATTTTATAAAATCTAATAGTTTGTTTAAAATTTTTTTTAAATAATTGAAATTCTTAATGGAAATTCAATTAATTTTAGTACAATTTTAATAAAGTTTATCGAAAGAAATAATAATAATTTTAATAATAATAATAATAATAATAATAATAATAATAATAATAATAATAATCCTAACTTTTCATATAATATTCCTTGTTTGAAAAAATAATATCTAAATGAATAAAATTATTCGTTTTTGAAAAATGAAAGACATGAAATTCAGAAAGGGTGAAAATTGAAAATTCCAAGAAGAAAATTTAGAAATTGTGTATAGAAATTCAAGTTTCGTACCTGCTAGGTTTACAACAGGAAGTAGTGTGTAATTTGAAGAGGCAAATAAAGGTGGTGGCAGGTAAATCACACAAGACAATAAATTCTACTTGCAAAGACCATTTGAAAGGTTGGGTATAAAGATATGATGGCAAGAAAATATTATGTACACAGTCAAGAACAAGATCTGTGATGTTAGATACTTTTTTTTCTATTTTAAAAAATTATTGCAAATGCATTTACAAAAATATAAAAATTAATTTCTATTTATTATTCCTCAAAATTCAATTGCAATAATTTAAAGTAATTTTTTCTTGTTTTTTAAAATTAAATAAAGAAGACAAAAGGCAAAATTAATCAGATAATTAAAAAACCTTTTTGTTATTTTTTTATATTTAAAGATAAATAATAAATCTGGATAAATACCAAAAAAATAAATTGAAAGAAAATAAATTAAAACTCTTTAAATTTTAATGGATTTAAATATCTCAGGTGTTTTTCATTGAGAAAAATACACGGAGAGAAATTTGAACCGTAAAAGACAGTGTCTAATTCAGAAGGTTAAAAGAGGGGGAAAGTTCACGGTAAATCTGAGTGATTTCACCGAGTTTTTCCATTCACGAATCGCAAGTGGCAGTGACAGTAACCGTCAGAGAGCGCTACATCTTGTAGAAAATTATGATGAGTTTCCATTCATCGCCTAAGACTCTGATCACACCGTGATTTTACGTTCAACCTTCTCTCCGTGTATGAAATCTTAAAATGGAAGGATTTAATTGGGTTTTAATGGCTCTTTAATTACCATTATTCGAGTCGCCTTATTTATTCATTTTCCAAAAATATTTTCGCCAAGATCTGTTCAAAAATATTTTAAATAATAATAAGGAAAATTTTTCGACCTAGACGGTCCAATTCCCAAATGGGGAATTCCCATGGGTTATTCCTCTAATTGTTCGACTTTCCTTCTGGAACTTTTATCTATAGAATCTTTTCTTTCGTTTATTGCTTTCCCCACAAATAATAATAAACAGAAAATATCATTTTTGTTACTTCCTTTTTTTGGATATTATTATTATTATTATTTTATTTTTTATTTTATTATTTTTAAATATATAATTAGAATATATGAGAAATTTTCTATTTATTAAAAGGAGAAAAATGTTGCTTGAGGATAAAAAAGAATAAATAGAAAATATTAGTTTGTATTACCTTTTAAAGAATATCTTTTTGTTTAATATACTTAAAAATTGTCTGAAGATTTCTTCGATACTCATTTTGTGTCTCAGATTCATCAATCTGTAATAGATAAAAAGGGGATTTAATTTTTTTTTTGAAAAATATTGATTCTCTACAAATTCTAAAGCAAATCTTTTTCTAAGAAATTGTAACTAAAAGTTAAAATTTTACCTTTTTATACCAGACTTGAAAAGAAATTGCATCCATACGTTCGACATGTTTATTCCACAATGCGAGGCACTTTGTCCAAACGATATCGCTATTATAATCGGCAATATTTTTATACAAAGTCACACAACTCTCCTGTAGAAATTTATTTTGCAAACAACTCAAATAGGGTTCGCAGATTTCAAGAATTTCCCACAATTGTCCCTCGTGTAATTGTAAATCTCTCGCTACGTGTCCAAATTGCGAGAGAAGTTCTTTTTGAAGTTTAAAAATTTGGGTAAAATTATACATACTACCCGAATCTTTCTTATAACTTTCCCCCGATGATTTGCTCAAAAATTCCGATAGTGGCGGCAGTAATTTTCTGAAACAGAATATCCGAAATAATATTTTTTTTTCTGTTTTATTTAAGAATAATATTACTTTTTGTGTTTTTTTTTTCATTTTCAAATTCTATAACTCACTTTAATGTTCTTGCGCGAATAAAATCTTTCGAGACATGTGCGAGTGTTATAAAAAGTTGCCAAGCACGATTAATGATAATTGGATTTGAATCGCGGAATCGATCGACTAATGGATGCCACATTACGTGAACAATTGGTAAAAGTTGATTTTCCCAATCGGCTAATAAGAAAAGTCCTTCGTTCAAAGTAATCATGGCTCGAGTTGAAATTGTCAAGTCTTTGCTTGGCAAAAAGTGTAAACAACGCTTCATTACTTCTTCTATCATTTTTACGTATTCTGGTATTTTTTCTTCTTCCCTCTCTAAAGAAAAATATAATTTTTTATTATCGGAAAAAACTTGAATTTTATTAATTTGAAAAAATACCTTCTTCAACGTAATCATATGCCGAACTCTTCATTTCTTCCTCGATTTCCTCTATACTGACCGGTTCCTCAATTTTCTTCTCAATATTCTCAAGATTTGCCAATTCCTTTAATTTTTTGTATTCTACTAATTGATGGATAATTCTTTCCTTGGAATTATATTCCAAATCTTTTTCCTCATTTAATTTCGCTTCGTTCTTCAATGTTAATCTCCTGACACATTTTGTAAAAGTGTAAAATACTCGAAGAAACGAATCAGTATTGTCCTTTTGTATTTTTTCATTCGACTGTCGAAGAACATCGTTGACAATTTCCTTAAGACATGGGAGAAAGTCCATTGTACTGAATTCCATCACCACTCCAAGAACATCGAGAACTCCGGGATTTCTTTTCACTTGTCGCAATTTTAACGTAACATGATAAGAAATATAATCAACATTTTTTTGCAAAAGTTCCCCAGTTGTATTGTATTGTGATTTTGTTATTTTCTCCAATGCCTCGAGTCCCACTGTTCGTAGCAAACTGTGTCCACTGCCTGAAATTTATTTATTTATATTAAAATATTCAATTACATTTTTCTATTTTTTTGTAAATGGGATTTTTTCAAATTATACTTTACTGTAAAAAATAAATATTGAAAAAAGTACCTGTTCGTTCTAAGACGATATAAAGAGTTTTGAGCAGAAACTGATCGTAATCTTTCTTTAAAATTTCTGCTATATTTCCCAAACCTTCAACTAAAAGACAACATTGTATGAGATTACTCTGCACCTCTCGTAAATTAACGTCTTCCGAGACTTCTAATGGCAAGTACCAAAAGTCTGGCGCTATGTACTGATCAATTGTTTGCCTGTAAAGTAACAATTTTTCCGAATTTGGATCTGGAACTGAAAAACTTTGATTTAACAGTGTCATTTTAGTGCAAAAAAGTTTACAAAAAAAAAGAAATAGTAAAAATTATAAGTCAAGTTTTGAAAAAATAGAGAAATATTTAAATGAAAAAGACAAAATTAAAGAAATTAAAAGTTTGAAAGAATTTAATAAATATGAATTAAATATTAATAACTAGCAAAAAATTTGCGCTGAACGTGATATTCAATTTATTATTATAATATAAATTCAATTATTTTCATAAATAATAACATTATTCGTAAGAATTCAATTAATTTCTGAAATTTTAATAAATCTTTCGAAACAATTCAATTTCTTTTAATTTTTAATAAAATTTTTCAAAAGAATTCAGTTATTTTTTAAAATTTTAATAAATCCTTAGAAACAATTCGATTTCTTTTAATTTTTAATAAAATTTTCGAAAGAATTCAATTATTTTGTAATTTTTTTATAAATCCTTCGAAAAAATTCAATTTCTTTTAATTTTTAATAAAATTTTTTGATATAATTCAATTATTTTCTAGAATTTTAATAAATCTTTCAAAACAGTTTAATTTCTTTTAATTTAAAAAAAAAATTTTCGAATGAATTATTTCATTATAAATAATAAAACTCTACTCAGGAATTCAATTATTTTTAATACAATTTTAACGAAATTATTTCAAAAAATCCAATATTTAATTATAATTATTAACAGACACGATTAAATTTAAAAAGTTTAAAAAAATTCTTTAATTCAAAAAATGTTCAATTAAAATTATTAAAAAAAACTACATTATTTTAAAAAAAAAACTTAAGGAAATTGTTCATAAAATTCAATTACTTTCAAAATTTTCAGTTAAAATTATTAAAGAAACTCGAATATTTTTAAAAAATTCAAAGAAATACTTCAAAAGAATTTAATACCTTGGACTATCCAATTAAGTAACACTGTTAATTCTTTTCTATATTGTGGAATATCAAACATCAATTTTAAAAATGTATCGATTAAAATTTCAAAATCGCCAAGTTCACCCAGTAGTTGACAAATAATCATGAGTTTCTTTTCCGCAGAAGAGCTATTGATGAATTTAAACTGCCTCCAAGACGAGTGACAGTTTGTGTAGTGAATATTGTCAACATCTAAATAAACGAAATTATAACATCAAGAATTTATAAATTCTAATAAAATAAATAATTAATAGAAATACTACAAAAATATTCCCGAAAGTATTTTATAAATGTAAAAAAAAAAATTAATAATAAAAAATACCACCAAGAGGTATTTTATCATTCATTATTTTAATTTTTCAAAATTTTTTCCTTACGTTTCGATGAGAAATCTTCTAAAACAGAAATTCCATTACAATCGAGCTCGGCGACGTAAACCAGGGCGAGAATCATTCTTTGCAAATGAACCGAAGACAACATAACTTGAGGCAATCTTTGCTTGCCCAGTAATCGTAAATATGCTGTTAATTGATTTAAATACGAGAGCTGCATCGAGTCATCTGAAAAATTTAGAGAAAAATGTTAAATTTCACTCTCCGAAAGAATGTAAAGTGTACTTTATTTTTTTTTTTTATGAAAATAATCACTAACCAGCTGTTCTCATAATTCTGGGAAGTGTTGTGAGCAATTTGTAAAAATTATCCTCAAACAATTCAACTAGAGATTTCATTCCCTTTTCTTCGTAACATTTAGCACTTATTGAATTTAATCCAAATTTCGCTGTATTCACAACCTCTTCAGATTCATCCTCGGACAAAGTAATCAGAATTTCTATCAATTTCGAAAACGATGGTTTCATATTTCTGCAATGATCAAAATATAATAGTAAACGTAAAAAGTAAGAAAAAGAGAAACAATTTAACACGCATTTAAAAATAAAAAGACAGAAATAATAATAATAAAATAAATAAAAAATAAAAAGAATAGAAAAAAGAAAATAAAGAAAGAAAGAATAAGGAAAGATAAGAAAATACGGAAAATTACTAAAATGGAAAAATGACAATTATGTATCACCTTGGACATTTCGTGAGTAATAAATTAATTCCCACGGCCAATTCCCTTCGTACTTTGAAATGAGAATGCGAAGCTAGAGTGTTCAATTCGTTCATGAGAATATTCAGCTTATTACTTGCGAATTGAAACCACTCTGGAGTTCTCTTAGCAGATTCTATGTAAGTTTTCACATCCTCAGACTTTTGGAATTTCAAAGTTTTCTGAAATTGCTTTGTGGAAATTTCACTCTTTTTACAAATTGAATCCAAAAGTGGTTCACTTTCAAGTTCTACGGAATCCTCCATAACTAGTGCAATAATTCGACTCCAAGATCTAATTGCAATCTGCAACAAAAAATAAAAGGAAATTAAAATTCTACTCCATCTGCAATAAGAGGAAATTAAAATTAACAAATAAATTAAATTTAAATTTGTGATTGATTAGCAAAATTAGGTCTATAAAGAGAGTAAGACGTACAATTGTAAGTTTATGTCCTTGAATATCACTTCCAGTGGCTACTTCTAATAATCCACTGGAAACGCCGGGCAATATGACCATTACAGAATCTGCCACTTGAGATCGAAAAACAATATCTTTATTATCTGCTGCGTCGTGCACTTGCAACAGGACCATTACAGTCTCAATTGCTGCAATTCTGAAAAAATCAAATCATAATAAATAGTTTACACTAATGAGAAATAATTAATTTAATACGAATTTCTTTTGTTTCTTAGAGATTATTTAAATTATCAAAATTATATGAGACTATTGTCCTCAAGAAGTATTTTAAAAACTTGAATAGAAAATTTTACCTGAGAGTTCTCGATTTTTCCGTTCGTGCAATTAAAATGCATAAAAATACTCCATTACTTAATTTTGGTACATTTTTCGGTGTATAAAGTAATTCCAAAACGTCGGTTGTACATCGCTCTATTAAACACTTTATACACAAAATTGCACTTTCCTTCAACTCTTCATGGAAGGGAATTACTGAAAAAAAAGAGAATTTAATATTCTTTAGATTTAAAAAATTGGTAATTATTTGATAGTAAAAGTTATTAATTTTCTAATTTACAAATCGATAAATTTCAATTTTGTTTTAATTATTTATTAAAATTAATAAATAACTTACGCATTTCAGCCTTTGAGGGTGTAAAAATTTCACTAATAACACAAACAAAATAATGATTTAAAACATTTATCTTCGTGATTCTTGTTTTTGAAATTACTATTCTCATTGTATTCAGTAATTGTTGTTTTACATCTTTACTGTAAAATAAGACAAATTATTGTTAGAATGTATTTAAAAAAAACAACTGAAAAAGGAAAGAAAAAAAAATATGAATGAATATATACCTCATATCCTTATTAAATAAGTGCATTGTTACAGGAATCATAACGTATTCCATTAAATTTTCTAATATTGTATTTGAACATTTTTCCGCAACTTTTGCAACTTGAATTGCATTTTCAATATTTGGATGATTTAACAGTCTATCACATAATGGTTTTATTAAATTAAAAGCCTCGTCCATTGTTGTAATCTCCATTTTTTTCTTGTTATTTTCTATACTGTTTTATAATTTTAAATAAATAAATAAACACAATAAAAACATTTTTTTTAAAATTTGCCTGATGCAATATTAAAATATTATTTTTTGCTATATATTAAGAATTTGAGGTTAGGAGATATGGTTTTTAATTTGATTTCTTCGACCAATCATAATTCTCAATTTATTAACCGTCCAATAGAATTTTAGCTTCAAGAGAATAATAGCAGACGAATAAAAACATGGCGGAAGAACGTGTTTTGTGTTTATCAAAGCGATTTTCTGATTATTCACCTTAAAGATTACTAATCTGATAATTATTAATGATTTTATTTATCAGTAAAATTGTGCAATTATTCTTTCTGCAAACAAACAAAATTAATTTCCGAAACATTTCTTTAAACTTCTAATACAAAACTGTTGAATATTGAGAATTAATATTTTGTGGTTTTTGTGGTTCTGGAGGGAAAACGATATAATACGGGACGACACGGGTTTCTTGGAATTTATACCGGCATTTGTTTTATGTTTGCCATTGTTATAGCTGACGATTCTCTTTTGTTATGACCGGAAAGTTTGCTTGGTCCCTTTAGAAAATAAGAACGTCCCAAGGAAAGTAACATGAAGTACATAATGCAATTCTCTATTTGTATTTTGGTAATTTCATTATTAACATCAGTTCAATCAGTTACAAGTAAGAAAGATGAGGTAAATATTGATTTTTTTTAAATATTAGTCACTGCGTGTGAAATGTGAATAAAAATTACTTTTTTTATAGAATGTTCTGCTATTTTTTTCTCTCTCTTGATAAGAATTTTTTTGATTAGAAATATTTTTCTTTTTTAAACATTTTTAAACAATCGCCTATTTTGCGACATTTTATGTTATATTATTATTATTTTTCAAGGTTATTTTTGTTATATAGATATTAACAGACTTTGAACACTAATTTACATATTATGATAGTTTATTTTTATTCATTAATTATTAATTACTGAATGTTTTAAGTTTGTGTAATTATATTTATTAGTCTTTAATATTTATATACAATGTATTTATTTTTGTTACTGTTTGCAGAAAATTGGGACGAAAAATTACTGCGTGATAAGCGCGAATGAGAAACAAATGAACAAATTTGATTTTAGTACTACTACAAGAGAAAATGATTATAAAATTACAACAAACGATGAAGTAATTAACTTACAATTATGCAAACCATTGAATAGGGAATGTAATGGTAAAGGAAATTATAGTATTTGTTTAAGAAAATCCGGAAAAGAAATTGTTCTAGGTAATTAAATGATAAAAATTTTCCAGTTTAAATTGTTCAAAATTTCGAATTTAATAATTTTCATTTCTTATCTTTCTATAGGAAAATATCCGCCAAAATTGGAAATTGAATCGCAGAAAATATTGTTTCGATTTACTGGTGAAAAATGCAATCAATCTGCAAATTACATGACATCAGTTAGGATGCTCTGTGATTATAAAGCGACAGACGAAAATTCTAATTCTATCACTTCATACGTAAGAATATTACAATTTAAATTTTATTTTCGGAACATTCGTAAAAAAAAAACTTTGCAAAGAATAAATTTTATGTATTTAAAAAAATTTACTCTGAAATCTGATGTATATTTGATGAAAAAACTGCTTTTTCGAAAGAAGAAAACTTTTTCTTTCTTCTGCGTAAAAATTATTACAATTCATTCATTTATTGCAGAAAAAAAATCAATGTGAAATTGATATTCATTGGAAGACGAGTTTGGCTTGTGGAAGGCAATTAAATATAAACTGCTCAGTAAGAGATCCCAAAGATAACTTTAAATTCGATCTCTCAGAATTAACAAAATTTTCTGATAATTATGAAGTTCAAGTAGAAAATTCTTCAAAGATTCTTTTAAATGTGTGTCATTCTTTAATTTTCGGATATGGTTCTACATGTTCATTTCAATCAGGATCTTGCCTTTTAAATTCAACTGTACTAAATGTCAAGTAAGTGGAGAATTTTCAAACTATTTAAAAAATTAATGAAAAATTAACCTTTTTTTTCTTAACGTAAATTCCAAAATCAAGTAAAAATCTAAATAATAAAATATCCTATTCGTTAAATTTCCATTGTTTTTTTCGAAAATATTTTTGCAAATAAAATAAAATTACAATAAAAAAATTATTAAATTGAAAAGAATTTTTTTTTATAAGTTTATTGTTAATAATTATAATATTTCAGTGATGAAAACTTAGGAGAAGTGAACAAACCTCTTTTTATATCAGAAAAAGGACACTTACAACTTGTGTATGACGAAGGCGGCATGTGTATGACGGGGAAATCCCACAGCAAAACTACAATAACTTTTATTTGTAATAGAAATCCTGAGGTAAAATATTCATTTTTTTATCAAAAGCGAAAGAAAATAAATTTTCACTCGCTTTTTTAGAAAAATTTCTTAAATAACATATTGTAAAATTAATTTAAGAATTCACAACCCAAACATGTAAATACTACTGAATGTAATTACAATATTGAATGGCAAACACCACTTGCCTGTAAAAATTTCCCGCCAGAACATAAAGTGGTCCCGAGAACGCAAGAATTAAGTGAAAAAAAACCTGAAATCATGGCAGTAAAGAAAATAGAATCACCAATAAAACTCCAAGGAAATAATCAGGTTTTTTTTATCAAATTTTATTATTTACAAATGTTTATTTAAATTATTAAAATTTTAATTAAAATAACATTTTTTTGAATTGTAGATCAACTGCAGTGTGACGACAAAAAAGGGCAAAATTGATTTAAGTCCTTTAATTCTCACAAAAAGAAATTATATTGTCAAAAGTAATGATTCGGAATTTCATATAAATGTCTGTAGTCCTCTCAGTTCGCCAGATTCTTTTAAATCTTGTCAAGGAAAAGCCGTTTGCAAAATTGAACGCGACAAATCTGGAAAAATTCTCCATGAAACTGTAAGTTTACGTAAAATATTTTCATTTTCAAAATTTATCTATTTATTTATCTTCTCTTGTGTATATATATAAAATGTTTTCTATTTTCAAACAGAGTTTAGGTAATTCAGGAGAAAATCCCATTGATTTGAAAAACGATAAAGTTATTTTGCATTATAAATCTGGTGCCGTTTGTCCGGAAAATAACAAAAATACTATTTCAACAAATATAAGCTTTGAATGCGACTATTATGCAAGAAAGGTGAATTTTGTTTTTAAATATCTGACAAAATAAGTTTTTTGCAAAAAAATAAATTTTTTTTTAAATTTAAACATAAGAAATAATAAATACCTACCAGAAGAATTTGAATAATTCGGACGTTTTAAAACTTGTTTTTTTCTGAATTATTTCAGAGTTCTCCACAATATGATAAATATACGGATTGTACGTATTTGTTCAAATGGTCTACAATTCAAGTTTGTGAAACAGTTGTTGGCAATTTCTATAATAATTGTACGATTAGTAATCCTCTTTCGCGAACAATTGATCTTTCTGTACTAAAGGATCAAACATTCTATGTAAGTTGAATTTTTATTTACATTCAAGTTCAATTATATTTAGATTCAAGTCTAGTTCTTATTTTCATTCAAGTTTGATTTCATTTACATTCACTTTATTTTCATTTTCTTCAGATTAGTAAAGCTAATAAAAACTACACAATTAGCATTTGTGGTGAAAAAAATTTGTGCGATGGTTCAACAATATGTGAAGGAAACAACGGTTTGGGAAAAGCAATTAATGTTATTTACGAGTATCCGAAAGATTCGGTCAAACTTGAATTTACCAAAGGAACAAAGTGTGAAAATGGTAATTTTATTTTTTTTTTTAATTAAATATTCATAAATTTTTCCTCTTTTTTTAAAATACAATTCAATATTTTTTTTTCATTTAAAAAAAAGTAGATTTTTTATTAAATGGACTAATTTTCAGGAACCTTCGCATCTGATATTACATTTATTTGTAATTCATCGAGTGTCAATATTGAATCACCAGTATTAGTGAGTATTTCAAAAATAGAATTCCATTTTCCATTATCTACTGTATAATTTCTTTTAAAATAACCAAAAATTTATTTTAAAAGTAATAATTTACCGCTTTTCGTATTTTCTTTATTTATTATTTATATTTTAATTTTTAATTTTGACTATAGATAAGATTAGTTAGTTTTAAGATTTCGAAAATATCGTCAAGTAATTGTAAAAAGTACTTAAAATTAAAAAATTATTATTAACTTTCTAAAAAACATTTTCCTTACATAGAAATCATCAGAACCCTGTCATTTGGAATTTGAGTGGCAAACACGTTTGGTGTGTACATCGGAAGCGGACAATACAACTACACCAAAAAAACCAGTCCCTCCCAGTGATACCAAAGATGGGGATAAAAAAGCAGAAATTGCATCAAGTAATGGTAAATAATACTCTTTTTTTATTTCAACATCAATTTGTTAATATAGTTTTTCATAAAAAAAAAATCATTTTAAAAAAGGTTTAAAATTATTACAGTAAATTTGACAAAAATTGAGAATTGAAATTAATTAAAAAAAACGTTTAATTTAAATCAGGATTTAAATAGAAATAAAATGCTTTATTGATTGCATTTTTTTCAGGGATATTTCTAGTATCTTTAATTACTGGAGTAGCGATAATTGTTGCGATTGTGATATATCTGCGAGATCCAACAAGACGTGCTCGATGTTCTCGCATTGTTTCAAGTCCGTGCTCATCTTCGAGCAATGATCGAGTAAAATATTGTAGGGTACGTGAAAAATGTTTTTAATTACTTCGTATCGACTTGAGTCTTCTTTAAATAGAAAGAAGACGAGTGAGAGTGAGAGTGAACGAGAGAAAATGACTTAAAAAGTATTCCATTTGCTTCTCATCGTCACAAAAAAAAAATGAGGCTTTGCTTGTACTATACACAGTATTTTCTAGATTTAAGAAAAAAAATTTATTATTATAATATTCAAAGAATATTTTATAATTACGAGCTTTAAAGAATATTTTATAATTACGAGATTCAAAGAATATTTCATAATTATGAGATTTAAAGAATATTTTATAATTACGAGATTTAAAAAATATTTTATAATCCCGATGTTTGAAAAATATTGCAAAATTACGATATATTTAAAGAATTTTATATCGAAGAATATTTTTTAAGAAGAGAGCTCAAATGAAAAATTATAAATAATCGACTTCGTATTTTGTAGAATTATTCGTTTTTGTGTTAAAAAGAAAAGCAACGAATATCTGCATGAAAACTCCAAATTTTTTTAACTGTAAAAAAACTGCTGTCAATTATATTCTCAAGAATTTGAGAATTCGAGTGATAAAGAAAAGAAAGTGAATTATCAATAAAAAAAAAAATAATATTGATAACTATCAATCGAAAATAGTAGTTTTCTTACAGTGCATGCTTTCGGTGGTAGAAAATGTAAATTGTGATTATTTTCCATGCACTTGAAATTGTTTAAATTCACTGTATTTTTCTTGATCCTGATTTTATTTTATGATTTTCGTTATTGCACTGTTTGAATGAGAGATTTTATTTTTTCCTGTTTTAGAAATCGAAAAATTTAGTTTTGTTTTATTTTCTTACGTTAAAATTCGACATTTGTATTGTTTTTGTAAAATTTCTGTTGCATTTCTATACATTTGTATTATTTTTAAAACTTATGTAAAAGTATTTACATAATTTTTGAAAACATTATTTTTACGCTGCTTTTCTATATTTATAAGACAATTGTAATGACAATTATTAATTATTAAAACAATAATTAATAATATATATGTTAATGTTAAGATTTTATGTTTGGTCGATTTTCAAAAATAAAAGAAATATCGACCAAATTATAAAATATTGATATATTGATATTTTATTATTATATTAAATTTATTAATATTATAAAATATTATTTAAGATGAAAGATCTTTAAAGAGAATATGAAAACTGACTAAATTTAAAGTGTTCAAAATTTAAATTTCAAATTTTATTTGACAATAATACTTTTGTCAGCATGTTGATTATTTAGTAGTTTAGTACATTAGTTTCACTATTTTCTTTCGTCTCAAAAAGAAACGAGAGAAAAATATGTTTCAGTTTCTTTAGTTATGTTAAATATTTGAATGCTTTGTTATTTCAAAATTTGTTTGCAACGTGTAATTTGAATTTTTCTCGCACTGTTTATTTTAAAATTTCGTTAAAAAAAGTTCGACCAAATTTTTTTAGATAATTATTTTATAATAATATTTTTTTTTCGTAATTAAAAAATTGTGTCAAATTAATAAATGTAATGCACAGTTTATTCGTTTTTTATTTTTCACCAAAATTCTTGTGTTTTCATCTCGATATATAATTTTTTTTTTTATTTTAATTATTTATCAACATTATTATTGACAATTGCAGATTAATACAACTGAAGAAGCACGCTTATTGTTAGACAATTGTGAACCAACAACTGTCTGTCAATCAGACAGTGATGACGATTTGTTAGGCGCATAAATACATTCAATAGAGTTATTCTAATCGAAAACAAATTTTTCTCACACGTGAGTATTTGTTATTTATTTATTTCATTTTATCCCGATTTTACAGTTAATTATTTTTAGAATTTATTTTTAGAATTATAATGAAATAAATAAATAATAGAAATTATTTAATTCTAATAATATAGAAATCTTATTGCTTTTTAGATAAACCATCGTTCTTACCTCACAAATTCAGATCAATGGTTTTTGCTCTGACTGACTTATAATTTATGCTGATGTGATCGATTTAACTATTTTTATTTATAATATAAACTGTAAATATTTCTATAATATATTAATGTGTATAGGATATATGATGAAATATATATTTAAAAAATAAAATTATTCAATCTCTCTCCTATTACTTTCACATTTTACAAATAATTCAATACTTTTTTTTTGTTATTTATTATTGTTTTTCGTTTTAGAAAAAAACATATTTAAAATTAGCGGGTGGAATTTCAACCAATGAAGAATGCACTAGACGAACTTCCTGTAAATGTTGCCAACCTTGCCAAAATAAACAAAAGAAATCACATGTCTTAAGGTGAGTTCATAAGGTTCGAATTTCAAAAAATATGAAAAATATTTATCGAATGTTGACGTTTTCAGGTTATGTTCATGTGTCAAAACGTCAAAAGGGTCAAAAGTTTCAGAACCAGAAGGAGATTTATAAGGATTAAAAGAATTTTGTTAAATTAATTACAAAATTAGTGTCGTACGTGACACAGAAATTTATAAATATGTTTCAGTGGTTACATGGAAATTTATCAACTCTTTTAGATTTTCCAGTGCCAGACGATTTAACAGAGTAAATTAAAATTTCTGTTAAATAATTTCTCTCTTAATTTTGAATTTGTATTTGCATTTTCTTATTATTAAATAATAAAATTATTAAACTAAGTTAATCATTTAAGTGCACTAAGAATAATTATTTAATATTGTTCAGAGTGAAATTCTAGAAACTGATATTAAAAATATATTTTTAATTTTAAATATTTCAGGAAATTTGCATAAAATTCTAATTTATGTTTATATATTTTCAGATACATTCTTTCCATTGAAAATGAAAGAGATTTGGACGAATATTTACGAACTCTGTTGGATTACGATAATCCGAAACACAAGCAATTTATTTCCGACTTAAAAAAACGAAAAGGTTTTTCTATTCTTAATAATTTGATGTATATTTTAAACATTTTAATTTTGTTTCAAAATTAATAATTTTTATTTTCATATTTTAGCTTCGAAGGAATTGGTTGGATACAAAAAGTCAAATTCAAATGAAGAAGCAATATCGAAGTCGGTCGAGAAGAAAAAGGGAAAAATTAAATTACGAGATTCTTCGATGGTTTGATAAATTAATTTTGCACCTAATTTTTCTCTTTTACTTCACGAAAATATGTAATACATAAATAGATTTTCTTAATTACAGGATGTCGTGAAACCGGAAAAAGTGGAAAAGAAAAAGACCAAGTTCGTGAATCTTTATGCAGAAGATGGTCGTGATAGATCTATTTTACTTAAAGGTAAATAGGAAATTAATTATTTTTATAAATTAATTTTTATAATTTCTTGTATTTTCGATTGTTCAAAATTTGTATTTATTTGATGAATTTTTATGTTTATCAGGACGTTATAAATGTGATTGTGAAGCGAAGCAACATTCACTTATAAATAATTGTCTCAATTGTGGAAGAATAGTTTGCAATCAAGAAGGTGCAGGTCCCTGCTTTTTTTGCGGTGAATTAGTCTGTTCGCCTGAACAGCAACAAATTCTTGCCGGAAATTCAAGGCAGGCTGACACATTGTACAATCAATTAATGGATAAAAAACCAAAGGGTTACGAAGAATCCGTTAAGCAAAGAAATAGACTTCTTGAATACGATCGAAACAGGTGAATTATATTTTTTCTAATTTCTTCTCCACTTTTTGTCTATAATTTAACTAAAAAATTATTAATACCTATCATTTAATTATCTAAGTCTATAATTTACTTATAAATTAATTATCTAGAATTTAATTGTAAATTAATGATAAATAATTTAATTTAATTGTCAGTTCACAGAGAACGAAAGTGATAGACGATGAAAATGATTATTATCAATCGAACAGCGTTTGGCTGTCGAAAGCCGAGAAGGAACGATTGAAAAAGCGCGAGGATGAAATTCAAGCTCAAAAACATAAATCTCGACTGGATCGAAAAGTGACTTTGGATTTTGCAGGCAGGGAAATTATTGACGCTGACAATGTTATTGATGAGGCGGAAATAAATGATTTTCTTGAAAGTAGTAATGAATTTCCAATTTGCAACACACACCGAACAATGGAATTTCAACGACCAACTGTGAGTGTAAAGAAAAGAATTTAATTTTTGGTAACAAAAATTATTTTTAAAACAATATTAAATTCCGTTTTTTGTTATTTTAATTTTATAAAAATAACAATTATTTTGTCGCAGTATGTGGAGTTAAATTTATGGCCTTCGGATGGAAAGAAAATAATAATACAAAACAGCAAAACAAGAATACAAGATAAAGAATATTTAGAAATGTCAGACGAAGGATACTGTTTAAGTATGCATCAACCCTACGCTTCTCTTTTAGTTGCAGGAATAAAAATGTAAGTAATCATAATATTAAATTAACTGATTTTAAATTTAATGTTAAAAAAATAATCTCCTTATAGTCATGAAGGCCGAACTTGGTATTCGTCGCATCGGGGAAGATTGTGGATTGCCGCAGCTTCTAAAGTTCCCAGTGTAGAGGAAATTTCGTCTTTAGAGCAACAATACAAAATTTTAAAAAATGGTAAGTTGCATTTTTTCTTTTTATAGTTCATAATTATACTAAAAATGTCGAAATTCTTTTTATCACAGAAAATATCTCGTTTCCGGAGAGTTATCCCACTGGTTGTTTATTGGGTTGTGTTACTGTGAAGGATGTATTATCGCAAGAAGAATATCGAACAATTTATCCCGAAGGCGAGAGCGATTGTCCATACGTTTTTATTTGCGAAGACTTTCATCAGCTGCCAATCAAATTTCCAATGCAGGGAAAACATAAAATTTGTAAGTTCCGAAATTAGAATTTATATACATACAATTTTTTTTTTAATTCCATAATGAAAAATTATCCAGAAAAAATTATTTTATTTTACTTGAAAAATTCATTTTTTATTTTTTTACCCCGAAATAATTTAATAAATTAATTAATCTTCTATTTTTTGCAGACAAACTGGACTCGAAAATACATCGAGCAGCCATGAAATTACTGGAAAGAGTTATGAAAATGAGAGCAAATGTTGAAGAATAATTCTGTAAATTTTAACAAATACGGAAATATTATTAAAAATAGTATTTCAGTTATTAAATAAAATATTTCTATACATGGAATTTTTTACGTCTATGTATTTTAAATTTATTTTTAGTTTTAAAATTAACAAATTCAAATTCATATTGAATTTTGACTTTCTGGAAAAGAGAAAGGTATACTTTTTTTTTGGTATTTATAAAGAAAGAAAACTTTGTGTGGAAGATCAGTTAAATTATTAACATTGAAATCAAACTGTGTACACAGTATTAAAAAAATAATGACATTAAAAAAAAAAAAGAAAACTATCGACCTTTGGTCTTTTTTCCATAAAATGCAATCAATCAACAATAAAAACTCTCACTCAATATTCTCTCTCTCCATATTTTTTTTTCTAAATTGCAAACATTCATCGACATCATCTTATCTATCTAATATTAATATTTAGTAATATCAAGTGTGTATTGCTCAAAAATAAGAATTCTTCTCATTTAAACAAATTAAATAATTAAACAAATAACCAAGTTAAAAAGCGGATAAATATTTTTCATTAATCACTCAATTTTCTTTCGTATATCAACAGTATAAAGAGTTAAAAATCTCATACATTCTTTAAAATTCTTTTCAATATATTTTTTTAGTGCCAAGAAAACTATTGTCTTTTAACAAATTTGTAAAACTCTGAATTTTTTTTTTCTGCTTTTTTTTGAAAGTTTGATTTTTTTTTCAAACTGGAAACTGGTTAATATTTCAGTTATTTTTTCTTCTCGTCAAATAGTATTAGCATTGCACTCGTTTGTTTTAATCCTAAATTCAATCACGATTCGTCGTAATACTCTTGTTTTTTTAATTATTGCTTCCCAATTTCGTGGGGCTGAAGACATTTTTTTTTTTTATTGACAAATGAATCGTCGCCAATACTGTTAATTCTTTTTCTTTCGTTTTGTCACAATAATCTATCACATTACAATTGTATACAATTTTATCCATACATATATATATATATTTGTTTTTTATAAACGTCATTAAAATCTTTTATTCGTCATCAAGGACATAAAAAAAAATATTTTCCACTCACAAATTTCAAAAGGAAAAATTCTTTTTTCTCATGAGAGTTTATTTAAAATTATTATTTATATAAATTTATAGATTATTTATATAAATTCAAGTATTAAATATTTATATAAATATCAAATTTTTAAGTATTTATATAAATAAATGAATAATAAATAAAATAAATTATTGAAATAAACATGCTAAAAAGAGAAAAAAAACAAAAATATAACTATTTTTATTTTCTAGTTCTTGTTAAGAATTTTTTTTCTAAATGAAAATTTGCTTTGTGAATGTTAAAAATAAAAAGTGAGGGAAATAATCTTTTAAATATAAGTGGGAGAATTTTTCAAGTCTGCCTCGCAAGCGATACATTGTAAAACGTCTTTCTCATTAACCAAAGTACAGGTGGGACATTCTTTGCCACCACTCGCCAGTGGTAGGTCCTCATTGCCTTTGTGCTTCGATTTTTTACACATGTCACAAATTGATAGTTCGGGGGAATTTAAATACGTACACCACGAACATTGCCATCGATCAATATGCTTATTATTTTTATCCACAATTTTCAAATCTCTCATGTACTGTGAAATTTGTTCATTTGTCTCCTTAGTTTGAAATGTATTCAAATTCGGCATTGTTTGACCATTTTTACGACACTTCTCATCGAGTTTCTTTTCCAATTGAAAATCGGGATAGCATTTTAAATCGGCTGCATCGAATGATGATTTTTTCTTGTGATTTATAAAATCTTGATAATGATGATGCGGTTGTTGTGGTAATTCGTTTTGTGATCGGGCAATTTTACGTCTGTCGTGTTGCTTCTGTTTTTCGTCGTAATTGTCAATGGGAAATTTTCGATATTTGGTGGAATTTTTATCACGTCGGCAAAGAATATCGTCACGATCGCCAAGATCCTTGGAGTAGCCACTGCTTCGTAGACCGTCGTAAACGTATTCCCAATTTTCGGTATTTGACGTGGGTGTTGATTTACGATTTTCACGTTCGTTGATGGGAATTCTTTGACAGAAATCGACTTCATCGGGATGGTGATGATGATGATGGTGGTGATGATGTTTGGCGTATTTCTCATGATTCGGTGGATCGAGTTCAATGAGACAACCGGTCGGTACACGGGAAGTGCAAGTCGATGGCAATGTCGTGTGACAAGGAACATTGTAGTGTTTTGCATTTCGATAATCGTACATGTTGCCATAGTTCTCGAGACAAAGGTGATAATTGAGACCTTCGCCTAAATATGATGAATAATCAGGAGGGCAATTGTAGTTACTCACTGGCAATGGATATTGTATCGATGGAGAAATAATATCAGCTTGATTCGGCGATAAATAGGGATAATTTAAATACGCGTCCATTTTTGTTTGACTGTGTCGTAATTTTTCGTGAAAACGATAATTTAAGGCGCGTATCGCTTGTTCCGGTGTGCCGACATGATTCTCGCGAAATTCCAATATTTCCAGCCAGGTTATGGTGAAATTCTTCGAGACACCTTCCCAAATTTCTTTCAATATCTGGAAAAATAATTTTATTTCAATAAAATAAAAACATTGAATTTATCAATATTGAAAAATTGATTTTTACCTGACACTCGACAGAGGCAACAATAGCGTCACGACTGACAAACGAAACTTTGTCGGGATCAATGGGACCGTCTAGAGTTAAAACTCCAAGACCAGTGTGTTTATAGCCCATTAATTCAAACATCATTTCAGCGCCGATTAAATTTGCCTCCACTTCATGTTTATAATATCCACTGTAAGTCTGCAAAAAGAAATTATTTTCATTTAGATTTATTTCTTTAATATAAAAGTTTATTCTGTTATGAATTCTTCTTGACGACAACTTACTCTTAATGTTCGATACTCTTTTCGCCAAGGCTGAGCTAATAAATTAGCGGCGTACAAGGAAATTGAATTCCATGCTGTACATGCTCTGTAACCGCTAAAATTTTGTACAGTTGCAGCGGATCTGTGGAAAATATCTGCTGTCGACGGAAATGTGTATTTCCTTTCATTTTGTACGAGACATAAATACTCCTTGATAATTCCTAAAATTTAACAAAAATAATAACAACAGTAATAAAAAACAATAAAGATAAAAGCAAATAATATATTACAGTAGTGACAAATAATTAAAATTACCTTCGAGCTTTTGTCGCTGTTCTAATTTTAATGGAGTGTCTTCTATTTGCAAATAAGACAAATGCCTCTCCTCCAATCTTTTAGCAATTTCTAAAAGTCTCTCGTCACTTCTCTTTGCGTATTCATTAGCCATTTTCTAGAAATTTATTTTATAATTATTATTACACAAAATCTCAATATTTTAATTTTTTTTTTAAACTAGTTAAACTAGTTTTTAAATTAAAATCCTTACTTAATATAAATATAATAATAAAAATAATAGATTCCCCAAACATTTTTACCAAACAATATTTTCAGCTTCAATTTACATTTATTTTATTTTCAATCCAAAAAGAAGGAAAAAAAAATTGTAATGCGTAATCTTTTCAGTAATTTGTAAATACAAAATGATTCATTGGAATGTGAAAAAGATAAATGATTAAAGTGATAAGAATTTTATTAAATGATACCTAATAAAATTTTGATCTCAGCTGTTTTTTTTTATTTGTATAAAAAGTTGAGAAAATTCTAATTTTTCCAAATTATTAGAATTAGGTAAAAAAAAGATATTAAGAATGAGGTAAAATTTACTTACAAAATATAAAAAACTATTATTTTTTGTATCGAACATTGTGAAGGAAACATTTGTCAACTTTTGATGAACGTGAAGATGATTCGACGATACATAGAGAAAATAGCAAAAATCTCTCTCTCCAATGTTATATTTAGGAGCGAATAGAGAAAATGCGCGAGAAGTGAAAAAAAAGAAAGAGAATAGCGTAAATTTGTAAATATTACGAACCTCCTAGTATACCTGGTTCGAACCAGAAAACTGAATTAAACTTTGTCTGGCTCCAACCTAAAAATAAAACCTTTATATTTAGAGGTGTCTCTATGATACTCATTTTATGGAAAAAAAAACAATTTTCTCTTATTTCCTTTTTGCTATTAAATATTTAAAGCGCACCATTTCATTTAATTGTTCTCTCCACTTTACAAACATATTACACTATATATACTTTTTTTTGGTGTAAATATTTTTGTAGAACAGAAACATTTTTTCTTCTCTTTCCATTATTTATATCATTTTAGGAATGTTGGAGGTTATGTCACTCGAGCAGGCTTGCCAATCTTTTTTACCGTAACGAAAAATAGCAGTTTCTCTTAAATGTTGGTTGCACTGTGAAATTTTTTAAATTATTTTGAATTTCAAAAATTAATCGCTTTTTGTAAAAAGAAATTCTGTAAAGAGAAAAATTGTAGTTACTTTTTCTATTTTTTTATTCACAACAATTTTTTTTTTAATTAGCAATTTAAAATTTAAAACTTCTCTTATTCATATTCACGAACTTTAATAATTTCATTTCCAAAAATAATTTATTTCTTTTTCTTTTTTTAATACATTTTTTTTGTAAATTAAAATCTTATTTTTAGTTTTCAGCTTTGAAATTTGAATATGATGAATAAAAATGAATAAAATTTAAAATTTAAGTGAATTAAAAAATTATAATTGTTTCTTATACTTAAACAGAAACTTTATTAAACATTTAGAATATAACACATCACCATATTTATGTATAAAGTTTTTTCCTTTACAAACGTTTCACAAACATTCTTAAAAACAGAAAAATTAATTAAAGACAAAATTAATTTTTTTCTTCTACTTAATGACAAAGTATTTTTTTTTTTTTAAATAAATAATAAATATCGGTGAATTATTTTTGTACACATGAACTTTACAGTTTTTTTCCTGTTTCATTTTTCACAACTTTCTTTTATCTTCTTCTAATTTCTGTGTTTCAAAAACACATGTAAAAAAATATGAGTAGACCATTTAAAATTCCCATGAAATAATTCGTTGAAATTTCAAATTCTTTCTTTAATCTGTAAAAAAAGGAAAATATTTTTATTAAAGTAATTTAAAAATATTTGAAGACAAACAATTTAAAAGAAGAACAAATTTTTTAAAAAAAAGAGAAAAATAATTGTGTTTTACCTGGTTTTTGAATTTCGAAAAGGCGATGGAGGATTAATTCCAGGAATATTGCTGTCCTTGTAAATAATGTACCAAGTGATGATTAATGTTGCCAGACCACTTAACGTTGCCTTCATAATCCATCCATATTTATCAAATACTTCATTATTTGTTGTGATAAATTGAAAATTTTCATTCTCATTGAATCGATGTGATTTCTCATTGCTCTCCCAAAAGAGCCATTGGCCCAAATATCCTGAAGATGTCAAACAGGACATATTAGATTTACAATAAATCTAATAATAATTCCTGTTACAAAGGGGCTGTAACAAAACCCTTGCGAATAAATTATCCATTTCCTTTTTCTTTTACTTTTCTACTATTGAGGACAATGGATTTATTTTTATTTATCGAATTTAAATTTTGCCCTTTTCTCATTTTTTTAAATAATTTTCTTTAAAAAAGAAAAATAATTACAAAAGTTTAATTTTAATTTCCATTTCCATTTATTCAGCAAATTTGTAAAATAATCGCTGACTATTGAATATTTCCAAATGCATTGCCTTTAAACCAAAATAACTATGACTCATCCAAGTGAAATCGAAAAATTATTAGCATATGGTGCAATATATTGTAAAATCAAATATAAGGAACCCTCCTTTTACGGAAATATAATAAAGATTTTGAAATAATATTCATTATCAACAAGTAAACAAAAGATATAAAAATAGAAAAGAAAAAAATAAAACTGAAAAAGTTATAAAATATCTCTTGAAATGTTTATTATTTGTAACTGTTAAAATTAAAAAATAAATTCTAAATTATTCGGCAAGTAAACAATTTATAACAAATTCATATAGATAAATAATGTACTCTGAGAGGTTATGTATTTTCTATGGAGTTAAATTAAAAAAATTGTTACTTGAAATTAATTGTAAACAAATAACACAATTACTTACCGTAATTGACAGCTATTTTGCCGATAACAATAATTAACGAAAAAAAGAAGAGAATTAAACTAAAAGTCTTTTCATTAAATTCGAGTCGTTTCCAAAAGCGTTGAATATTTGTCACATTCTTAACTTCACCGAAATAATTGAAATTACCATTACCATTTGTTTCAATTTTCGATTTATTCATTGTGATTTATAAATTTTGAAACAGGAAATATATATTTTTTTCAGTAATCAAACAACTCCAAAATGCATTTTTCGTCTCATGGTTACAAACTAACAAAACACAGAAAAGTGAACAAGTGAATTAGCTCTTGAAATATGACGTAACACCAAGTAAGAATGTGAATTCATGGTCAGGTTAGCCAACTGTTATATTTTGTTTTTCATAAACAAAAATAATAAACAAAGCAAGATGGAGGGGGTTCTAAGAATAATAAACACACTTGAGAAATGTTTTAAATTTATTTTGTATTCTCAATTATTTACATTTCTTAATAACAATTGTTTTGTCAATAAGTTAGTTTACGGTAATAACCAATTGTCGGTAATTTGATGATTACCAATTGTCGATAAAGCAGAAGCCAGATGGTAACTATTTTTTAAATAAAAAATTTTTTTTTTCATTTTTGATTATTAAAAAGTAATTTTAATATTGTTGTACAAGAATATTTTTTTTAATTAGTTATTTAACAAACAAAAAAAATATTAAACCTTTTTTTTTTAGAAAAATAGAAATTAATTAAAAATAATTAAATGTTGACATTTTACATTGAAGTTTAAGGGTATGCAAAAGTTGCAGTTTTTCCATTAAAGTTTTCTTTGACAATTAAATAAAATAGCATTCCAACAATTAATTAAATTAAACATTTATTTATAAAATTGCAAGACCTTTCCTTCCACTGCAATATTAAAAATTACCAAATCGAATATGAAATAAATTATAAAAAATAAAGAAATAAACAATTAAAAATAATAAACTTAAATAAAAAATTAACAACTACAAAATTAAACAATTAAAAAATAAACAAGTGAAAAATAAAAATATGAAAAAGTAAACAAATAAACGAATAAACTATTGAAACTAATAAACAAATAAAATAAATTAAAAATTAAAAATAATACACAAGTAAATAATAAACAATTAAAAGAATAAACAAATAAAAATTATAAACAAATAAATAATAAACAATTAAAAAAAAAATAAAGAAAAAATAAACAAATTAATGAATAAACAAATAAAGGAATATACTATTAAAAGTAATAAACAAATAAAAGAAATAAACAATTAAAAATAATAAACAAATTTAATAAATAAAATTTTTTTATATAAAAATAAACTTGTAAAGAAAATAAACAATCAAAGGAATAAACAAATGAAGAAATATACAATTAAAAAAAATAAATTAGAGAAATAATTAAGTAAACAAATTTAATATATAAAATTTTTTTAATTCTATATAAAAATAAACTATTAAAGATAATAAACAATTAAAGATAAAAAAAAAAAAAAATAAACGCATGCAAACAAATAAACAAATAAAAGAAATTATTAAATGAAAGAAACGAACAAATTTTTATAAAATAATTGCAAAATTGTATTAGATATAAGGAAATTTTATAAAGAATTCATGCAAACTGCAAAAATTTTCTAAAAATAGACTGTATAGGGAGTGTTGCTGAAATCTACAAAAATGAAATGACCCTAAGGTGAAAAATTGAAATAGTCTTTTTTTGCTTATTAATAATATGACATTAAAGGTAGAATTTAGAATGTCAGTGATTTCGGATGAACCAGTTCATTGTGGTTCATTATGCCTCCTCTTCTATATATGTGCCTAATAATCACAAACGCAAGGGACACAGTATCGCAAATGAGTGTCGACAGTGAGGAAGAAGCTCTCGAGAGCAGTGATTTTACAACATTTGTTTTTTATATCATAGAGAAAAAAAGGAAAGGGAAAAAAATATTAATAATTACATTATTTAATACGTTCCTGGCAATATAAAATTTAAAAAAAAATTAGGTAAATATGAAATTTTTAACTATATGATATATGTAATTTTCAAGTAAGTAAATAAATGCAACGTTAAGTAGATTCTAAAAATTAAATACCATTTTAATAATTTTCTTGGGATTAAATTTAATGAATTTTCAACGAAAGGGTAATTTTACTAAGTGTAAATAATTGTGATAAATTTAAATGAAAATTATTGAAATTGTGGAATTGGAATTCTTTGTGGAATTAGAAATAAGGTTTTTGTGAGAGATTAATATTTTTAAGGAAAGCAGTAGATTATATTTTTTATATTATAGGAGGATCACAGGTAGAGTGGAGGGGGCATGGTTAAGAAGGCGGAGTCAAGGTTGCGTCAATTGGTCGTTTTATCATTTTGCGCATCGGGGCATGCGCATGGGAGATGCGCAGAAGTGAATAATGGTGTTCGACGCAATAAAGCTCCGCCTACTTTCACGTTTCACTTTTGACTCCTATGAGGGTATTTTCCTACTTACAGCAAGCTTGCTCTGCATGTTTTGCAATCTTGCTGAAAATTTAAAAGGCCAATTGAACTACAGTATAAAAGCCATAAAAAATAGAAAAGAAAACACGATTCAATTTTTTTGTTACGCAAAAAAAAAAAAAAAAAAAAAAAAAAAAAAAAAAAAAAAAAAAAAAAGCGAGAGAAAAGAAAAAAAAATACCGCAGATAATAAAAGAAATGAGATTGAAATAGAAAAGTAATAGAATGTACAATATGGAAAATAAAAAGAAAAGCCTGCGGTTTGTATTCTTTTGTAAAAAGTAAACTTTGTAGGTAAACAACGATCGACCATCAGCGAACCAGAACGAGTTCATAGGCAACCAAGGCAAAAGGGGTGGTTTTGTTGATACCGGTGTGGTTGCGCGGTAGACAGAAATTCTCTCGCATCATCACCATTCTCAGATCACCTTGCTCCGTATATTTTCAGTCGACGATCGCGCGTTACTCATGAAAACACCTGTTTATTTAAAACAAAGTCGATTTTCGCAATATTGACATCGACTGTCTTCATTGAAAAACGTAATAATGAACTCTTTTTAAATCTACTATCTTTAATTTATTAATTCATCTTCGCGATTTTTTTCTTCCCCTTTTATCACTTTTCTCTTCTTTCAAAAATTCATTTTCCCTTAATTCTCGAGAGGGTAGAATAATTTTCTTTTAAATTGAACAAAAGAAGGAAATTTCAACCCAGGGAAAAGGAAAATATTTTAAAATTGGCGCGTGCGATGAAATGCCGCCTGTTGCTTACTTTAAACATATATATATATTAGTATAACTGTAAAGAAACTCTGCAAACTTTTTCAAACTCTTTCAAATCTCTTTCAAATTTTAGTAATTTTACCTTTCACAGAAATTCAAAAATTGTTACAAAATATTTTCGTAAATTTTCTAAATTACGAACATATATAAATATAGATCAAATTTTAATATACTATTGAAAATAATAAAAATTTCGTAAGCATAAATAATACTTTTCTTTATTTATTAAATTTTATATTTTTCAATTCTGACTAAATATTTAAACTTCCTTTTGAAAAAAATACTTATATTTTACATTTAAATATAAATAAAAAATTCATCAATTTTTTCACTCTCATATAAAAATTTCTATCTCAATAAAAAAAATACCATACAACATTAAATGTTATTTGAAAATAAATATTAAAAATTTCATTCTATTTCAATAAAAGCTTTTTAATTCAAAACAAATATTGGTTTTCTCCTTTTTTATGAAATGTTAAAAACAATTTCTTTTTTCTTCAACTACAAAATCAAAAATTTTTCAGTTTTCCCCATCATTCCACGTGTTTGACATTTTTATTATTTTTGAATAATGTGAGAAAAGAGATAATAAAAAAAAAATATCGTGAAACATCAACACGACATTTTATAAATATATATATACGCACACAATATGCATATACATAATGCCAAAGGATTAAAGTGTGCTGACATATATAAAATATTATAGACAAAAGTAAAAAAAAAAAAAAAAAAAAAAAAAAAAAAAATTTAAATAAATTATTAAAAAAAAAAACAACGAGTAAAATAAAATCAATTAAAAATTACAAAAATGTATAACAAATTAAAGAGGGGAAAAAAATTACAAAAACCAAGTGACTTTAGTGTAAAATTTAAAAATATTTTCCAGCAATTTTTTTTTCTTTTTTTTTATATTCAAGTGATGGATGAAATGAAAAGAGAGCAACCGATTTTCAATTACAATCACAACTCTGTGCTCCGATTATAGATGTTATTTTCAAGGAGAAATCAGATTCAAGGGGGTGAAAGGAAATCTTGCGAGGATCCATTTACAAATATATATAGTTTCTCGATAGAAAAAAAAAAATGCTGCAAAGAATGTGAAATAATTTTTAAAATATTCATCATCTTGAAATATTTCATTATGAAAAAAGTAGGTGACAAAGTGTACATGATTATTGTAAAAAAATTGATGCGGTTCATATAAAAATAGTAATAATGTTAAATTTTATAACAAAAAAAAAAAAAAAAAAAATAGTAGCAAAACTAATAATAGTGATAGTAATAATAATAAGAAAAATAATACTTATATTAATTATAATGATAATTATGATAATGATAGTGATAACAATGAGAACTATTAATATAATAAGAATAATTATTATATTAATTATTTTTATTATAATGATGATTATGCTAATGATAGTGATAGTGATAATAAAAAGGACAAAGAAGAAAAAAGAAGAAATTTAAACACATTATTTCCTCTTTAATTTGGAGTTTAAAAAAAAATTTTTTCACGAGATATAGTGGTTCATTAACATCAAAGGAATTTCGTCATTTTTCTGTCTGACGGTATTTATATATACAGAGTTGAAAAAGGGTTGAAATGATATAATAATTAAAAACTCATTGTTTCGTGTCAAGCGATTTTTTTTAATCAATTAATTTTAGCGCGCGTGTTTTTCTGCTCGGCTTTACATTTACATTATTTTAATTGTCTGCTTCGTGAAGCATGTGACAAAAGGCAGCAAAACTAATTTACCTCGACAGCCTAGAAAACATATTAACCCACGTATTTTCGCTGCAGTGAACTTCATCTAATAGAAGAATAATCATGAAGAAAAAAAAAATTACCATTGATATCATTTTTTTGTCTTCCTCTATTTCTCGCTCTGGTATAGCAATAAGAGAGGATGACATTTAAAATTAAATATCCCTTTTGAGGTAAACTAAAAAGTTTCCCTCAAAACTGACACATTCATTTCTAGTAATGGAAATATTATATTAATCCGATTATGATTAAAGCGAGACAAATTTCATTTATACTATGAAAAAAAATTAATTTCCGATATACCAATTAGCGATATACAGTCGTTTGTTGTGATCCTT